TTTTTTTTTTTTTTTTTTTTTTTTTTTTTTTTTTTTGGGCCAATCAAAGTGCTCAAGGTCGATGGTCATGCCTGGACCATGCACGGCACGAAGGACATCTACGACGCCCACGGCACAAAGCTATTCGTTCTGAGGAAGAAGCTCCTCTCCATGCACTTTACTGTGAGGACAAAGAGATCGGAGACGCACAAGGCCGATGCAACTCCTTTCCCCCAACGTCGAATCTCATGCTCACGCCTACTTCGCATTTCCAACAAACAGTACGAAGGCCGAGACCCTTCGAGTGAAGAGGTGCTCTTCACCGTCAAGTCGTCCTTTTCGTTTGGCACCAAGCTGCACGTCAACTTCAAGAACCGTGCTTCGGGTCAAGGCGAAAATGTCGAGCTAACGCTCAAGGGTGATTGGTTTGATCGCAAAGCCGAAATCACCACGTCCGACGGCATCCCAGTTGCTCGAATCGGCAGGAGCTTTGTCAATGTCGGCCAACTCTTCTTTGACCAGCAAACTTACTTCTTGAGCTGCGCAGCTGGCGTCGACATCTCTTTGCTCCTCGCCATCGCCGTCTGTCTGGACGAGAAGTCAAACGAGGAGAAGCACGGTTGAAGGCAGCGGAGCGCGCACTTTAGGCAGCCCCCTGCAAGCTTCCTACCGACTCGATTTCACACCCTTGCATTTGGAAGAGGACCATCGAATTGAAATGCGAACCAAGCCTTGACGCAGTGCAAGGGAATCCAGAAGTGTATGGGTCCGGGTATGGAAAGAATGTGCATCAAGGCTTCTGCGTATGTACAGTGCTTTGAAGAAGTGAGCGTGGATTATGAGGAGGGTAAATTGAGAGATTCACATTCGAGCCCACTATTTCTTGCTCCGCACGCTGTTGCTGCGCCCGACCACTTGCAGACCAGCAGGAAGAGGTACGGAAGCGTTGTATCCATGATTCTCGGTCTTTTTGCTCTTCTTTTTCTTAGGAGACTCCGTCTCATTTCCTTTGCCTTTCGAAGACGAGCCGACGATGCCGGTAGCCTTGCCCAGATGACGACTTGCGCTTCCGAACGCTTTGCGCGCGCTCGCGTACGAGTCTAGTCCATCGCCTTCGTCAGAACTAGAGTCGTCGGCAGCGGGTCGAGCATCCAGTCTAGAGGACCAGGAAGCGCGCTGTCTGGCTGGCGTGGAGTCCTCGAGATGGACTGGTTGGTAGTCGGCGGCACTCCTCATAGAGTCGGAAATACGCGGCGGAGCAGTGGGTGGAGGGGCGATGCGGGGAAGGGAGCCGACAAGGGACGAACCAGGCGCACGCGCTTGGGCTCGCGATAGGTAGTCTTGCGCTTCAACCCCAGGCGTTGGCGTCTCTGGCGGCAGCTTAACGTCAGGCGCCATGCGGACCGACTTGCGCCTGCTCACGCCAGAGCCCTCCACAGTGGAGGTGTCTGAGGTCGCAACGTTGACCGGGGGTGCAGCAAGTGTGCTTGAAGGAGCGATCGGCACAGCATTGGCGATAGTGGAAGTGACAGATGCATTGGGTTGCGGCAGTCCCGCGTGCTGCAACGCGCCAGGACCAGGCTCGGTCCCTAATGCGCTGCTGCTTGTATCAGCATGCAGTGGTGTACCTCCTGAGGAGTACGTCCTGCTTGGGGTTAGCCGTTTCCTCTCCACAGTCTGGCGAGTCACCCCTTCGGGTTGGCCCTGGTGCACCCCGGGAGGATGTTGGGCTTGAACGAGATCATCTGTCGTCTCGGGGGCAGGGGTATTGAAGAAGTTCTCGAGTGCTGCGGCTTCACCAGGAGTGAAGAACGCCTGATTGTCCGAAAAGCCAGGTGTAGAGCCGCGGCGATCAGCCAAGGTGGGGCCATTACCTGCAATATCCACACGGAAAGGCTCGCTTTGCGGCATGTCAATCTGGGGCAACTCGACACCCCGGCGAGAAGAAGGGCTGAGCACTTTGTCTGAAGACGCTACGCCAGGCGCTCCGACGCCAGGTAGCTCCCCAAGGCTACCGCTTCCATCGAAGCGGTCGTCCTGTCCAAGGCTCAACTCGGCGCCTGTCGCAGTAGATCCAACTGGCGAGCTCTGGGAGACCTCTGGCAGGCGGGGAGCCGCGGGCGATGCAGTGCGTTGCGCAGCAGCATTGGCAGTGGCGCTTTGGAGCAGACTGGTCGCAAGAGGGGGCGCTGATGGCACCGGCGGCATTTGAGGACGCACTGCAGCTGAAGATGCGTTTGAGAGACTACCTGACCTGCTCAAACCCGAAGGGACCTTGAGCGCTGGCTTCAGAGGTGGGCTCATGGTGCGACTAGGCTGAGGCACATGAAGCGGTGGCTCTACCTCGCTCTGGGTTGTGGACGTCGACTCCTTCTGCGCTCGGCGCGGCGTGGGGGAGCTCAATGGTGGACCAGAGGGAGCACTCGCAGCGGCAGCTTTGGGTACTACACCAACTTGAGCAGCAATTTCGGCCGCCGTCTTTCCGGTGAGGCTTGGAGACCCCTTGACATTTTGACTTGGCTTCTCGTCAGGATGCTTGGCGACCCAAGAGCTCGTCGTGTACTTTCCTTGAGGGTCTTGAGGACTGAAAGCGCCGAGAGCGCCGCTAGCATTAGCGGTCCCACCCCCTTCGCGGTGGGCTGGCAGGATGCTACCGCGCTTCTTTCCCTTCGACTCTCGCACGGTTCCTGAAGCGCTAGAGCGTATCGAGTCTCCACGGGCCAGACTAGCAACGTCTCGACGTACAGAGGGAGTGACGCTGCCACTGCGACTCAGACCTGAACCGACCGCGCCGGGCACAACCATGCTGCTTGGTCGCGACGCAGCAGGGCCGGATGAGTACGCGGTGCGTGTCGGAGCAGTGCCGATCTCGCTCCCAGTCTCTGGGTTTGCTTTGCTCTTCTTCTTCTTCTTCTTGGTCTTCTCGCCGGGCGTCAGCGTAGCATTCGACGCATTGGCGTTGGCATTGCCTGCGATGCCTGCACCGATGACACTCAGGCGAGCTGCCTCTTTGATTCGTGCTTCCTCCTCCATCTGATTCGTGCTGAGCGGACCAGCGTTGACGCTGTGTTGGCGACGTAGACTCATGCGTTTCGCCACCTTGGCTGACACGCCCCCCAAATCGCTTGAAGCTTTCTCGTCGTTGCGCCAGAGTGGACGATCTCGGTTGACGTGTCGGACTAGATTCTTGGGATTCTCTTCATCGTCCGAGCTAGCATTCTCGGCACCCGCACGAGGCGCTCCTGGCAGGGGGCGAAGCAGGCTTTGTCGACGAGATGGGCCTTGACTATTCCGCAGCGCGGCGTCTGTGCGCGTATCCCACCCTGCGCCAGACCGTTGACTACCCTGAGCCTGAGTTTTGGCTTGAGATGGCGGATGACTAGGCATTGGCTCGCCCTTGACATCCGTCTTGAAGAGCTTGCCAACACGGCCGAAGAAGCTGCTGCCTCGCTTTGCGCCTGGCCGAGAGCTGCCTTTTGCGGTAGCCTCATCATCGCTCGACGCATTCCTACGTGCCGTGCGGGACTCTGGCCGAGCCTGCCAGCCGCCTCCGCGATGCTGATGTGTTGGTGCGCCCTCCGATGAAGAGTCATCCCCACCTGGCGCGTCGCTTCGCGGGTACAGGCGGGGTGCTGTCGGCACAGCACCAAGGTTCGTGCCATCCAGATTCAAGCGCGGGGCAGTCGGAACAGCAGGCATTGGCACAATGTTTAAGTCGTGCTCGCGTGCTGGAATAGGTGCCGCATTCGCTCGCTGAGTGGGTCGATCTTTCTTGGGGACCGATGGAGCAGACCCCTTGGCGGCACTCCCGTTCAGAGACGCGCTAGAGCCATTGATTGGCTTGACTTTCGAGGACTGAGCAGGGGGCATGAACGGCTGCGCTGTGGCTCCCACATTGGCGTCAAGTCTGTGTGGAGGGGGTAGGGTTGACGAGTGCGCGCCACCACCCTCGTGCCTGTCGGCGTTACGGTGTGCCTGTTGCCAACCCTCTTCGTCGTCGCTGTCATCGCTTGCCTGGAGTGCGTCAACGGGACCGCGCTCCCTATCTTCATCCTCGCCAATGTCATTGAATCGGTTGGCATAGCTATTCACGCCCGTATTTCCAGGCCTGTTCGTCTGCGATGCGGACTGTGATGGGGTGACACTGTTGTTTTCGAAGGCGGGATGGTTGTGTCGAGACTCTGCGCGAGTTGAAGGGGCAAGGAAGGACGATGAGCCCGGCAAGCTTGCTGATTCAAGCGAGCGCTAGGGATGCGCCAGGCAGCATCTCTACTCACCCTCTACACCCTCTGGCCCGTCTCCGTATTGATTCCAGCTATTGATGCTGTCATTGCGCCCGTGCTGCCCGTTTCCGTAACCGATGCCGGAATTGGTGGGCTGGTACACATCGCTAGAGTCAAAGTCGTTGAGCAGGAGAATGGCGGACTTGGCCGCGTCCACCATGGCAGCACCAGCGTCTCCCATGGTCTTGCAGCGCAAGGTCAGGGCCTCCTTGAACGTTCTTCTCTTGACGCCGACCAGAGCAGCTTCTTCGAATTGCAGCACTTCCTCGCATGCGCTCAATTCTCGCTGGGCGTGAGCGACTTTTTCAGCCCTCTCTTCTGGTGAGCGCTTGCTGCTTGAGCTTGCCTTGGAAGCCTTGATCAATCTGCCCACAAGAATGTCGCGATCTCGCACGACGTTGCGGATGCTGGCTTCCCGATCGGCTACATCTTTGAGCGCGGTGCGGTAGCCCTCGATTGCGCTTACGTGCGTCTCTTGCACATCTGCCGCATTGTCGAAGAGTCCTGCAAGCTGAGCGGAAGCTTCAGCAATATCTGGCGCTTCGGCCGTGCCCCATGCAGTTAGCGCAGAGGCGGCAGTGTGCGCAGAGCCAACGGCAGAGGAGAGGTGATTGATGTAGTTTCGCTCGGTCTTGATCAAGTTGGTCAGCAGTCGCGAGTCTGTGGTCGTTGTCGTATGCGGCCGCGAGAGTGAGGAGGGAAGTAGGGAGGTCATCGCGCTGCGCTGAGGCCGAGCGCGGGGAAGCACAGTGCTAAGGACTCGAGAGCAACCTCAACAAGTCTGTGCACGCGAAGCCTGCGCTGTTTTGGAGGTTGATTGAGAAGAAAGAGTTGGCGACCGCCTCTGATGCGGATGGTCTGCCGTGCGACGATTGTGTTGCGCGACGATGGAAGGCGTTAAGCAAAGTTGTGGTCCTCGCGTGGCATGGCCCGGCTTTGCTGACCGCAACGACACTTTGCGCAGCACGGTGACGACGTTGCTTTGGGCCTGCTTTGGGCGATGATGAGATCTGCTGGATGCTTGTTCTTAGCTCAGAATCAGCAGCACGAGACGGGTGCACGCAGCCGGGCTCTCATCGCGCTTCTCTGCGCGCGCGCACTCGTGAACTGTCTTTAGCCACGCGCGTTTGCTTGATCTGGCTTAATTCAGCATCCCCGCACGTTGCACCGTTGCTTGCCTAGACCCATATAGACTCTTCTGCTGGTCTGCCCAGACGTGCTGACTCGTGACTGTGACTTAATTCACGCGGCGCGCGTGCGATCGATGCATATGAAGCTGGCGATCAGCATTGCGCCGTTTGCGCGACCATGCAGTCAAGCCACGCATGTGGAGGGCAGGTGGGCCAGACTCAAAGACTGCAAATATCGCGCACATTCTTGACTCATTCAATTAAATGTATGCACACCGGCAGAGCAAGTCAAAGTAGAGCTGCATTTATACTTGCGATTGATAGAACATCCAAATCAAGAATATATCACAACTTGTATACCGGCATGTGGATGCATGCGCAGGATCGGCACCGCGGACGCAGCATCTGGAGCTTCGTGCCCTAAATTGCACACTCACAGACTTGAGATCGTTTGGCGCTGAATCTTGAATATGGCGATGGGACACCAGCCGCCCGCTAACTGACGCCGGGCCGCCGATGCCGTGGGGAGCGCTGCACGCATGGTGATCTGCTACGGGGTGAAGAGGTATACGTGCTGGTCAACTAATTGAATGAATGCAGAGGTAACTAACTCCCTTCCAATGCGTGAATATACCTCGAACGTGCCTATATCTGTCTGTTGTACCTCGCTGCCTCTCGGCGCATTCTTGATCGTCCTACGGATCAAATGCCGAGCGCGTCTTTACACAATCAGAACGCAAAACGACAATATGAGAGCATCCAAGCCACTCGTTCTACCTCAAAGCACTCAGCAACGGAGTTGGAGGGAGAGTCACGGCCTCACAGCTCGCTGCTCACACAAGACTCGCCACGATCTCCCTTCACGGTCAAGCCTTTGGTCGCATCATTTCGTGTGATCGAATCCATGTTGACTAGCTCACTGCGTCCGAGTGTGAGACGAGTCGGACATGTATATTTGCAGGCAAGCTCCATCAGACGCGTCGATCCATTCATGGTTATGAGACGGGCCGCTGCTTGCATGCCACGATCGTGCTGAAGGTGGCTTTGGTGTGCCAGCAGCAGCAGCAACAGGAGCTCGGCACGGTCTAGAGTATGACGAACATCACTCGATTATGATCGAGAGTTTTGCGCTCCCGATGGCACGCTCGACACGCCCTTTGGAGATTCGATCTGCGTCGGGTGGGGGGAGCCCCTGCGCAAGTTGCTCGCTTCACTCTTTGCTACTCCATCCACAATTCGGCTGCACGTTCACTCCACTGACTCGCGTGGTTCCGAACGGAAGGGTGTGCTTGCATTCAGCGCCAACAGTGACGGCGTGGGCTTCCTCGTAGGTATAAAACAACAGCAACTAAGCGCGTCGGATACGGTCCTGATCTATCAGCGCAGCACATCTCACAGAGTTACTCTGCTCCAGAAGGCGCCGTTTGCCTTAGATTGCCTATGCTACCTCCATAGAGTGTCAAGGTCCATAGTTGACCCGCCTTGGCACCGCAAGGCCGTCGCTCGGCTTCATAAACCCGTCGTGACCATCTCAAGGCTGCTTTCTCCGTTCAGCATACCGTACGGGGCAAGCGATCCTTGGGCTCCAGTCGGAAGAATGAAGAATGACTCTCGCTGCAACGTTCGTGATTTGGTTCCGGCAAGGATCCCCCAGCGTCCCATTCGTTCCTGTCCGAACGTGATCAGACCACATTCGAGCGGCAGAATGAGCGGTAAGAGGGCCTTGAGCAGTGATGGAGTCGTGTTGACGAGACTTGAACATTGTCATTCGGTAGGCGGCCGATGCGATTTCTCAAGATTGGGGGGCGATGTCGTCGCCAAAGGGTAGAAAGATGAGGTTCTCATGATAGATGGTGGGTTTCGCTCGCATCAGTACACGCGATTGGGGAGGGGGCCTGGCGCTTCGACGAATCGTCCCGCTTTCTGATGGGTAGTCACGAACACCTTACGGCAGCATCCAAGGATCAGCTAGGCGAACTTCGCGGCCGAACACGCATCTGATTCTCTGCGATGAGATTCGCCAAGCGATTTAGGGTCCCACTCTTCTTATCGCGCACCATGCCAAGTGCGCGCTAGGCAAGGCTCGAGATTTCACGTGTAAGACTTGGTGACCAAATCCTGCCACACATCTTGCGGCTTTGTTACACACTCGTCGTGTCTCGGCATGTAGAAGTGTGATTGGCCAAACGCGGAGCATTGAGAGCGCTTCTAATGGCTGCACGGGCGGTCACTTTAGTGTGAATCCCCAATTTTGACCAGGTGACTCTGCTGCATATGAGGTCTTGGCGATGAACCCATTGCACGTGTCAAGACGACGAATACACAGCTAGACTTGCGCATGTGAGATCGCTCCATGCCCCAGAGTCACGAGTCACAACAGTGATTGTCCACGCTGATGATCCAGACGTTCCTCGGACTCCGCCATACGGTGAGCACGGGTATATGCGATGCTGTACGGCGGACGATCAAGCATTCATTGACACCATCGTGACGTCGTGGATCTTGAGTCTGAGGCGTGAATCGATTAACGCCCCTTTCCAAGCCTGCCACACGCCGGACCCTGCGCCAGTGCGGGTGACGTGACAGCCAGACAGACGTGTGACCTGGTGCTTGCATTCTGATTCTGATCCATCCTCGCGCAAGATGGAGTCCTCGGCGATGTCTTACCAGACTTTACTTTCATGCAGTTCTGATCGACCCGGCGCCTCGTGCTACGTCGTGCGGGGATCGCGGAGCAAGAAGGACCATTCGAAGTTCTCGCTGCAGCGAGCGTCCTTCCAGACCTGGGGGATCCGCACATCCACGATTGTTCAAGCCCATTGTGATTCTTGATTCATGTGATTCTCCATCGCCGAAGGTGTTGATGTAAGCGCTGATGATGATGCGCGCGCAGCTAGGACAGTCTTGCGGCCGCCACACAACGGCAGCACAAGCTTGACCTTAATTCGCTTGTTCCAAAGAGCCGGTTTAGGTGTACCAAGAACAGCTCAAGACCTTGGCTTGCCTTATCTTTGACGCTTATCGGGCGACCGCCTCTGAGGCACTTCAAGAGTCTGTCGAGTCAGCACTGCCGTTGCATTCATTCACCTTCCCAATCCGCGTGATTGAAGCAACGACTGCCGGAACGCGCGCTGTTCGCTTGCATCTGTTCGCTGCAGCTGCAGAATGCGAATGAATCACTCCGACAGCCCCCCGACTTTGCATCGCTGCGGCTGCTTTTGCTGTCGAGGTGCACCATCATCCATCTGCTGCTGCTCGTTGCATGCATGCACGTCGTTGCAGCATGGCCCCCATCCAGGAACGGCCGGCAGACGGCAAGGAGCAAAAAGGTGCAGCTGGACCGCATACACCGCGCAAGTCACTCGCTCAACACACGCTGTTGCATGCACGCATGTTCAGTCTGGGCGAATGAAATTTCAATCCTTATCAGTAGGCATTTCGACCAACGAGCAGCACGCATGCACCCATCCGACTTTGACAGCCGCATGATGCGCTCGCCCCATCAGACCCCCCTTGATCCCCATATGAAGGACTGCAGTATATACCGGTAGACAATTTCTGTGTGGCTTCTTGGCTTATGCACGCTAATCAGCGCACCGGACACTTTCCAGATGGAAAGACAGAAAGAGGAGGAAACAGACAGGTCGGAGAGCGCTACAACTCATGGCCGTTCGGCTTACTGTAGCTAGGCAGACCCCTGATCTGTGGACCGCTCCGCTTCCTCAACCGCTTCCGCCCGCGCAAGCCGACAGCCGGGTTGTTCGTCTTGCCGCCGCGGGCCCGTGCTTGGTCGTCGCTCATGCTGCTGTTTCCCGGTGCCCGATGTTGGCCCAGCAAGGACGGAGTTGCGTGAGAAAGCTTGATTTCCAGGCACGTAAAAGCGTAAATTGGTCGGTCCAGCGCCTGTGGATTGGTCGAGCTGCGCGCTGATGCGCCACGACGCATGTGTGTTGCCGTCTGAGTTTTGGGCCAAGCCAAGATAGCATAGCCGCACCGCACCTCGCTCTATCGTCCCTCGAACTCGCCCCTCACTCTTGTGACTTCTCTCTACGGTCTCAGATGCTTCACTGAAGAGCGTCGGCAGCAGCACTCTGACTGTGTCGCCCTCTTTCTCTCTTGCCCCCCCCCTACCTGCTTCTCAGCTCTTCCCTTTCCAGTTCTCTCCTTACACGCGTTCTGCCAAGAAGTTTTGGGTGGTCGCGAGTCCTTTTTTGGCTGCGCACATTGAGCAGCACACTGCTCGGCAAGTGATAACCGCAAGCCACGGCTCGGAATTGCTCATAAGCAGGCGATTGCAGACGCCCATCTCTACTCTGGCTCACCCCCTCCCCTCGTCTCCACATCGACCATCTCCCTTTCCTACTCTCCTCTCACTCTCCTCTTCCCTCCCATCTTTTACCTAACATTTCGACTCCTTCCCACTCTGACAAGGCCACATTGAATACCGCCCACTACCCTCGCGCAATCCCACCTTCGAACTTAACGCGATGGTGAATGCAACTGTCGCCCCCGAGGGCATCTACACAACGTGAGTAACATGTCGATGGTGTCAGACCTCCTGACGTGTAGGTACCTCGAGCCACACTCTTTCGCAGCATCTGACTTTGGTCGCGTATTTACTGCCTGACTTGCAGTGCCGATGGGCAGGAGTATCTCTACAATGTCGGAGACATCTCGTGGGTCCTCACGTCAAGCGCTCTGGTCTTCATCATGATTCCCGGTCTGGGCTTCTTCTACTCCGGTCTGCTGCGCAAAAGAAGCGCTTTGAGTATGATTTGGATGTCCATGGCGGTCTTGTGAGTGCAGTTGGCCCACAGGTTGGGGCACTAGGTTGCCTCATTCTAATCGCTCGTTTCACGCATTTCCTCTGCAGTGCTGTCGTCTTCTTCGAATGGTTCTTCTGGGGCTTCTCGCTCGCCTTCTCCAAGACCGGCTCGCCCTTCATCGGTAACTTGGACCACTTTGGCTTCATGGGTGTTGACATTGGACCCTCGACCGGCTCCGACTTCATGCCCCAGTTGGTGTACGCATTCTACCAGGCCATGTTCGCGTGCATCACGCCAGTCATTGCTTGCGGTGCTTTCGCAGACCGGGCTAGGCTCGGACCCGTTCTTCTCTTTGCCTTCTGCTGGGCTACCATTGTTTACAACCCTCTGGCCTGCTGGACCTGGAACCTGTCTTCCGGCTGGCTTGCAAGCCTGGGCGCCCTCGACTTTGCGGGAGGAACACCCGTCCACATTTCCTCCGGAACAGCCGCGTTCGCGATCTCCCTATTCCTCGGCCGCAGAAAAGGATACGGCACGGACGCCCTCGCCTACAGACCTCACAACGTCGCCAACGTCATCCTCGGCACCGTCTTCCTGTTCTTCGGCTGGTTCGGTTTCAACGGCGGTAGCGCTCTTGGTGCTAACCTGCGCGCAGCAATGGCCAGCACTGTCACTGCCTTGTCCGCCTCCGTCGCCGGATTGACTTGGATGCTGCTGGACTGGCGCCTCGAGCGCAAGTGGTCCGCTGTGGGTCTCTGCAGTGGTATCATCTCTGGTCTCGTTGCCATCACTCCCGCTTCTGGATATGTCGGCGCTCCCGCTGCTGTCGCCATCGGCTTTGTGGGCGCAGTCTGCTGCAACTTTGCAACTAGTTTCAAGGGCCTCGTCGGTGTTGACGATGCGCTCGACATCTTCGCTGCCCACGGTGTGGGAGGCTTTGTGGGTGACATCCTCACCGCTTTCTTCGCCGACAGCCGAGTCGCTTCATTCGACGGCTCTGACCCCATCGACGGGTGAGTACTCGAAGAGTGCACATGACGCGTGTTTAAAGGCCGAGCTGATCATCCAACTTTGCCCTCATTCAGTGGATGGATCAACCGTAACTGGATCCAGCTGGGATACCAACTTGCTGATGCGACGGCAGGAATGGCGTACAGCTTCGTCGTCACTCTGATCCTCCTCTTCCTCATCGACCGCATTCCTGGTTGCCACTTCCGCGCTTCTGAGGAGGCCGAGGTCATTGGTGTCGACCTCGATCAGATCGGAGAAGAGGCCATTGTGTTCCCAGCCAACCACAGCCCTTACTCTGATGATGTGGAGCGCGCAGAGTCCAACACTCCTCACGGCAGCACGTACAAGGCCGACGAGAAGCCCTCTGCACAGCCTCAAGGCGAGGTCGTAGCAGCCTGATCAATGCTTCGCCCGCACCTCGATTGCACCTCTTCACCCCTTTACCCAGCCTTCCATACCCTTCTTGCTCGTGCTCAAAGGCGTCATCGCTTCTCCTTTGGCTCATCCGTGGTCGCGCACCGTTCTTGGTGCTCTATTCGTTCGCCTTCTCACCGATTGCCACCTCGGCGCTTGACCCCTTTACCACAAACCTGTAACGATACCGTCAGAAATTGAAAAGAATCATCATTTAGAGAGACGGACAAAATTCGTGCTTGCTGGGACCTTTGCGCTGCTGGTCTGCGTGCGTTTATAACGAGCCAGGACAGGCTGCTCGTCAGCCAGGCCAGGACGCGTCTGGCGGACGTGCTGCAATCGAGCTGCGGGGCCCGGTGCTATATAGAAGGCGGCTACCCGCAACTTGCGTTCCGAGCTCTGAGGCACGGAGCAGGTGGCAAGGCGATGGGCATTCTTGGCATTCACGGACCGCCATTCAAGATTCCATGCGGCGCTCAGCGCGGCCAGGCTCGCTCAGGCTCTCGCTGATCAGATCCCCTATTGTCGCTTCTCATCCGGCAGGGTGCCTGCCAAAATCCCGAGTTTGACGCTCCGCTGTCCTTGGTATTTGAACGTTGAGCAGGACGCTTGTCGACTTTTGTACTTTTGCCGAAGAAGGATCAGGCCGCGAGAAGGAGCAGAGTAGCAGCGATGGGCGTGCGCATCGCACTGGTGATGAACGAGACGGACGCTTTCTGCCCCAAAAGAGGTATGGCACAGCGCGGACTAAGCACCACGGCACCGCAAGATGGTCTACGCATAGATGAAATTGTATCTGGACAAGAGGTGCGGTATGGCGGACAATTGTGGACCGTATCTGTGTGCAAAAGAGACATTGTACGTCAGCACCCTGCGCCCAAGCTCAGGCGAGAGAAGCGACGTGCGCTGGTGCGCGCTGGCTCACCTCTGGGAGTTGTCGTACAATTCGAACAGAGGCACAGCTAGCAGCTTCATATTCTTGGGAACGCTCAATGTCTCTGTAACACGCAAAAAAAAAGGTCCGGTGTCAGAGGTGAGCATGAAGAAAATGCTTCTCGATGAGCGAATGAATCGCTCAGTGGGGCCACTCACTGGTTGGTGGAATCTGAACGAGAAAGAGCTTCTTGTGCTCTTTGGGTTTGGTGATGTGCGGAGGAACGTAAGGGTACTTGATAGCATCGAAGGGCACAACAAGTCAGCCGGATGCCTCGAGTGGCCCCCCTTTTATTTAACGTCTGCGCGTCAGCACAATACCTGAGCTGCTTCTTGGCCTACGCACCATGAAAGTCTCAAAATTGGGCCTCCACCACTGAGCCAAGCAATCGCCAATCTCCCAAGTCCCAGCTTCGCCCGCTTCGCCTTTGGGACCATACGAGTTGGGATCGCTAGACGTAGGCGCCAATTGACCCTCTAGGCGTGTTGAGAGACCTGAAATCTCATCCTCACCCGGTCTGAGGTAGTCTCCGGGCCTGCAAACATGTCGCGGCGCGTAGATGTCAGCAAAGCGGTGCCAATGCATGCTACTGCGAAATGGTCGCTTGAGCGCTCTCATATACCGATACCAGCCCTCTGCAGCCCTTGTGTGAGCAGCACAATAGTCACCTTCCACTGCCTTGCCATACTCACAGTTTGAAAAAGGCGTTGGCGATCTGCAGCATCAGAACGTGTGGATGACCGTGCTCGTGCACCACCAGGATAGCCTCCACCGTCCTCCTCATGCCCATGTCCTCATAATTGTTCTGAAGTCTCTGCAGTCTAGCCGCTACGCTCGGATCTTCTTCTGGCTGCGAATCCTTGGTTGTGAAGGTGAAGGATGAGAGCGGATGAAGGGTCAGGGTCGTCTGTGTGGCCATGTTGAACCGCTTGATCGTGAGAGGACTGGAATGCTTTGTCTGATTGCGCTTGGCGAATGCTCGTGAATGGCAAAGAGGTCGGCCAAAGTCTGGCTTGAGGTGTGCGGTCGATAGATGGACCCGCAGTGGGTGTGTGGATGTCTAGGATGAGGAGCGACAGTCACGAGTCGTGAAGCGCTGATGATGGAGTCGCGACTTGCACATACAATAAATATGCTCTTCAAATGACATGTTTGGCTTGAGCGCAGCACTTCTTCTTGCACGTGACGAGGATCGCACACACGATTCAAGATTGAGGTGCATGCTGTGCGCTAGCCGCCATGGCTTGACTCGTGACTTTTGAGTTGACGCGCGGCCGGAGCTTCGCAATCGGTGCTGTACGTGTGCCGTGTGCTTTGATAACAAAAATGCACGCAGGTCCCGGCGGTCAAAGCTGTGGAGTGGAGCTGGGCAGCTGTGCAGCTGCTGATGCACCCCAAAGGGTCTCCCTGCATCAGCTACAAGCGCGCGTTGTCATCATGTCCAGCAGCAGCTGAGCTCAGCTCCAAGCAACATCATTGCTGCCCCTGGCCCAACATGTGACCAACTTATCAGGATCGCCTCTACTCCGAACCGTGTGCACTGCTTGGATCCTGCAATGCCGGCCGAGCTAATTCTGCTTGGCCACCATCACTCCTTCTGCTGCGCAAGTGAGCAATTGCACATACCATCCCGGTGTTGCGTTGATCGCCGGACTTGACGGATGGAGCTCATGCAGCGGTCTTAGCATTCTTACTTGCTGTTCGGCAAGCTCCTATTGTCGTCCCTCTTTCGCATTCGAGACCGTTGGACTATCCAGCCTCGCACTGCGACAGCGCTGTCATCTCTGTGCACACCCCGTTCCGCCACCTCGCCACCCGCCACGCGCCATCTAGACCTTTCTCGATGGCTCCTCCATTGCATCCACATACACTTCGACTTTGCCAGCAATTTCAACGATGTCGATGATGATGATGCAGGTCCAAGGCTTCGTTGCGCTGCATCAGCAAGATTCGAATTTTGCAGATGTGCTCGGAGCTTTTCTGCCGTTTGCTGTGTTACTGCTGGCAATCTCGGCCTCCCTCGTGCCGGCATCCAGGTTGCCCAGCTGGCTCAAGCTCGTCCTTTTCGACTTTGTCACCGACGAGGACTTGGAAGAAGCGGGAGTGGCGAGGTACTACGAGAGTCTCCGCGCGCAAGCCGATGCAGCGGAAGTCGAGGAGCACGATGCGGACGAAGAGCTCAGCAGCGAGACTCAAGCTCTCCTCTCGCCTACTGCCACATCAGCACCTGTAAAGGACCGCAGTGACATTGTCACAATTCTGCGGCCCAGCTTTGCCCGTACGGCAGCCCTCTTCGGTTTGGCTACCGCGCAGCTCTGCTGGGTCGCTGGAGGAGCAGCTTATGCAGGAGCACTGACAGCAAGCAGTCGAAATTCGTCGGGCATCACTCCTTCTGCAGTCCTGCGCATCATCGTCTGGAGCTTCGTGCTGCTTCGACTCCTGCTCAAACCACCAGCATCTCCTCCCTACGATGTCGTCGCCATCACCTTTTCGAGTCTGGTCGGCGCAACTCTATGTGCAGCTCAACAGCTGCTTGTTGAGGATCAGGGCGAGACCAAGACACTAAGCATCTTTGGCGATGCGATCTCGGTGGCGTTGCTGCTTGCGCTTCTGCTGCAGCTCAGCGCGCTGCCCCTCAGCACATTGCGGCTAAAGGGGACCAGAGGCAGAGCAGTGGCGCTGGAGGACTCTGCCACGTTGGCTTCATGGGTGACCTTCAGCTGGCTGACTCCGCTGATTCAGCAAGGCTCGAGGCGAGACTTGGACGATGTCGACGTGCCTGACGTCAGCGCGAGCATGCAATCGAGCCTGCTGCTGTCCAAGATTCTCAAAATGCAGGGCTCGTTGCTGAAGAGGTGCTGGCGCGCCAATGCACACGACGTGGTGATTGATGCGTAAGTCGATTACCCAATGTGCGCGCGCCTTGGCCAAGCAGACGAGCTCATCAGTCTTTGACCGCTTCCTCCCCCACATTTGCACGCGACAGGTGCTTGACCTTCGTGTCTGCCGCGCTTTCCATTGCCGGTCCATACTTCCTCAAGCGCATCCTGGAAGCAATTCAGGCTGCCGACGTCGCCAGCGGTGGTACGGGGCGCGTTCCAAAGTCCGCGTATGCCCTGCCCCTGGCTGCCTTCTTCGCGGCTGTGTGCAAAAGTCAAAGCGATGTGCAGCACCTTTTCGCTGGTCGACGTGCTGGCGTCCGCGTGCGCGGCGAGCTGATCTCTCAGATCTATCACAAGGCCCTCAAGACGCGCGCCATGTCCGCGGGACGGACAGAGGTCGAAGCGAGTTTGCCAGGCGTAGTGGATAAGATGAGCATGCGGGATCGTAGAAAGAGCAAAGGCAGCTCCAAAAATGTACCGCCGGACCAGCAACAACCGGCGGGCAAGGATTTGGGGGCCATCGTATCACTCATGGCAGTTGATTCCCAAAAGATCAGTCAGCTCGTGTCCGGTGCGTACTTTCTGTACTCGAGCCCCGTGGAAATTTTGGTCGCCAGCATCTTTCTGTACCGCCTCCTAGGTTGGTCAGCGGCCGTTGGCTTCTCCGTCCTCCTGGTCTCTACGCCTCTACAGTCATATCTGACTCGCAGAGCGATGCATATTACGCGAGAGCTTGGCCAAGCTCGAGATCGAAGGACTGCCCTCATCGCCGAGCTGTATGCAGCCCTTAGACCTGTGCGCTACTTCGCGCAAGAAGAACAGTGGACGCAGCGCGTCCGAGATGCGCGAGAGGTGGAGCTGCAATTGCTCAAGAAACGTCAAGTGCTGAGCGCTGGCATTGCTGTGCTATGGGCTGCCGTCCCTGCCGCCATCACGACGATCTCCTTCTTGACCTACATTCGTACCGGGAACCGTCTTGGCATTGAGGTGGCTTTCCCAGCCATTCAAACCATCTCTGCTATGCGCGCAGCGTTGAGCATCTTACCAGTCTACATCACAAACTTGCTCAATGCGGGCGTCTCCATGGAGCGTATCGAAACTTACCTCGCCGCCGACGAGGTGCCGGAGTGGGTCTCCACCTTAGAAGCGAGCCACTCTCCAGTCGTTACGAGCGGCAAGCTCGGATTCAAGCAGGCCACCCTCAGCTGGGAGAAAGCGGACATCACAGAGCCCGTTCGCGAGGCAGAGCCTCGACAATTACATAAACAGGCGCTCCTTGCGCGCGCTGTGCAGAGAATCAGAGGTCAACGAGACAAGGCTGGAGAGACTGCGCCTCTTTTGCCTGGCGACGGCGCCCTGCAGCCACCGACGGGAATAGATGGGTACGACTCAGGAGCCGCGACGCCAATTTCACCCTTTGCGCTCGAAGCTTTGGACGTCATGTTCCCTCAAGGCAAGCTGTCTTTGGTGTGTGGTCCGACTGCAAGTGGCAAGAGCTCGATGCTCGCTGCTCTCTTGGGCGAGATGGAGATTCGCGAGGGCGATGTCTTCTTGCCCAAAGAAGCTGGAAGAGTACTACAGGGTGGCTTGATATCCAGCGTTGCTTTCGCAGCCCAGAGACCGTGGCTTCAACATGCGACTGTGCGGGAGAATATTCTTTTCGGAGCCCCATTTGAGGCGGATAGGTACGAGATGGTGTTGGAGTGCTGTGCGTTGAAGCCCGACTTGGTGCTTCTACCAGCTGGAGACGAGTCGGAAGTTGGAGAAGGTGGATTGGTCCTTTCGGGCGGTCAGCGAGCTCGAGTAGCTCTGGCAAGAGCGATGTACTCGCGTTCCGCCACTGTACTCCTCGATGATATCCTCAGCGCTCTCGACGCGCAAACCTCCAAGCAGGTGGTCACGACGTGCCTCAATGGCCCGCTTCTGGAAGGTCGCACTTGCATCATTGTCTCGCATCATGGTGGGTGTCGGTCGCCAGATTCTCACGAGATCTCGAGAACTGATCACCCTCTTCCGTCCACACAAAACAGTGGAGCTCGTATTGTCAATACCTTGCGCCCTCGTGGTTAAGATGAGCCACGGCCGCATCGAGGCTCAGGGAACCCCAGAGGAACTGCGGGAGCAGGGTCATCTGGCTGCTATCAAGGCGGAAGAAGCTGCTGAAAGCATCGAGCAGGATTTGCAAGCACCGATCACTGGAGCCCAGCAGTTGGAGCCAGAGGGCTTGCCCGCCGCCGCACCTTCTGTGCCTGCCCTCAACGTTGGAGGCAGCCTAGGCAACGCCGCAGCCCTGGCCGTCGAAGTGCGTAGCAGGCGCGAGCGAGGCAAGCTCGTGGAAAAGGAACGGAGGGCGAAAGGGGCGATGAAAGTGCAGGTGTATGTCACTTATCTTGCAGCTTATGGATCGATCACTGTCGCGCTGGCTCTGCTTGCTCTAGTATCTCGGCAGACCTTTGATACGGGGGAAAAGTTTTACCTCAGCTTTTGGGGCAGCTCATACAGCACCAAGGCAACGAGCGCTGCATTCGCAGTCGCAGCGGCCCCGCAGCAGGCAATCTCCTTCCTATTCAGTTCCGTTGGAGAAGGCATTACAGGCTTCCATGCTCTAACCTACTTAGCGTCCGACCTGCAACTGGGTCAAGTAGGTGCATCGGCGCTACCGCCTGCCAACGAAAATGTTTGGCCATACCTCGGAGGCTTTATCGCCATCCAGGTCGCAGGCTCAGCATGCCTATGCTTGTTGATACTGATTAACCAATCCGGTGGACGAAATGCTGCACGAGCACTCTTCATTCAGGCTCTGGAGACATTAATGCGCGCGACGTCGAGGCACATCGACATGACGCCCAAGGGAAGAGTGCTCAACACTCTCAGCAAAGACGTCGGACAGGTGGATGAAAGCGTGCACGACACGATGCAAGCCATGGCGGGATACATAATTGGTCTTGTGACCTCTCTGGGTGTCATCACTCTCACTTTGCCTTTCATGCTGATCCCGAGCGCGCTCTTGGCCTATGCGAATTATAAGGTGGCGATTGGATATGTTCGTACTGCTCGTTCCCTCAGGCGGATCGAGTCCACTAGTCGATCTCCACTCATCTCGAGCTTCAGCGAGCTGCTGTCGGGCCTGGACACTGTCCGCGCATTTTGCGCCGAGCGACGATTGCTTGGCAAATTCCTTCAGCGACTGGATCATACGCAGAGCGCATTTCACTACTTTTGGATGTGCAACAGACATTCTCTGTTACGTCTGGATGTCCTTGGTGCTCTCGGTATTATGGGCGCGTCCATGACCGCGCTGGCAGGAGGCATTCCGGCTGGCCTGGCTGGTGTGGCTCTGAGCATGGCATCCTCCACCACAATGGCCATTTATTGGCTTTCGAGGTACATCACTTCTCTCGAGCAGGATGCCAACTCGCTCGAGAGGCTGCAGGATCTCATCACATTGACTCCAATGGAGGCATCAGCAGTGATCGAGAGCAACAGACCGCCCGCTTCGTGGCCCTCGAAGGGTGCCATCGAAGTGCGCAATCTGTCCCTGCAGTACGCGCCAGAGCTGGATCCCGTGCTGCACAAGGTGACTTTCACTGTGCAGCCTGGCGAGAAGATCGGGGTGGTGGGCAGGACCGGAAGCGGCAAGTCCACGCTTGCGCTCGCCCTCTTTAGGCACCTGGAGTACATGCCGGGGTCTCAGATCCTGATCGATGGCATAGACGTCTCTGCCATTGGTCTGCGGGATCTTCGATCGAGGCTAACAATCATCCCACAAGATCCCACGCTTTTTACCGGGACTGTGCGCTCGAATCTAGATCCATTCAACGAGCACTCTGACGAAGCCTGCATCGAGGCTCTCCACCGCGTTCATCTCCGCACCACCCCACCGGTCTCCCAACCCGCCAGCAGGATGACGAGTCGATACAACACGCTCAGGCGCAGACCCAGTGCTCTGGACGGCTCGTTTGCGAGTGCAGAGGACGACAGCGGCACGCCGGGTGTAGACGGGGAGGACGAAGATGAGAGGAGCTTCGTCACCCTTGATTCTCCAATTGCCGATGGCGGCACAAATCTGAGTCAAGGCCAGCGCCAGCTCATTGCCATGGCAAGGGCACTGCTACGCGCGGGCAAGGTGATCATCATGGATGAAGCCTCTTCCTCGGTCGATTTTACCACAGATGAAGCTATTCAAAGCGCCGTTCAAGATGGGTTCAAGCACTCTACCGTGCTGACCATCGCCCACAGGCTTTCTACCGTCGTCGGCTACGACCGGATTCTGGTGATGGACGCCGGTCGTGTTGCGGAGTACGACACGCCTGCGGCGCTACTGTCCAAGACGGAAGGCCTTTTCAAGAGCCTCTGCGAAAAGAGCGGCGATTATCGACAGCTGCGGCAGGTCGCTGAAGAGGCCGCGGAAGCGAGACGAAGCAGGCAAGACTGAAGTTGTGCGTCAACGCACCGGATTCACTGACGAATACATCCGTATGGCTCCAGATAGAGCGGGGAATTCCACTTTCATTCCCGGAATGCAAACCTAGTCATCGGCAATTGTCGGCAGTATCAATGAATGCATGTGCTACGTTCACGTGATTCGTGCCTGTTCTGGTCATTTCCCCTATCAAGCACCAGCGACACACTCGGTCGACAAAATGACTACGATCAGCATACAGGTAATGTGCACACATACAGCAGACAGGTCAAGCGACATAGCCTCGTCAAACCTAGAAATTATGAAGTTTGGAGGACGCGTGCCGGCACGTCGACAGTCGTTGAGCAGAGAGATCCATCTGCTGGTTGGGATGTCCATCAACGCATCTCTTCTGTCTGGTCACCGTCGTCCTGCGCCAGGGGAGATCCAGATTGGCTGTGGTAGGAGGAGCGAGAGATGCGCAGGCCAGCTTCGGGATAGTCCCATGTCCTGTCGACGCGATCGCGCATCTCCTCTTCCTCGACCGTGCCAAAGGTCCTCAGGACTTCCATGGCCGATGCGTTTGTGCCATTAGTCGCCGTCTGTCGGTTCTCTCGCGCAAAAGCCGACATGACGTTCCTCGCGGGGATCGTGGAGGGGACAGGCAAGACGGGACGAGATGGTGGCGTGTCGCACTGCGCATCGTCCATGCCTGGTGTCCTATTGTAGGGACTGGTCCGCGCTTCCTCGTCTGGCGTTTTGCTGCGATCGCGCGAGGTCTGCAGAGCCAGCGGATAGCTGCGATGAGGCAGGGTATTGTTCGACGACAGTGTTGCTGTGCCTCGCAGCACTTTGTCGTGTGCTGATGCGGCTCGCAAGGATCGTACGATACGACAGGCCATTGTTGAAGTGAGGACGGTGTGAATGGGGATCAATTGGTCTCTGCAAGCAAGCGTACCGAGTGCAGGAGGTCAGCGTCTATTCATGGGCGAGGAAGAGCAGCACGATACCGCACGCACCTGACGAACGAGGGATAACCATCGGGCGGGATTGCTAGCAGCATCGCGCAGCTTAGTGATGTCAGCACCATCACGGCGAAATAGCTGGCGGTGCTTTGGAGCAAGGAACTGAGCGCAGGGCTTGTGTCTTAGTGACGAGCTTGATCATTTTCATACACCGCCCTTCAGCACTTACTCGCGAACGGGTCTGTGAGATCCGCCGATGCTTCCTCCGTCGCCGTGCAAAAGCCACAGCATGAGGCAACTCATGCCGAGATCGTAGAAGAAAGCCATAAAGTAGACTAGAGAGGAAAGTCTCTCGTAGGTGGGTGTGACGGGGCATGCAGTGACGCTATTGGACGTACAAAAGCATGTTAGGGGCTGCAAGATCGTTGGTTACACAGCTGACGACGAAGGACTCACCCGCCGACGTCTGGCTGTTGGGACGTATAGGTTGCCAAGAAGATGATGTGGGAGCTGCGAGGACGATGAGTCAGCGGACCTTTCCAATGATGCAAATTTGGAGAGGAATCCTCACAATGTGGTCAGAATGCAAGCTGTCCAGACTGTGATGGTCAAGCCTTTCCTGCCCATCAAAAGAGCTTGTGCACGAAGAGCGAGGATGGAGTAGGATCCGGCCGCAGAAATCATGGCCAGCGCAGCTATCGACTTGAAGACTGCGGCGCAATTGATAGCTGGGTGATCACCAGCGAAGAGTTGCAGCAGATAGAGCACGAATGCAGACAGGGTGCTGATCCTGACGGCAAAGTAGGCGAAAGTGATCGTCCGGAAGGGCGCTAGCAACATTTCAAGCTCGGCAAAGATGGAATAGCTCCAATCCCCAACGAAGAAGCCGAACGCTGCGATGTAAGGAACCGCTGATTTGATGACGGCATTGGCAAAGGCTATGCGGAATTGATACAGCGCGACTTGGGCGGACAGGTCGCCGGCAGCGGCCGCCGCAGCAATGGAAGGATCCATAATGTTTTGAAATTTTCACCTCGGAATAGCTATTTGTGAACGAGGCTGAGCGTAGCAACGATGACGGACTGGAGCAGCAAGCAAATGGGAGCTGTGAGACTGGAAGGCCCCACAGCGTCTAGACTTCAGGGATACTTACTTATACTTGGCTCGAAGAACGACTGAGGTTCAGGTTGTCAGCGACAGCAACGATTCGCAGCAGTGTGTTTCGGGTACCGGCGCCATGATTGGAGACAATCGGCCTCGGCCAAAGAACAAATCGCCGGGGGGCATGAGGCACCCTGCCGTTGGAGATTGCCTAGATTGTCAAAGGTGGGGCAAAGCTCTGCAAGCAGAATGCTGTCGCAGCCTACGCGGTCTCCCAACGGGAGCTTGGCCTCGCTAACACAACGGATGCATCACGGCTCTTGGCGGGGCGACTGCGCGTCCCGGCCTTCATTGTTCCGTTGACGAAGTGCTGAAGATCTCATCTCCGCTGCTTGTTTGTCTCACCATCCAAGACGAGCTCTCCATTTGCCGCAACCCGAGTCACTCAGACCGATGAGCAGCAGACCATGCAAACCTTGCCCGCATTGGCGCGCACTTTGGGAAGAGATGCCGTTCCGTGTTTCTGCGGAAGCAAGTCTTGGATATTTCCAAAGACCCGCATGATGAGGTGATTAGCGTAGATTTGTGATTATTGCAGCGGCACACACCCGACGAACAGCACGTGCACAGTCAGCACTGAACTCTTTGAAGGGTACAAATCGGAGGGCAAGACTGGGTCTGCACAGCGGACAATCGTACCACAGCACATCGCACAAATCTGTTTGTGTGTATGTGACGGAGCTCATCATGCGCTGGATCAAGTGCGACAACAACTACGCGCTTCAAATTCGCTTTTCGTGCTCGTGAACAATCGTGAGTGTCACTTTCCGGCCGTTTTGCAATCCAAGATTCCAGACATGTCGCTGCACTACACCAAAGCCACTGACCTTTCTTGCGGCTCGTGACTGGCCTCTGCTCTACACTCACAAGTCTTGCGACAGATTGAGTACTGTATGCGCTTGGGTACCGTACCATTGGACATGCATGATGTTTCTGCACCCTGCTGCTGTGCAGCTAGCTGCGTGCACGCTAGTGTCAGTGAGTTGAGGCCGCTTTCGGTGAGCAAACGTGGAGCTTTGGATGCTCCGCATTCGTGCTTTGGAACAGCCAGGACGAGCAGCTCACGAGGGAGATGAGTAGGTCGAGGTGCCGCTTGACATCCACTGAAGCCTAGCCAAGTAAGTGCTGGCTGCAAGTCAGTCAACAATACTCCTACTCGACCGCGGCATTTCCAAATTTGGTTGAGAGGCCGCAGCATGCATTCTGGCTGTCTGTGTGTAGTGAGTGGCCTTGATACATTCCCCTCCATTCCCATGTCTCAGAATTTTTGACCCGCAATGCGAAGCGCCAACCCTTCGCGCTCGAGACCCGCTCCGGGCTACGCAGTGGCGAGTGGCGGCAGCGTTAGCGTGTGTAAACTTCTTGCGGATCCGCATGGCTCGGCGCGGCTTTGCTTGGGGTGCGCGGTCATCATCCGACCATCTGATGCGTGGGGCTCGATCAGTGAGTGAGTGCCCTTTGATGCCTTGCAATTTGAGCGTGAGAAAGTCGAACACAGCGCTGGGTGGGGAGGCGTTTGTCGCAGCGGTCATCTGTCATCGTTCGCCGAGGGCTGCTAGCGGATGCCGCTGACGCTCCTCTATGCCCCCAAGAGCCGGCCGCTTGGACCACCAAGACACGACCGACTGCAGGTCTGGTGATCAATTGCACCACACGGCGGGACGGTCATAGTCCCGAGCGTTGTACACAGCTTCGTTGTCTGTTATAGGCTATGCGACGGTCTGCCGAGCGGCCACTTGCGAGGCGAACAGATATTCACATGCTCCCAGCCCACACCGTGTGCAGTAAGCAAGCATGGAACGAGTGAGCGAACCCGAATTCAATATGATCCGCACCTAAATGTAATAAATACGTAGAAAGGAGTGTGGATCCGCACTTGATACGGTCATCGTGATCAGCGCTTAGATGAGTGCTGTCAGTGATGGTGTGATGGAAGATAATCCCACTGATCGAGTCGCGTGATGAAGAGGAAAGGTGCGAGTATGCAACCTTGCAGCGATTTCGTCCAATTGGTTCGCGACAGCTTGGTCCATGTCACCATTTCTCTAGTGCTCTGCGTGTGCACAGCCCTTAGCCGAAGTAATATACGTCTTACTGTCAACGCTTACATTGCGGTGGGCAGTCCGTTCAGATGAAAGACAGTGTGCATGAACGATGATGAGGTCGTTGTCGGTGTCGGTGCCAGACATGAAGCGATGCACCTGGACATCAGGCAGAACAAGTCTGTGGCCCGTTCGACAACGTCTACCTTGCCGGCCTAGATAGTATTGCCAGGTCATGCACGGCCGACATGGTGCGGCAAGATGAACATCGCATTGACAACACCAATCCGGTCGAGGCCGAGGTGGAGCGCAGTGAAAATCAGCATGTGCACATCGTGGTGGCCGGTCGCCAGGGTTCATTTGCTGGCGATCAATCGAAACAAGACACAAAACGCTTGGGTCTTGGGCCTTGGGTGGACCGACAATCGCAAATGGTGTGCCAGACCTCTTTGAACGTCCGTGCGTCTTTGGAGGGCTCGCTCTGCAGCAGGACCGCGGTGTGATTCCGACCCGCCTAAGCCTGTGTCTAAGCTGCCAGACGTGAGTGCAGGATCTAAGGTCGAGCTTGCCAAGACGTTCCCAATTTAATCAGCCCGTGCCTTCGGGACAGCGCCTCGAATTTGGCGGCCAGGAGACGGAGGGCGTCACAACCATACAGGCATTTGATCCTGGACAATGCTTGTAGGCAATTTTCGCTGGCAAGCAATGTGGTGCGCAATAGATCTTCATTCTCGAGCATGTATACTTGCAAAGAGACAGGACAAGGCAGTTGGAATGGGATCATTAGGCGTGAGTGACCAGCGCAGGTGTTGTTGTTTCATTGAAGATAACGCAGAGCGAGTGATAGAGATGGATCATGACTATAATAAAGGACGTGACGGTGATGTGCCAACGGTGCCGAGTGCTTCAGCTATGCTCTGCCACTGCTACGTCGATTTCAGTCGACGAGTGGTCGAGTTGCACCCAGCGCAGAAGGCTCGCAACGAATCGAGGATGTGCGTGGCTAAGAGGAGTCTAATGTTGATGAGTCATTAGCTGCAAAGTGATTTAGAGTACTTTGGCAGTGTTCACCCAATCGATGTTGTCTTCGGTACCCTCGATGCGATCACGGGTGGTGCCGCCCAAGGTGTCCCAGATACGAGTCTGTTTGCCGTAGTTGGAGCTTACTTTCCATCCCCTGCGATGGTGCAAGTCGTGATCCTCGAGGGCGAGATCCATATTGAAGAGCCTCAAGACGGGGCCTGCGGAACGCGGCATGGATTGATAGTCTTCAGCCTCTGAAATCAATCTTAGCAGTCATCGAGCGACGCCACTTACCGGTCATAGGTGTCTGCCAGTACAGACGGACGCCAGAGTGACCCATCGCCTCTGTGTAGATGATGAAGACCTGGCAAACCCACCAGGTGGGGAAGTTGACAGGAAAGACGAGCCATGTCAACAGGGGGATGACGAGAATGTCTCCCCACTCTTGCTCATTGTCGGCGAAAGCGGACAAAAGAGGATTTGGATGACGAGTCTTGTGGTGGAGTGCGTGGTGATGCCAGAGCCAAGGGACGGTATGCATTGCTCGGTGGTAGCAGTAGAACCAAAAGTCGAGGATGGCGCTGTACAGGAAGAGTTGCACAGGCAGCATCAACGGATCGATGTTCCATGCACTTTCTTGGCGATTATAGATCAAAAAGATGGCAAAGAGTGGTCTAATGCTGACAGTGCCAAGCATGCTCCACAGCACCTTGCCGCTCATATTGTCCGGAATGCCATCGCGCGGCACAGCACCGTCAAAGTAACCGTATCGCTGACCCATGCGGTTGAAGGATCGGACGGCTGCGAGTGCGGTGAACTTGAAGGCCAAGAAGTAGTAGACAAAGGCGAAAGCTGGATGGAAGTTCCAGCCCGTTAACTTTTGGAACGCGCCGTGGATCGCCAAGGGCAAGAGCGCCCTCGGCATGATCCACTTCCACTGCTCAGTGTAGACAGGAAGGTACGGCACCTTATCGCCCTTCTCCTTGCTAAAGACCGGAGGCTTTGGGGTATCCTTGGCCTGTTGCAACACATTTAACTTGAGAATCAATCTCTGCTCCCAAGATAGCTCGTCTGCTGGTTTGAGGTGCCATGTCGACACCATTCGCGGATTCTTGTTGAGGTTGGGTCCCGCCGCCTTGGCTGGTGCCGGTGCCCCAGCCATCGTCTGAGTCGACATTGTTGACAAGTCTGGCGCGTCGAGTGGAATAGGATCAAGGTCGTGCGAGGCTGTGTATTAAAAATCCTCGACAAGGTGTGTCGTGGAAGACGGAAGGCGGATCGGAGGAATTCAACGGCCAATGTATAAATGCGAATGCCTAACTTCGCTGTTTGCTCCACACCACTCTTGCCACACGCTGGAGCTATCGCTTTCAAACGGCTCGCGTCGCTGCTGATCAATTGCGGGCTATTGTCGAGTGTCCCAATTTCGCCGTTGTTCAACACATTGGCTGACGACCGCTGTGCAGTAGCAGTAGCCAGCGTGTTTGAAAGTTCGGAGGTACCTTGTTGCACATCACGAGAAGTGGACGAGCACAGGTCGCAATCCGTCAATCACAATGGAAATTAGCCCGCTGTCGCCATGAAATGAAATGCCCACAGGACGGTCTCGGGCATCTACCTCGGTCATCAGCCACAGTTCGATGAAAGCGGTGGGGTACAGTAATAGTATCGCAACACATCATCTGCTGAGCTCTCTTCATCAGTAGTAGTAGTGTGACTGACTAGCATCGCATAAGTCCGCGCGATCTCGTGCCTGCACGCTGAGCACTGGCAGGAAGCTCGTCGCAGGTGGCATCTTTCAAACATCGCTCACAATTCTCCACCCAAATTGATGCTGAATCCTCTTTCAGCTCTTTCTCTGAGTTGCGGCGGAGCAGTGCCAAGCGCTTGCCTGCGTGTGCTGCCTCATGCCTGCAAAGGGCATCACAGCCAGCAGACCAGCAGGGCAAGCACACATCGCACGCTCGACTCCTCTCTCCATGGTCTGTTGCAGCCAATTCGCTGCGATGGCGATGCGACTCACGCAGAAGAGGAATGCTCAGCCAAAGTCAAATCTTGGAATGGCGAATCACGAATGCGGAGTGAAGTCTTTCACCGCTAGACAACCTCGGCATGTTTAGGCCTTGATGCGTGAGCCCAGCAGGCACTCGTGACTGCGCGCAGCACGTCTCGAAAGGTGCGTAGCTATGGCTGCATGGCTGGACGTCCTCCAGCACTCACACTCACGCCCACTCAACTCTGACTGCAGAAATGAATCCCTCAGGAGCGAGCTTCGAGATGCGAGATGCAAGATGCAGCGACTACTCCAGCAGCTCCTGCACCGCTGCAGAAAGCTCTCTTGCTCGATCCATGTCAAATGCGCGGCGGCCGCTCGCTTGCGATAACTCGCCATCGCCAGCGTCCCACCGCGCATGCAGCGGCGCGTCGGCGGGCTTTTGGCGCATCGAAAGTCTCGAGAGGCGGGCTGGTGCTGCACGTGCTGCGTGCGTCAGCAGATATAAATTCACCGCGGCGTGAGCGTGCCGAGATTGGGACTTTGAGGGTGCGTCGATTGGTGGCGCGGACAATTTAATTTGTATTCTCAATCGCAGCGCTAAGTCGGTCGGAGTGCTGCGCTTTCTGCACATGACAGCGAGAAGCGAGAAAGTACAAAACATCGTTATCAACAAGTCATCGATCAGTTGTCACGTTCAGTATCCGTACATAGGTGAACAGGGACACAAAGTGGAGGGCAAGAAGAAGGAGCTTCGAGGAGGTCTGGGCCACGAAGTCTGGGCTGCGGACGGCGCGGACTAAAGTAAGGGGATTGATTGCGTTGGGAGAAAGTGATCGAGGCTAGGGCGCCTTATGACAAGTCGTCGTCGTCGTCGTCGTCATCGCCTCCGCCGCGCTTGCCTACCATGAACGCTCCCTTGACTGGTAGATTCTGCAGCGTCAAGTGTCCAAGTCCAGAATTCCAAATTTTGGCCTTGGCCTTGCCTTCAATGCCCGTCAGTGCGCCTTCGCCAGTGACCAGCTTCCAAGTGTAGGCTCTGAATTCTTTGCCACGGCCATCGAGCACAGTGATGGGCACGTCCTTGAGCTCCGAGCGTAACAGCTTGCGCTGCTTCTTCGGGTCCGTCGGATCGATATAAGTCTTGGCCTCTGTATAGTTGTGCGGCCGAACTCTCCCGAATGCGTGCTTGGGCAAGGGCGAGGGCAAAGGCTCGGGTGGTTCTGGATCCTCAGTAGAAGAGCGTAGACCTTGTCGTGAGTGTGAGAGCCCATCATCGTCGTCATCATCGCCGTCGTCGTCATCATCGTCTCCGTGCCGCATGGAAGGCGGCTTGCCGTCAAAGATCAGAATGTCCGGCCAGAGGTGGGTGATCTGGACGTCAATCGTCGCGAGCTGGCCGGGAAGCGCCATCTCGCCCATCACGACACCGGAGCATACCAACTTTTCCTTCTCAAATGGATGCGGCGTGATTTTCAGGTCGTTGATGGTGACGTTTTTGATCAAGTCCGTCACTTTGCTACCCGGGAAACTGATTGGCAGATCGAGCAAGCGCAGAGCCCCATCAAGCCACTCTGGCAGGCGCGATCCGCCTCCAGGAAGAGTCGGGTCGTTCTGTGGGTCACCTTCGGCGAAAGGCGATCCGCCCCTTACAAGGACTGTATTAGGGTCTCCGCGCAAGAAGCGGCTGAGGAAATTGGAAAGCGCTGCTTGAGCAGGCGTTTCAGCGGTGCGAGCCGGACCGTCCTCCGTAACGCCGAATGCGGCCTGTCCAGCACCCGGCACGCTGGTGTGCGCATCGACGCTAGTCTCCGCGCTTTCACCGATACCGTCTGCTGGCGGCACGACACGGCCTTGCAGCGATAGAGAAATATTGGGTGCCCCAGTCAGCTCCAAGGGGTCGCTAGCGATCACTGCCAACAAGGTCGCGTCCTCTTGACTGGCACTGCTGAGACCAGTGCTGTCCGTCTTCGGAAGGGGCAGAAACGCGCCGAAAGGCAAGTTGTAGCGCACGTGACCGTGTAGCAAGTCGCCCAACGGGTTTTTTGCTTTGGCAAAAGCTTTGATGCCCAGCGCGCGAGAAGCGAGAACTGAAGTTGCATCCTTGATGGCTTCGGATCCGACCTCGAAGAACTCGTATCGCTGCAGATCGAGCAAGTCGGACGTGCTGTTCGAGTCTTTGAGCTTGGGAACTGTGCGCGTGATGTCAGCTTGGGAAGAGTTTCAATGAAGGCAGCTCACGCAGCACTCACCTCGCTGACTGATACGCTTGCGAATGTCACCTTGTCCGAGATTGATCCACCCGGGTACATTCCATCTTCCTCCTTTAACATCTCCTCGATTGAGCTCACGCTTTCCCAGCCCTCTGACATTCAGGCTAGCAACTTTGATGTCAAGCGTGGCTTTGCGCTGCTTGATGGCTGCCTTCGCGACCTCCATGAGGTACGGAGCAGGCGAGACAGGCTTAAGGAGCAGTGTCAGATTGAGAGGGCGAAGCTCTTGGTGAGCTCGATGTGTCTTGTTATCGCGAGATTGGCTCTCATCGAGACGCGAGCGCAGCTGAGGGAAAGGCACGATGATGGGGTCGATGTGAAAGGACATCAAATCTTGCGGCGGATGTGTGTTTGGCTTCGTACGAACGGCTTTGCCGTCTAGGCCGAAGGTGATGAGCTCGGCGGACTCTGAGAGTGCATCGCTTGAAGAATGCCGCTTCGAGTCAGAAGGGATGAGATCAAGGTACTTTTCTTCCAGATCCAAAGCCCAATCGGGTTCCGCAAATTGCAGCTGTCCTACTTCAACGCGCACTCCGCCCATCTTGCCGAGTGCCCATTCGACGATGCTGCGATCTTTGCGGGACCACCAGCTAGCCTCTGTGCGCTGTCCCAGCCAGAGATCCAGGGCAGTGTCGGGATCGATGCCCAGACGACCGTCAATGCGCACGAGTAACCCGGCATCGCTGATGTTGAGCAAAGAGACAGCATCAGGGCCTTTTACGAGCAGACTTTGATCCAAGATCTGGGCTTGCGCGTCCGCGTCCGGCGCCTTCAGTGTGACGGTGAATAGGTGCACCAAAGCTACAACAATCAACAAGATGACTGCTGCAATCAATCCAAGGAGCACCCAGAGAGCACGGAGGAGGGCAGGATGGTTCGCTCGAAAGACGGCAAACGAGCTTGGCGAATTGCTCGCGCTCGAGACGCGTCTTGCAGAGTTGGCGCTGCCAAGATCTCTCCTCTTTCCCCTTCGTACTGAGCCCCGACCACCTGTGTGAGAGTGAAAGAAGTCCGACCACCTCTGCGAGACGTTTGCGAACAGTCCACCCGATTGCCGCCGAGAGTTGCTCGTTCTCAACAGAGGGTCCGTCTCGTGTGCTTGCGCTTCAGCAGGAGCGCCTCCTCTCTCCAGCTCTTCGTCATCCACAGCTGGATCGAGCCCATCGGCCGAGGCATCAGAGTCATACATTGGCTTGCGGCCATGTCTCAGCTTACTTGGTACTGAAGTTGTGGTCGTGGTAGTATTGTGTGTTGCAGAGGGTACCTCTGAGCTATCGCTCGCAGCGCCATCCGCCGACCTGCGCTCTGCACCGCTCATCGTGGTGGATGTCTGAATTCGGCCGATGCGTGGCAAGGCGGTAAGACAGAGTTCGAGCAGTATTCAGCGATGTTGTCGTGAATGTTTTGGCGTGACGATCCTCAAGATCACCGAGTCATGAGGATGGGATGTGATCGCGGACGCGAATGACCCCCGACCTTGCTGGGTCGTGCTAGACAGACCCTCGCATCCAGCCGGATGTGACGATCGATCACGCCCACATCAGGAGCCGGACCCGCGCGTGCATTCGTGATTGCATATGGCAGGCGTGGCTGAGCCCATACGCATGCAGCAAGCATCACCCGCGTGTGCCTGCATGGAGAATTTCCTTCGCGAGCATTCTTGGACGAGCGCCCTAGCACAACGTGCATCAGCGGATACGAGGGTCACGGTGGCTTTCGCGATCTCGAGTGACTTCGCGATACGATTTGAAGTCAAAAGTACAAACCTTGAATGCGAACACCAGCACCAACGGGATCCACGATCTGCCAGACTTCAGCAATCTCTTTGGTCATATTAGTGTGTCAAACTCAAGCGGTCTGTCAGTTGCAGTCACGCTCGATTCCGCATTGATTCGCGAGGCTCGCCAGAGGTTGAATCTCCACCCTGATCCAGTGCGAAGTCCTTCTGCCACCAGACACACTTGCTCGCTTGTGTCAGGATCCCCGACATGGCCTCGCTCGCTGCAGTCAGGAACGCGGGCCGGCTACATGCTAGAGGTATCGGAGCCAGCGCTGTTGCTGAAGGCAGTCGCGCTGTCTCGTCGACTGCGAAGGTTCCAGCTGCTCCAGCGTGAGTAGACTTCAACCACCTTTACACACTCTGATGAGGTACTCTTGACTTATCTCTCGCCTCGAATGAACAGTTCCGATGCTGGTCCATCTGTCCTTGAACTGAGCCCATCTGCCAGGCGGCTCGAGTCGCCTGCTGGAAGGCTGTCAGGAATGCCCACTAGTAGACCCGACCCAAATTCCTTGCCATCGCCGTTCGAAGCTGCCAAGGTCCATCCGCAGACACATGGGCATCACGTAGCCTCGCTACATCTCAGAGTGTACCGGTCACCCGCAACGCTCGAGAATCTGGACTTCTTTGCAGACTTCGCGTTGCGGTCAGCATATGCTCTAGGGATGCCATGCACCAGACCTGCCATGCTTCCAACTACCATGAGCCTTTGGACAGTGCCAAGGGGACCATTCGTCCACAAGAAAAGCCAGGAAAACTTTACGAGGCACACCCACTCCAGAGTGCTCAAGGTTTACGATTCGCATCCTGAGGTGGTGGACAGATGGCTTCAATGGTGTCGCATACACGGTATGGCTGGCGTTGGACAAAGAGCGGAGGTGTTTCGGTAAGTAGCAAGCAGCATAGACCGAGACTTCGCATTCTGGTGCTGATCAGTGGACCGCATACCGTCGCAGACACCACCCCATCACTCTCGGTCAAGACATGGCAGACTCTGCTGTACGTCAATTGACAGGAGGAGATGTACTGCCCTCGTCGAAGGAGCATGCACAGCAGGGCGAGGCTGACTTCATGCAAGACACGGAGACATCAGAGGGCAACATCAAACGTCTAGCTAAGCAAGTTCGGCAAGACTTGGACAAAGCCGACGAGGAAGGCCGCAAAGCTTTGGAGGTCGAGCGAGCTGCACTGGGCAACGCGAGTGGATTGTCAGCAGCCGAGCAGACATTTGCGAGCTCCGCGGACGAGCCCCAAAGTACGGGTGCTTCGCTGGAACTGCAGCCCAATGCTGTCGAGATCGAGGCGAAGGAGGAGATGGCGGACAGCAATGTCGAGGCGCTTTCTGTGAATGAGCAAAGTGTTCAAGCCGAAGCTCAGGCTTTCGCTGCGGCAGCTTCCACCTCTGCAGCGACCACTGGCCAGTTGGAACAGGATCCAGAAAGAAGCACTCCTGCCCAAGTTGAAGTTGAGGAAGCCGCTCAGGAGACAGAGGCAGCAGACGCGACACCGCAACTCTCGCAGCGTGGTGCGCACTTGTCTCTTGCTGCAGAACCAGCGCAGCAAAGGCAGTCCGCCGCGGAAACGGTACCAAAGCAGCCCGAGGGCGCAAATACAACTGCAATGTCCGCATCCGAGGCAGAAAGTCAGATTGAGAAGCAGGTCGAAGTGGCGGAGGAACAAACAAAGGCTGATACTAGCTCAACGAAACAAGAAGAGCTGGAAATGGAGAAGGCGAAGGCGGAAGGGGAAAAGCAGGATCGATGAGGTCGTATGCTGATGCAAATGTTGGGAATGTGATGCTCATGATACGTGTATGCGCAAAGTGAGGGATCGACGGCGTGGATGCGGCAAATCTGATACCGTTGGTAGGGTGCACGGTATCTTTCTTGACACATTTGTCACATTTGAAACCCAGGAGAGGTATCCACGGATCGCACCGTTGCCCTGCAAAGTCCTCTGTGAATCATTGACACTCTCTCAAGATCGGTATGCTGCCGTCGAAAGACTCAACCGTCTTCACCTACTCACGACTGTGACGAGAGAGCACGGTCGACCCACATCCAGAGGTAAGATGTGCGAGATTCTCCTCTTGGCCCTGCTGCTCTCGAGAGCACACTAGGGCCCGACTGACAGAGACTTAGGATATGATCTGCTTTGTGGCTGTGTTGTGTCCCTGGTCAAAGCACGAGCGGAGCTAGTCGACAGTGTTGGTTCACGATCAAGGATCATCACCTACTATTCAAGATTCACATTTTTGATTCAAAAATTCGTGATTCATGATTCACAACTCGGGCTTGTAATTTGCGTCGTTATCAATCAAGAATGCCGACGAAGTCAGATGTGCATTGTTAACTTCAGTTTGAGTCTGGAACTCTTGAATATCTCAAAGTCAAGTTTCAACTCAAGACTCGAGAGTTGTACGCGTTGCGCCAGCTGCGGCTACTGGTCTTGCGCACGGCAAGACGCGCGGCGGTTGTGCGCGCCGGGCAGCGATGCACATGCGCGCCGCACAGGAACTCCCACGTGGCTCTCGCAGCGCAGGAAATGTTTGGGCGTCGAAGAAGCGTGACCGGCTCGGGCGCTTACCTGTGCTCGCCAAACTGTTGTTCAATCACTCACCGCTGTCACGCCTCTCAACCACCAACCTCAAGACATTCTCACCCACCTACAACAGTCAAGATGTAAGCATCGCGTCCGTCTCTTCCGTCTCGGGGTGCTGTCGAGGGCAGCACGCGCATTGCTGGACAATGTCAGGCGGACAGCGTTTTGGGGTCGTCCACAGCTGCGAAGCGGTGCAGCACAGAAGCTTGGGAAGGGAGGGAGCGGAAGCACTATGGGGCATGCCATTGGGAATCTTGCAGAGGGATTGCGTACGTGTAATGAGAGTGAAGCTGACAAGACTTGGCCTCCACACTTGCTTCTTTCTTTGCAGGGGTTTCCGTCACAACAACGTCCTGTGAGTGCACAGGATTGCTTTCAATTGGTTGCGATTTCTGCGATGTCGTAGCTGATTTGGCTATCTCTGCTCGTCTTGCCTGCGACTTCAGCCACAACAACCATTTCCGCAAGTGAGTGACCAGCGAATGCTGCGTCATGCCGTTCAAGCGAAGCGACTGACACTTTCGCTACCTTTCCTGTGCTGCAGGGTAAGCACATGTTGACAAGATCATGAGGGATGGGTGGATTAGCGCATGTGATCTCTGAAGAGTCAGGGAGAGGGTGTCGACTGAAAGCAGATGGTCAGAGATTGGCAGAGGCAGCGACCTCTGAAGAGCGAGGACAATGGACGGGTCAGCAAGGTGTTCGCTCAGTGGTCTCGTTGTCAACATCGCCACGAGCTCGTGCGCCGCATGGTGGAGATGGTGGCGTTCGGAGGAGGAAGCCGCAATAGCAGCGCAGAGCAGTCATACTGACTTTTAGCGCATGATGGTCCACAGGATTGGCAACGCCGGGTGAAGGTTTGGTTCGACCAGCCTGGTGCCAAGAAGACTCGCCGCAACAAGCGTCAAGCGAAGGCTGCTGCACTCGGTCTGCGTCCCGTAAAGTCTCTTCGTCCCGCTGTGCGATGCCCGACATTGAAGTACAACACCAAGCTCCGTGAGGGACGTGGTTTCACTGCAGAGGAGATCAAGGCGGCCGGTCTCGGAAAGAAGGCCGCTCGTTCTATCGGCATTCCTTACGACCACCGCAGGCGCAACAAGAGCGAGGAAAGCCTCAAGCTCAACGCTGACCGCATCAAGGCCTACCGTGAACGCGTCGTCTTCATTCCCAACAGGAACAAGAAGAACAAGGGCAAGGTGAGTGACTGCTACAGAGAGCGATTCGGATGGCAGGCCACCAGGTCCACATGTGGAGCCATGCGCAAGGCGAGGGAACGGGGAGGGCCTCTATTCGTCATCAGTCATCTGACCGCGTTGCGTTGAAACTCAGATTCCCAACGTCAAGGAGCTCGCTACCGAGCGCAACGCTTCTGCGGCATTCCCCGTGCCTGCCGGCATCGTTCCCGAGGCACCTCGTGCCATTACAGCCGAGGAGAAGGAGGGCTCTGCGTACCGCACTTTGCGAGACGCCCGCGCCAAGCACCGCAACGAGGGCGCGAGAGTTGCTCGCGTCAAGAAGGCCGAGGAGGAGGCCGCCGCTGCGAAGAAGTAGATGGCTCGAGGGATCTCTCTTTGAGTTGCTTTGCCCGTCGTCTGCCTCATCGTCACGTCAGCCTGCCGCGTCGTTCGTACATGGCCGGAGCAGCCTGTCTTCGCACATCCAGCTCCAGGCTCACACCTTTCAACACGCATCCATGCACCCATCGTCGCACGCTCTCCGCGCGCAATCTCCAGCGTTATGCCTCTCATCCATTTTGTACACCCCCACCCCCAAACCAAAAGTCTCACGGCTGGGATGCGTCCAGCGTGATGCGAATGGCTATGATGTTCTCGGCGAGAGTGAATCCCGTCCGTTTGATGCAAGAGAATTGAGGTGACCCACAAATCGAAGTCGTTACAAAGGTGCGCAACTCTCGCCCGCCTGTTCTGTCCACTGGCAATCGTGAAAAAGCTAACGCGCTAATGAAAATGCCAAGGCGGGTATGCGCGAGTGCGCGTCCAGGGGGATGGTTGCTGGCATCCGGGGAGAATTGCACGGACCATTGAAGGAAGCCAGGGAGCCGCGGAGCTTTGTGCGGAGTAGCTTCCATGGTGCGACCACCATCTCGTTTGATACTCTGTGCATACACTCGACATTCGACCACCACCGCTTGAGCTTTGGAGAGGCCCCGATCGAGCTACAATGGCGCTTGTGGGAGATGCTGGTACGAGGGAGAGCGAATTGGCAAAGTTGTTGGAGCAACTCCGCGTCGCTACACCTGCGGACATTGAGACGCGGGCAGTGCCAGGACGGGAATGGGCATTAGCCTCGGCACCAAGCTCCCCCACCTCCATCGCCGCACTGATCGATCACACGCTCTTGGCCCCCTCGGCAGATGAGAAGCAGATTGAAAGGACGCTGTTGGATGCGCACACGTTTGGCGCAGCGACGCTATGCATCAACTCTGCTTGGGTCGACTTTGCCGTGCGCAAGGCGAGGGAGAAAAGGTTGGATGTGAAAGTCATTTGCACGGTTGGCTTTCCATTCGGAGCAGGCAATACGGAAGCGAAAGCGCTCGAGGCCAAGGTAGCGATGCAGCAAGGAGCGAAGGAGATCGATATGGTGAGTCGTGGCAAGTCACGAGCACGACTGCTCTAGAAGGCACACGACTGACTGCATCGCCATCATTCCGCACCGCACGCTGCAGGTGCAAAATGTGGGATGGCTCAAGAGCGGACATCTCGTCGCGGTGTACGAGGATATCAGGGCAGTCTGCGAAGCTGTGCAAGGCACGCCCGTCAAGGTCATTCTAGAGACTGCATCGCTCACGAAGCAAGAGACCATCGACTCTGCCTTCATCGCTGTGAGTGATGGGTGAGGATGAGACGATCTCACTGAGCTTCGTTGGAGGCGCTAGGATCAAGCGGGGAATCCAAGGCGTTGCCAGGAGCGATAATTCGTCGAAAGCTGGCATGAGCTGACGGAGCCCAAGTCTCTGTGACCCCTGCCTATCGAACACACTCGTCAAGTGTCTCGCCGGTGCTCGTTTCGTCAAGACCTCGACAGGCTACGGACCAGGCGGGGCGACGGAAGGCTCGGTGCGTCTGCTCAAGCACGCAGTAGACTATCACGCCTCCCTCGCAAACTCGAATTCGAGCGCGCAATCTTCCGTCCAAGTCAAAGCGTCGGGAGGCATCAGGAACCTTTCAACCTTGAAGAGAATGTGGGAATGTGGAGCTGACAGGGTTGGAGCTAGTAGCACTGCTGCGATTCTGAGTGAGGCGGAAGGAGCACCTGCAGAAGCGGTCCCAAAGGCCGACTACTGAACATTCACATGAAATGAACACTTGACCCGCGTAAATGGGTTGCCGGGTTGTGGGAGGGCTAGGAAGCGTGTGGGATTCTTCAGCTGGCTGGCAGGGGAGCGAGGGGCGCACTCAAAAAGTCCAATCGATTGCATTTGTTACAAGGTGGCGCGCCGAGGCACAAAGAGTGCTGACAAATTTCACCCGACCCAGTCGGATCTTGCCTGCTGCGCCGCATTCTCCACGGCGCTCTTTACGTCCTTTTTTCCAGCGGTCAAGTCCCACATTTGCGAATCTGCCTGTCGCACAGGCAGCTCAGAGATGGCGAGGAGAGTAGCAGCCACGTCGTCTCTTGGCACCGAGATTCCGATTCGACCCCTCTCTGCCAATGCCACTTGACCAGTGCCAGCGTCGTTGAGAAGCGTAGAAGGACGCAGGACGGTCCACGGAAAGGCTTTGCGCTGAGACAGGTTCTGATCCGCCTCGTACTTGGCTTGCATGTATGCTGGCAACGCTTTCCTCATCCCTGCGCTCTTTTCAAAGCTGGAGCGCAGCACGAAGCAAGGCAGGCAAAAGTACGACCAGAATGAGCTGCTGACCGTGCAAAGGAGCGATGCGGAGTAAAGACGCGCTGCGCTACACTTACTCTTCGGGAGTGTACCAGTCCGGCTTGGTCGTCTCGATGTTGCGAACATCGATGGCACTGAGCAGCACAAAGCGAATGAAATCGCTCGACTTGCTGATGCCCGATGCCTCGATGGCGTCAAAGACCTGAGCAGCGCGATTGCGGCGGGGGGAAAGGATTTGCGCAATGAGGCACTGAGCATCCCGTTTGCTACGCAACACTCACACTGCGCACCGACGCAGCACTGCACTCACGCGAATAGCCGCATCTCTATCGACTGCTCTCGTCCTTTCCTCTCCGCCTTTGCCGCCAGCGCCAGCGGTCCAAAGGATCACGTTGGGCTTGTGTTGCTCAAACAAGCCTTTCAGTCTGTTCACATCCAAATCCTCGACGCTCTCCAGCAGAGGTTGCACGGTGCCTGAGCCTTTGAAGTTGGTAATGTCCGATGCGTGATCGGGATTGCGAATCTGGGAGATGATGGCGTGACCGGACGAGACGGCTTGTCGGGTGAAAGACAGAGCTACTCGACCGTGCCCGCCGATCAGAAAGATGCGAAGTGGATTCGATGCCATGCTTGCGTGAACTTTGCGAACTTTTGTTGGAGGGGAAAGAGAAAGGAGGGGAAAGCAGGAGGGATGAGTCGAGATCAGAGACGAGTCTGGAGTTGAGTGTGCAGTCAAGTGGAGCGACGTGAGTGCAGGGAGCCAAGCCAATGGCTGTAGTCACGAATCACGAACGATGAGCATCAGCTGGCTGCATGTTGGCCACGAAGCACGGATCATTCGGAAATCACGAATCGTGAATGCTTGCGCGGCTGCTCCCTAGATCATCCCTGTTGCTGCCTCCCCTCCCTCCACAGCCGAACGGGTCCTCCTTCTTGCCAGCAGCCATGGCGCCCCGCTTGTCCGACTCGAGCAGCTAGCATGCATGCAGAAAGCGATACCATGCAACGCGCACAGAACGTGAGAGTGTACGCATGCTAGACGTTAAGGATCCAACACATTCATCGTGATGATTCACGATTCAAAGCAGCTGCTTGACTTGCTCCATCGCTCGTGCCACACCGCCTCGAGATTCTTGACTGGAAGGGCCGGGAAGAACAGCAGCAGCAACGCCAATGACGCAATTTCGAATCCATCTCGAAATACCGGCCAAATTCGAAAGCGAAAGAAAGGTTTCTCCACATTCGTGCCAAAGCGTCACGTGAGTCGATTTCCTCGAACAACGCTCTTGCGGCGGTGCATGTGAATCAGGAAATCAGTCAAAGTTCAAATGGCTGGCCGTTGCATGATGGCTTCTCACATCTGTCCCGGAACTTTTGGTCCGACGATGACGACGAGGCATTTTGGGGGAGAGGATCAGCGTGAGATTGATGGAGCTCTGGTGCGAAATCGATTTGGAATCGTGAATGTGTATATGCGTGAATGTCATCCGGACTGACAGTCCCGAGACGGCGGACAATTGAACGAGACGCGATCGAGCTCGGTCCGCCAAATCATCCGGACGTGACTCAATTGCGAACATCGGATATTTGTTCTTCGCGAGAAGTGATCTGCTCATCTGCCACCACTTACGACCGAGGATGGAAGCAGAAGCCTGGGGCTTCTTTGCCTAAATTGATTGAGATTCGTGATTGTGGTGGCTCGGCATGCGAGTGGACTCGAGTTGATCAGTGCTCGACGGCGTGTGCGTCGATCAGCGTGATGGTCCACCAGCCCAAATGGTCGAGACACTTTCAGTCTTCAACTTGTAAACTTGATCCTGGACATGCCATCAGCTGATGTTGCTGCATGGTCAGCTCACCTGGTTTCGTCGGTCTTTCTTGCCCGCACAAAGGGGCGAGGAGGCGGGCCGCATGGTATGCGCTACGTAATCGGACTTCATTACCCTGACACGCGGCTTAGCAACCTTGTGCGTCTGTACACTGAGAGCCGGTGCATTTGTGAGCGCAGAGCTCGTGCGGGTGGAGTGAAAGGTACTTAACAGGAGTGGGTTGAGGAGCGATGACCTCTTCGGCCGACTCAAGGGACTCAATATCTGCGACAGACACGATAGCATTTCGAAGCACCACCAAGCCTTTCATGACCTTTTTCGCAGACATGTCGGTTGCTAACGCCGCCGTTGCCACCACCAAGGCAGTCTTTTGTACTCAGAAGGGTGGTCCCGAGATCAGAGATTTAGGACAAGCTGCTGCTCAAGCTCCAGACCTGGGAGAAGATGAGGTGCTCATCCGAAATGTAGCCGTCGCGTCGAATCCCAAGGGTGAGCGAGGCGCTGGCGGGCGATGCCACGCGATGCGATGAAGAACAAGTGCGAGACCTTGTGGCTAATAGTCACTTTTGCTTGTGGCGCATCCTTCTTTTGCAGACTGGAAAGTTGCCCGCTGGGGAATGTTTGAAGGTATCGAGGGCAACGACGTGGCAGGCACGATCGAAGCGGTGGGCAGCAAAGTGACCCGCTTCTCAGAGGGCGATCGCGTCGCCGCTTTCACCAGAGTGGCCACGCACGACAAGTACGGAGCTTATCAAGCCAGGAGCGTCGCCCCTGCCTGCACCACTTGGCACATTCACGCAAACACGACGTACGAGCAGGCTGCTGCCCTCAATTTGGCCTTTCTCACAGCTGCTGTGGGCCTGTACGTGACCCTCGGCGTGAGTGTGGTGTCACTGCTCTAACGCACCGGGTGTGCCTCATTCTATTCGCTCCGATCCCCACTTTGACTCATCTACCGCCCTTCACCCCTCACCCTTTGACTTTTCCCCGACAATAGCTTCCTGAGCCGCAGGACAACTCGCAGCCCATTTCAGGCGCAGAGAAGCAAGGGGTGATCGTGTGGGGTGCAGGCTCCACGCTCGGCGACTACGCCGTCCAACTAGCCAAAAAGAGTGGCCTGCGCGTCATCGCCGTAGCGGGCAACAGCGCCTCTTATGTCCAATCGCTCGGGGCTGACGCCGTCGTCGATTACCGTTCAAAGGATGCCGTCGACCAGATCGTCAAGGCTGCCAGATCGCTCGATGGCGTTTCGTGGAAGTGCGTGCTCGATGCGGTCTCCGAAAATGGCTCGGTCGAGAGCTCGGTGGAGGTCATGGACCAATTGGGCGGTGGTAGGGTCATCACCACATTGGCATCCCACATGGAAGAGAAGCGCAAAGATACGGTCGAAAGATACTCGGTCGGGTCGGCTTACGGTGCCAATGGGCACAAGTCGGAGAGGTGGAACCAATTGGTGGCCGAGTGGGTGGAGCGAGGTACTTTCAAGGTTCATCCCATCAAGGTGATGCCAAACGGACTGGCGAGCGTGCCGGAAGGTATCAAGCTGCTCGAAGAGGGCAAGGTCAGCGGACACAAGCTTGTTTGTGAGTTAGTTTCGACTCGAATGTCGATCGCTTCACCAAGTTGACTGATCATAACGGCTTCCATTTTGACGCATCAGATCTTATCAGTCAAACACCTTAGAGTGTGACCCACGATAAATGTGACATTATCTGCGCTCCGTGCGATGCTTTTCCATATCACCGGACATTCTCTGCGCCCCAAGCGATGCTCTTCAATGCTAAACGCATGTCTCTTCTCCATTCTTGCATGGCCACGTACCAGTTGGTCCAGCAGGTTTGCGGGCTCAATGAGAGTAATCGTATGCTATCAAGTGAGCATGAGAGAGCGTTCAGCGCACGTCAAGACTTCACGCTGCAGGCTTGATTCGTCGCGCAACTGACCTGAATAGAATCTGCTAGAATCTGTGTCGTCTTTGCTTGGCTGAGCGCCGCGTTTCTTCTGCCCACCCTCGGCCTGCTCCTTTTCCAGACGCAATTCTCTATCCTGCCTGAGCCAGGCCAGAGCGGTAGCAAGCAGCACGCTTCCTTCTCTCTCTACCTTGGAGTCCAGTGCAGGCAGTGCGTCTGTGGCATCAGAGGAGGAGGGCGGCCATGCGATTGGAAGGGGTGTGGTTGTTGTTCCCAGCTGCATGTGCACCACGTGCGTTGGGAATGTCTGCAGACCATCAAAGATGTGCGTTGCATCTGTCAAGCAAGGCGGACGAGAGGGCTAGTGAGCAACGAATCGAGAGTGCAGACCACTTCCGCTTGAGCAGCTCTCTCACATATGATGGTCGCCCCTCGTTCCCTCGTCTCCGTCATCAAGAAGTCGAGCAAGTCGGCTCGCACCTGAACATCAAGATCCACTGTGACCTCGTCAAGGAGCAGCACTGTCCACTCCTCCATGAGGCCCATGGTCAGCTGGACTCGTCGCCTCTCCCCATCGCTGATTTGATGCATTCTCCAAGCTACATCCACGTCCAAAATGTCCAAAAGACGATCCCGTCGCTCCTTGTGGCGATAGCCTCCTACTGAGTTGAGGAAGTGTGAGACTGTAATGTCGCTGCGAACTACTGGGTTCATGGCCCACTCTGTCCCAAGATAGCAGATGCCACGGGGAGCGTCATGAAAGACATCTCGTCCATAGACACGTACGTGCGCATCCCGACCAGGCAGCCGCTTTCCGGCCAGGAGCCGAAGCAGTGTCGACTTCCCCGCTCCATTCGCACCTGTTGTACAGCAGTAGCAGAGATCGAGAAGTCAAGGAAGAATTAGCGTGCCAATGGTCTGGACTGAACAGATCCTCCTCCTCACGCACCGATCAGTAGACACCTGCTGCCCCGTGTCAGGCTCAGGTTGCAATCAATCAGAGCTGGCTCCTTTTCGGGCGAAAATGAGAAGGTGAGATTCGTCACATCGACTGCTCGGGCGGCCGAATCAGTCTTCGTTACATCCTCGGGCTGATCCCTGGTGGACTTGGCTTCGGAGGTGTCGACGCCCTTGCTCTTGCTCCAGTCCCAATAGCCCGGTCCGTTCTTGACAATGCGCTGGCTAAGCTCCTCGAGCGCCTTAAGAGATGCCTCTCCCCAAGAGCCCGAAAGCTTATCAGCATCTGACTGTTCCACAAACGCAATCAATTCTAGACCTGCAGGACTGATGAACCCCTCTTGCGCAGCGTTTGTGATCAGCGTGCGAGCTCCTTCGTAGAAACCGCATACGTTGAGGAAGATTACTGGCTTGCGATGGATGCCCAACTGGCACCAAGTGACGACCTCAAAGGCTTCCTCGAACGTGCCGTAGCCTCCAGGCACAACGATGAATGCGTCTCCTTTGTCCTGCATGATGGCCTTTCTCTCGTGCATATTGTCCACCAAGATGGTCTCCACCCTATCAGCCGATTTTTGAGCCTCATCCTTCCACATCTCTGGGCCAGATCCTTCTGCGCTACCTGCCACTGCACCCGACTGCGATGCTCTAGGAGCAGGCGCCGATGCTGCGGATGGGTTCGCCGCATCCTCCTTGGCTGCAGCAGTGGGCATGGCCGGTCTGTTAGGTGCAGAGAGCATCGTGCGAGGTAGAATGCCAAGCGTTTGACCACCCTGGCTCAGCACAGCAGCCGACACGCCTCCCATGCTGTCAAGCGAGAAGCCCGACGGCAAGGAGCAATCAGCATTCGTAACGGGCTTGCAACCTGTGACTTCCGCCCTCGTCATTCTCACTCACATTCCTCTCGTCCCTCCACCATACACGAGCCGCAGCTTGTGCTTGGCAAGAGTGGTGCCTACATCTCGCGCAGCATCCAAATATTCGGCTCTTCTTCCTGGACTCGAGCCGCAAAAGACAACGACGGACTCGATCTTCTTGCTCATAGCGGCACCTTGTGCTGATCAAAGAACAGCGAAAATGCTTCACTTGTGGTCGCCGAAGTAGGATTGGTATGCGCACTGGCACCCAGTAGTATTGCGGATGTTGGTGTGTCACAACTCACCTACGCATGGCACAGCGAAGTGGATCATCGCAAAAGCAGCTGCGGACGATCGAGCCCCTCTGGGTCCATGAATCGGAATGACTCGCGGCGCTAAGCTAAGCGCGCATGAAAGCACCACAGAAAGTGGAGCGTGCGCGCGTTCGCTCGTTGCTCATGCGTCGCGCAGAATTCAACTCAGCAGCATCAGCAGATCCTTTCCATCTCATCTCGCGTTCCCCCTTCACCTTCGGAGTTTTGCCGAAAGCGTCTCTCTACATTTGACGTGTCTCTCTTCTGGGTGCCTGCCGACCGACCACGCACGAGCCCTGCGCATCGAGCGCGGCGAGCGCCGAATCACCAATACAATTGGATGGAGCTGGCTGATGCCCGGACGCGCGCTTCAACTTCGGAAAATGCTTACGTCTTCTGCAGAGCTCAATCAGTCATGAAACGTCATGCAAACGGTCACGAATCACCTCAAGAAGCAGATCGAAGCTCTCGTCCTCCGTGTAACATTACGAGGTATGCAGATCTGAAGAGCGGAGATATCAGTCGCAATGACATGGTGACGAAAAGGCGGGGCAAGGGTGCTGAGTGGGAGACGCGAGGACAGAAAGCAACGGTGACGAGATGCGTGTATGATATCAGTACATCGTGCTGGGTTTGAACGTTGAGAGACGAGCGGAGCGAGCAGGTGAGAGATGAGGATGTTTAGCAATAGCTTCGTGTGTATTGACCATGCGAGAGATCTGGAAAGAGCCGTTCTTGACACTGAGCCATCGGCGGACGTCGTCCTGCTTTGAGCTTGTGTCGTCAAACGGAGTAGAAGGAGAGGAAATGCTGGGCGAGATTTCGGTGTTTCGTCGCAATGCACGGGTAGCGTGTATGGTGTGTGCGTGTGGAGAACTGAGAAGTGGAGGCGGTGACCGCATCGATAGTCGTGGTCTCCAGCTCAGTCAATGCGGACAGTCAAGCAGCAAGCTCATGGCCGCTCGAGCCGGTTTAGAGATGGCGACGCGGGATAGAGTCCGATAAGTACGAGAGAAAAGAGTTGCAGATAAGTAGCTAAAGCTGAGGCACCGTTGATGTAATGTGGATGTGCTCAGTGCCATTGTGGACAGCTTCCAGAGCTCGAGTTCCTTCTGACGTCTGATTCTTCAAATGTCCACCTTGCCATCGTTGACATCCAATTCGACCTCTTCCGATAGGTCGTCGACATCATCGGTGAGACCCGGGATGTGGGCGCTCACAGCTGATGACTCGTCACCAGAGCTTTTCATTGAGATCGATGCTTCTTGTCTGCTATTGGTCAGACTAGCAACATGTCTCGCCCATTCTTCAATGAGCTGTCGACCCGTGTTCGGCTCCACCTCTGTGCCGTCCCTTGACACCATGACGGGCTTGCCATCGCGCCAGGGGTTACGGAGCTTGCGGACTTTGGAGAATGGCAGCGGAGTAGACATGAGCCACTGAACGCGAAAGGGTCTGCCCCACGAGTAATTCTCTCGGACATTCGGAAGGCCAGGACCGCTTTCCGGGATCGAAGTGCGGCCAGCATCCGTTGGTCTAGCACGTGGAGTGGCTACACCATGCGCCTCGCGCGGGCCTAGTGAGCCTTCGCCAAGGGCGACCAAGTGACCCTCAAGGGCATTGGCCTGACGCTGCGCTTCGCGCTCCTCAAGACGTAGGTTGTGAATCATAGCCCTGATTGACATTTGAGCTTGCTCGTTGGCACCCGAGACCGAGACAGAATCTGCTGGGCCTAGTGATGTCGATTCGGTTGGGGAGCCGGAAAGCTTGTCGCGCTCTGATTGCACCGTGTCGATGCGTTTGACACCCTCTGAGTCCGCAGGCACGGGCAGTGATCGGATTGGCGACAAAGCGCCAGGCGCAATCGTCTTTGACTTGCCGTTGTCAGCAGTGGAAACTGCGATCGATTGCTGCATGCCCGTAGTCACCTCTTCGTCGCCTCTCTCAGCTTCCAAATCAGGTCGCGAGGGAATAAGCTTGGGTGACAAAGTGGTACCGCGGCCCGCAGAGCTTGGCGGATGGGGGGGAGAAGCGGTGTCTGGAGGCCAGGTCGCAGAGAGTATGCTCTTGGTCTGGTCTTCTAGGCTCAAGGGAGCTCGCACCTTCGGCGGTGAAGGTTCGGCAACGGGTTGATCGATCTCTTCAACGGGTGTCAGCTGAAGCGGAGACGCAGCAATGTTCGGCGTCAGCCCAGGCGATGCGGCTGACAAAGTTTGAGGCGCGGTACCGATCCGTTGCTGGTCTTCGGAAGTCTCTCGCACTTGACCAGGTTGCGGTGTCTGAGAACCTCCATAAGCGGCCCGTGGCAGACCAGACGCAATGACGGACAGCTTCGCGGCGTCGTCGCCCGCATTTGACCGTGGGACGCCTTCAGACGTCGGCGCGTCTCCTTTGCCACGAGGTGGAGTGGCTATCGAGCCTGCCATTCGCGCATAACCGTAAAAGTTACCACTTTGATTGGCGCTGAAAATGAGATACACCGCCTCGCTGTTTCGATATGCTTGATCCAGAACTGCTTCATTGTGCGGCTGAGTTGCCCAGATGCTGGTCGCAAGGCATTGATCCAGGTCCTTGACATACAGGCTCTTGAGGATGAAGAAGCGTTGTCTGAAGACCTGATGTTTGAGGAGCGAAGAATTGGTCGATATGGAGATCGAGCCACTGGAGCTAGTTGCTCCTCCTATTGAAGGTCGTTGAGATGTCATCGACGCAGTTTCCGCCGCGGGAGAGACGTTTGGCACTGCAAGAGCAGACTTTATAGCTTCTGCTTCTGTACTTGGGCCCTGTGACTGTTTCAGTGCATCGTTGCTTCCGATAGCGGCCTGAACAGACGTGGCAGCAGCTGTCTGCGTGTCGACTTTCTTTTCCAATTCAGCAGCCTTTTGCTTTTGCTGTCTTTCGTATTCCTTGACGAGCGCAACATGGATTCCGCGTCCTCTCTGACCCTCCACGCCTGCTTGCGACTCGTCCTCTTTCTTTCGAACGCGGCAGACGAGCCTTACAGACGAAGCGTCTAGAGGTCGCAGCTGCTTATCATGAAAATAGTCGACAGCAGCATCCAAATGCGCGACTGTTGCATAATTTACAAATGCGCAATTGGACCGGGCAATCACGAAGATGGATACGATACCGTGCCCTTCGCAAATGGCCTCGAACGCAGTGTCAGCAGCCGCAAGGGCTGGGACTTGACCTTTGGCCGCGTTTGAAACCTCGGACGTGATTTGCTGCTCATCAGGATCCTGAGCAGCCGCTGCAACGGCTGAGGGGTCGGCAGGCTGCGTAAGCTGTGACAGGAAGCCATGCAACTCCTCAGACGTCGCATTGCTGGGAATGTTCCCCATCCACATCACGAACTGAGACCTAGGTGCATCGGGTGCGGGTGCTCTGGGTCGAAGAGTGGCACCTGGTGGCATGTTCGATCTTTTCTTTCCCTCTGCGCGACCTCTCGAATACGCCGTTTCGTGAGCGATGGGCGCAACGCCAGCCTGGGAGCGCGATCTTGGGGGCTGCATAGGCCGGGCTGCACTCGCAGATTGGCCCACCCTCGCAAATTGATGTGTTGACCCTGGCTGAAGTGGCGCTGCAGTTGCGTAGTTCAAGGCATGCTGCTGCGCCGGCGGATAGTACGCATTGCCGCTTACAGGATAGTGACCTGCATACCCGTACCCGCCCACAAAAGCTGGTGGTTGAGGTACACTTGGCGTCCACGTATGGGGCGCCCGATGCTGTGCAGGCCGACTGGCGCCCTGTCCGAGGGTATCGGCACGAGGCTGAGATCCCGATGGAGATCCAGACACTAGCGGAGCGCCCTCGTAAGTGCTGACGTGTCTAGCCGGCAGGGGCGGTCTGCGGGTTGCTGCGTGATTAGGCTGTTGTGTCTGAGGCTCATAGCTGTACCAGACGCCATTGTTCGCGCCTGCAAAATTCCCCTCATGATAGGCCACTCCGTACACAGGGCCTCTTGATGTCCAGGGCGGCCTGTGACCTTCATTCGCAAGCGGATGTTGTGCATGCTACGCTCAAAGAAGGCCGTACGACTGCTCAGATTCACACTCTTCTTCGAAATCAGATCAATATGGCTCACCTGGCTGTATGCGTAGGCCTCCAGGCCCGGCTGAACTCCCGGTGCTGGGTATTGGAAGTCTCCCATAGGGGCAGGAGACACTGACTGTGCTGGTCCTCCCGATGAGCTCCTTTGACTGCTCTCTGGACCTGGAGACGTGGCGAGCGAGGGCCCCGGCGGTGAATGATGAGTGACGAGTGATGGCGTTCCAGCTGAAGGGTCAGAGTGCCCAGGCGATGATGTGGAGTAGGGGGACGACGCCACGCCGGCAGGATAGTAAAAGGCAGAGTCGTAAGATTGCTGTCGGGAAGGGAACGGACTTTGGAGCTGCGTAGCAGAGAGCGCTGAATGGTAGCTCTGCTGATACGGATGAGCTGTTTGAGTCCCCTCTTGCGGTCCACTGCCCACAGACTGGTACATGTCAGGGCCGTAGGGATTCGACGCAGGGTATGTTGGCACCATCCCGGGAGCATCCTGCCGATACGCATACATTTGGGGTTGCGTGCCGTATTGGGACCAAGTGTCGCTGTTCCATCCAGGATGACTGTGATACTGGCTGGTCATCGAGGCTTGCTGCCCTTCAGTCCATGCCTGAGGTCGAGCGGCTAGTCGAGGTGGGGGCGGAGGTGGCACACCTTGACTTCGCTGCTCACCTCGGCGTGCCTCGTTGCCTCGACTAGCCATGTCGCAGCTTCTGACTCCCCTACTCAACTGGATGCGTGTGTCATAGAAGGTGGATGTTTAGGTTGCCGATCCAGAAGAAAAAAAAAGGGTGTGAAGGGGGGTCGGAATGTCGAGGTAAGCAAAAGTGTCAAGATTGAGGAAGGCGGCAAAGGCCGGGGTGACACTTCAGATCAGCTCCGCAGTGGGAAATGGCGTGGCGTGATGGCACCGCAAGAAGCTTCTTGGTGCTTCTGCGGGGGTCGAGGATGGCGAAAGGGTCATGCCGAAAGCTAGCTTTTCAACGCGACAAATGAAACGAATGACGCGAAATGGATACGGTAGGTGCTTGAATGGAAGCGAATGTGACCTGTCGTGGCCGAAGCAGGTGCGTGTCAAATGGAAAGAGAGCTGAGAGAGAAGGGGGGAAACGAATGGCTTGGCCAAGGCCAGACTATCCAGGCAGAGCGTGTCGAGGTCGAGAAGAAAGAACCCTTTGGCGTACAGCAAGCACGTCAGTCAACAAATACATGATTCCAGCGGCGCAGATGCAGTCAGTCGTTAGTGATTCTGCAGATGAAAGCGCCTGGCGCCTGCATGGCGACATGAGCCTGGCAGACTCGCATCAGCCTCATTGGCACATTGCTGCTGATGCCGAGCAAACCCACACACAAGTCTCGGCTAGCGCGCTGCGGAGCGACAAACCGCGCAGATAATTAAAAAGCTCATCCATGCAGTCACGCGTACCAATGTGAATCGATATATACGCGCTGAACCCGCGCTGCCCGCTGCGATCGATCAATCGTCCATCCTCAAGTGCCACGCGCGCTTCCAAGACTCGTTCGCATGTATCATACGTTAACCGCGTATGTTTCTCAAAGACTGGACGCGCCGCCGGCGCGTGGATCACGTCACCGATTCGTCTTGCCGCAGCAAAAAGGCTTTTTCGTATTTTTGATTTTTGATTTGAATCCCCGATTTTGGATCAGGGTCCTCTAATGAGGTCTGTGCATGTGACACATCTCCGTCGTCTTTGCAACGTTCTTCTTCAGCTCAGACCACGCCATAAAGCAATGATGGCAGCACGGGAGAGCGGCCTTCGTCTGGTCGTGGAGCTCAGCCATAAATAGAGGTCACTGGTTAAGAGCGAACGTCGGATGATATATATCTCATTCACGGGCTTGCGTGCCAAAGAACACATCTCATAGCAATCTTGGATGATGGACAGTAAGTAGTTCAGTAAAGGAGAAAGCGCAAGAAAGCGAAAGGCGTTGATGAGGAAGCCAACAACATTTTGGCAACAGTGTTGCTAAGCTGATCGATTGGAAAGCCGGCTTACGCCCGCGCGCGGGCTGCACTCTTTTGCGGCACTTTGGGACTAGCCAATTCATCCCGGGCATTGTCGCCCTGGACGATCTCCCCATTGATGCCGTTGGGCGACGAGGGACTACCAGGGGCTGTGTGTAGGGTTGTGGAGATCGCAGGGCTTGTAGGGCTGCCCGAAGCGTTTCCATGTGCTGCAGGATCGGTGTTCTTCGCAGCTTCCGCTGCTTCCTTCCAGGGATTCGACGGCGCACGTTGACCTGCCTGAGGGGACTTCGTCGAATTGCCATTCGATCCTTCAGTGGATCCGCTAATCGACTGGCGCAAATTCGTGAGACTTGGCGAGTGCTTGTAAGCAGAAGGCGCGGCAGCGGCCTGAGCTCGACGCTCCCTGCGCTCTGCACGAGCCGCGCGCTTTTCACGCTTGCGAGCAGCCAGATCCATGGCAGAGTAGTCGGCATCGCTGACGTTGGTATCGTCGTCTGTGATCATGCCGCCGCCGCCGCCTACACCAATGGAGGAAGCGGCACGGCCACCATGGGTGGCGTCGCTCTCATTTCCATCACGCGCTCCATGACCGCTGGAAGAGGGCAGGCCATATTCGTAGCGCATGCTAGAAATGGAAGCATTCGACGTCCTGCGGTCGCGGCGCCTCTCGCCACGGTCGCGCTCGCGTTCGTAAGTGCCAGAGCGACGACCTTCGAGATGTGTGAGAGTGGACTCCAGCTGCTGCTGAATGCGCGAAATTTGATCAGTCACCACGCTGGTCCGCGTTTGGATCTCGCGGTTCATTTGGTCGTCTGGGAAGTGATGAGTCTGCGACGAGGCGGGTGAGTGACGTCTTAAGCGCTCGCCTCCGTCTTGCGACAGACTTCTCCGTCTGTTGGTGTCGTGGCCGTTCCGCGACCTGGACGGTCGACCTTCCGAGATGCGTGCTTCTGCCGCTGTGCGATGGCGCATGATACTTTCGGCCTGCTGGGATGCCGTCTGACTGACTTGAGAGCCCGTAGGACTGTCGGGGCGCAGAAGTTTGTTGGGGCCCTGACCATAATTGTCAAAGCGAGTGAAGTCAAAGTCGCCTTCTTCACCACCTGCTCCCTGGATGACGGCTCGAATCTCGTTCATCATCGCCTCTCTTTCAGACTCCAGAGAGTCCATGGCGCCTTGCATCTTGAGCAGCTCCACTTGAGCAGCCTCGCGAGCGTCTTCCGTTTCTTTCAACTTGAGCTTGATCTGCACCTGCTCGAGATCTCTCTGGGCCAGCGTTGAGCTGAGTCGTCGACTCTCACGACGTTCCTTATCCACCTTGCTCCGCAGATCGTTTGCTTCACGGGTGAGGCGATCTACGAGCTGCTGGATCTTGGAGAATTGCTGTTTCCACATGTCGGATTCGCTCATGAGGAAGGCCAGACGCTTGTTCAACCTGCCGATCTTGTTTTCTAGACCGTCACGCGCATCAACAAAGGTGCTTGCCCTGCGCCGGAGAGCGAGGATGGCAGCCAACTCGGCCTCTGATGTAGCTCCCGCCTTGGCGGCCCTATTCTTGAGGACCTTTTGCAGAAACGTGCTCTTTGACAAATCTTGCAGCGCCAGGTCGAAGGCAGTGATGACAGCGCCTTGTCGGAACCACGAAGGTTGCTCGAGCTGCTCGTAGGCAGAATTGCGCTCGCGCAAAGTGATTTTGCTGAGCGGTCTAAATCGCCCGCCTGGGTAGGCTTCGATGTATTGTCTTGGTGGCGAGTAGTCGCCAAGATTGATGTTGATGCCTGTAGCGAGCTTACGGCGGCGCTTCTCCCGCACCTTGCCTTGGCTAGGCGCATCTTTCGGAGGTCGGCTACATTTCACATAGTTCATGTCGAGATCGACGACACAGACTTCTGAAGCAGGTGTGAATAGACTGCGTAGCTCGCTGTTGATGGCGATGATCCAAGAACCGGGATCCTCTAGGTAGATGCGGACGTCTCGAGCGTGACAATTCTGATGTGCAACGCCGCGCCAGCCCCGCAACTCAACGAGGTGCTTGATAGCCTCCACGCTCAAGCCGAGAAGTGCGGGATGCCGAGAGTGGAAGAGGATGCGACCATTTGGGGAAAGCGCGATTTCGCAGATCGAGAGGATGTTGTCTAGGCTCAAAGTTTTGAAGACGGGCCAGAAAGTGAAGTCGATGCCGATCAAGCCAGTGCCCCACTCGAGTGCTCCCGGGAACGTGCAGATGAACGTCAACTCCTTGGTAGGACTGTCGATACGTATTTGCTCGCCGAGGCGGGGCGCCGGGTGGCGCAGGATGGTCGCCATTTGCTGATTGTGCATCTCGATGTTTCGACTGTACTTGTGCCAAGCCATCTTGTTCCAATCACCGAGCAGATCGTAGATGGGGTATCGAGAAACGATGCAGATCGCGTAAGGCATGAAGAAGGTGTTGTGCGCAGGAAGGAAGGAGTACCCGTCTCCTTGACCTTCCTCATCCGCGGCGCCTTCCTCGCCAAGAGGGCCATCGCCCTCCTGACCGGTCCAGCCGTTGCCACGCTTGGTGTTCTTGGAGGCACCATTGCGCTGTCGTGCTGCACGAGTCAGCTCGCGCTTGATCGTTCGTGTGCGTCGCTCGTCAGCGGCACTCCACACAGTCAGAACGACACCGTAGAAGGTCGCGGGGGCGGGGCTGTCACCAAAGCCACCGGCAGCATTTGAAGCGCCCGAACCTCGCTCGAGACCATAACCTTCACCAACTGCGCTTGCTGCGCTAGCCTTTCCAACAGAAACGCCTACCGACCCTGCTGCTTTGCGCCCATCTGCGCCGCTTCCTTGCACTTCCAGGACTTCTCCAGAGGACGTGATCGTCGGCACTGAGAACGAAAAGCTGTGCGAGGTCGCAGATGGAGGGAAGTTGGCCTGACCAGAGATAACTTCGATTTCTCGAGTGAAGGATAGCTGTTAGGCAAAGCTGCGATGTGAGCTGGCGTCGTGCTCCCAGCGTCGCCTGGCGCTCGCAAGAACGCATACTACTGCTGTACGCACCTTCAGAGCTTTGCTCAACACCCGCGCGGTCTCTGCGCGCTCTACACCTCCGCGCCCGTCGGCCATCTCGATGAACTTGGGATTTTGCGGCTTGCGACCATCAGCATTGCGGCCTTCAAATTTGTTGGAACTGTCCTTGTCTTTCTTGTCGGCTCGATCCGTGCTCATGGAAGCACGAGCGAGCACTTCGGAAGGTGCTGGACAGATAGAGCAGCCTAGGACTTCAGGACGCCAGAAGCGACCAACGGCTCCGTCTATGTGCTGGACGCCCGCGACGCAATCCTCTTCTGCAAGGGTCCACACGGACGGGTCTTTTGGCAGCTGCATTAAATGTGTGCAAAAGGCGCAAAAAGTCAGTCATACTCGCCCCGAGATACGAACGGCTTAGTAACGCACCCCAAATACGGCATACAGCTGAGCGATTGTGTTGCCATCACCTTTGCTGGTCGAAAACTGGTAATCATCGTCCGTGGACCTGCCTTCGTTTACAGGACGAAGTCCAGTTGACATCTGGCCAAGGCTCGCTTGGCTCGAGTTGCCACCCTTTTTGCTCGATGGCACGCCTCGCCTGAGTGATTTGCTGAGCGAAGTCATGGAATTGCCGGCGGAACCGACGCCGTAGAAACGCTCGCTAGCCATGGGTGGTACTTCATCCTCGTCCACATGTCCATTGGTTGGCGTCCTGGCGCTATCGCGATTCCGATCCATGCTGCCGTTTTCGCGTCTTCGATTTTCTGATCTGCGTGGCGCGTCATATTCGTTCCTGTCGTTTTCTTGGGTCGGAGTCGCGTTCTCACTTCGTCCCGAACGGTAAGAAGACGTGCTTTGGCCACGGGGGCGAGCATTAGGCGTGGAAGGCATTGGCTTCTCGTAGTGTGTCATGCGGGGCACAGGGGGCGCATCTGAGTAGGCAGTTGTGCGACTGCTTGGCCTTGAACTTGTCCCTTCGCTTTGCGAGCCCTGATGAAGGTGGCAATGATCGCAGGGGCGTCAGCACATGCGGATGAGAATGTGTGTGCAAGCATGATCAGATGTGGTACGCATCGGCTGCCCGCACCACGGAATGGGAAGCAATGTTCGTAGTTCTCGGGCTGCGGTGTAGCCGCGGGACGCCAAGCACAAACGAGAGGGGCCGAATGCGAATGAGGGAAGCGGATCGATCCTCGCATCGGTGTGAATAGGGAGTGAAGCAGCCACGGCGGCGGCATCTCCGCTTGCCTGAAGCCCGCTCCACGCCCATTTTAGGATCACAAGTGCCAAAGCCCATCTAAGTCGAGGAGACCTGAGCACAGTACCGCTACTCACCTTTCGTCTACTAGCAGCACTCTTGACGCTCCTCAAACTCTCGCTCGACTTGCGCGAAGCTGCACGAAGAAGCGATGCAAACCCTTGCCCAGCCGATTCCAGCTGCTCGCCAAGATTGGCATCTCCGCGTCTCTTGCTGTTGCGGCCCCAGGTGCTGCTCGCGCTCTCAGAGACCGACATCTCCGTTGCGCAGGGCACGACGTAGTGCTCGAGGGTGTCGTGCAATTTATATCGATTGGTAGTGACCGCTCAGAGAAGCGCCCGCGAGGAATCCTTTGAGATCTTAGAGACAGCGAACCGGAAGGCGCGGCGGAGCCGTATCCGCAGGGTGTGAGGATAGAGACGTTGGAACAGTGACAAATCGAGAAATTAGTGTGGGATGAAGTGTGACGGAGATGGATGGCGGCCGGACGACGTTTGGATGGCCCAACTTGAGGAACGGTCGGAGTGAAGAGTGGGAATGCAGGCAGGCAGGAGGGAGATGGATGGACAGAAAGCTGGACTGTTGGGCGGCAGAAATCTGGTGGGACTCTGCCAACTATCTATCAATGACAACGTGAATCAATATTGATCGCTCGCTCGCTGCTTGCTGCCTTGCTGTCATAAGACTCTGGCCAGACATGGGAAACCTGGGCCTCGTGTGCTGATGCGGCGCTGCGCTGCCGTCCTGCTACTCGTGACTGTAGCTGCATCCGCCTCCGGAGTGCGAAGGCCAGAAAGGCAGATCAAGAGGGGCCTGTCATCTGCACCTGTCGCGAGTCAATGCGTACAGTACCGGCACTCATTTGCGCCTGGAGCGCAGCAAAGCGGTCACGTAAGTATTCTATTCTCACACCATGCTTGCTGCTGCACAGCTGCATCCCCACTGCACCGATCCCGGCCCTGTCGAAGCTGCCTGCCTGCCTGCCTGCCTGCCTGCCTGCCTACTTGCCCCGCTCTCCTGTCCGCTAGCTCCAGCAGCTCGGATCCACGCGCACGATTAACTGGGCACGCACGCGCTCCGACCTTCCCTTGACTGCTGGGCAGCGGAGTTTGAGGAGCGAACCAAGAGCCATGCAGCCAGCAAAGGAAGCACCCAATGCGAATCACCAAATGTGAATGTGAATGGGTCCGAGCATCGAAAGCCTCCTCCGCTTGCCCACCTGCGACTCTTCCGACTACTCGAGCACAAGCACCGTTTGCACCCTGAGCGGTCCTCTTTTGTCATTCCCGCTTGAAACCGCTCCTTGCTCTCAATAAAACGCTCGCGGCACACCAAGCCATTCATTCACGATTCACGTTCGTCACGAGGGAGCAGCAGCAACAAGTGAAAAGCGACTTCTGGCCCTCGTGGCATTTTATAGCCTTGAGTGGCATGCAGCAGCAGTGATTGAGCTAACGCACTCACACGCATGCTGATCACAACTTCCGCGCGGAGGGCAGATGTGATTTGTACGGCTCTAGTGCCCGATGGGAGCACATCTGCAGGCGCGCATGTGCACTCCGCAATTTTCGCCATCCAAGGTTTGCCCCCCACCGCTGCTCGATCACGCTCTTAATTCGGATCCAAACTCGAGTGAGCGCTTGCGGTGCAGCAAGTTTCGAAGTTGACTTTGCAAAGGTGACCCTGCGCGCGGTGCGAGTCGTGGTATTTACACGCCAAATCACATGTGAATGTTGCCATGATTCATGCAGAACTCGTGCGGGGCGTGACTTGCCCTTTACATTTGCGTCGTCGTGCCTGGTAGTACATACTCAAAACTGCCAAACTTTCTCTTCTGGCTGACAAGGATCGTGAACGTCACCAAAGCGTCGCTCCCCCGCTTCATCAGGCACACACAGCTGAAAGCGCGACAAGAAGCATTGCCAGGAATCCGCAACCGTGACCTTGCTCCAGGCCATCCTAGGTATCGGATGCAGCGTGTTTAAATGCCTCTCTTCTTCTTCTGTGCAGGAAGCGCACTGCATCAAAAACACTAGAGTAAAGCATGCGTTCTGCAAAAGGTGTAAGAGACACTTGAAATGCGGGTCTTGATAGGAGCCAATAATGAAGATGGCGAAACGATGTGAGGGCCAAAGGTGACAATAAAGGAGGGTGGGTCATGCGGTCGTGTGTATCCAGAGGGACAGGCGCGGAGGTAAGAGGGGCATGCAAGTGGTAGTAGTACAGTGGGATGAAGAGCAGAGTGCTTTCCAACGACAATGCCAGTCCGATAAATACTTCACGCTGAAGGCCGTCTTGTGATGAAAGGCGTGCGGGGCGTTGCAAGTAATCAGAAGTTGGAGCCACTGAGCATAGACTCGGACTGGTTCACAAAGGCAAACAAAGAAGGCTTTCAGTGGATTATGAAAGAAATTCCGCTCTCCGCGCCACTCACCTCTTCGGCCACATTGTCTAGAGGCATTCCCGGTTGATACCGTGCTCGCAGGGCCATGACATGATCCTCTGCTTCTGCATTTTCAAGTTCTTCAGCGTTCTCATGCTCATTGTAGAGACGCAGAGGGCGCTCGTTGTCGTCACGAACATATCGGGATGCGGACTCATCAGGGTAGATGGAGTCTGTATCGGTTGCGCCAGCGCTATCCTCAGAACGACGCCCAGCGGCCGACTCGGTCTCGTCAGCGTCATCATTGACAAGCGCGGCTGCAGCTACTGACGGCGACTGAGGCGCATTCGTGAAAGCAGCGAAGCCATTTGCTCCGGTTGGCTTCTTGCTTGGCGAGGGATCAGGACTGGAGATGGCAGAGCCTGGGAAGGGAAGCTTGGCCGGGGAGCGTTGGGTGCCTTCCGAGTTGGTTGGAGAAGCAATACCTGCCTTGCCAGGCCCTCCAAACTTTGAAGCAATAGCAGACACGCGACCTGCCGTCGGATTCTTGCTGAACGGATCCACACGAGGCCGCGCGTTAGGTGTTGTCGCTGGCGATACGGATTTCTGGGGGCTCTGAGGCGCGTTGGCTTTTCGAACGTCCACACTTTGCAGTCCTGCTCGCAGCTCGCGTGCGCGCTCCTTTGCCGCATCAATGCGAGCTTGACGAACTCGTTCCTTCTCAGCGGGACTCGCATCAGGTCCGGGCATCGCGGGAATGACGGATCGAGTGCTCTCACGAGTGTCATCTGCACCATCGACTTCCATCCGATCCAAAGGAGGCGAGCGGCGTGCTAGATGCGGCTCGCCATGGGCTGCCGACGTGCTGGAGGACTTCGCAGTGGGAGAAGCAGACGGCGTCGCTTTGACACCGGCAGATCGTGGTGATGTCAACTGCGAAGAGCGTTCAGGGCTACGAGTCGTAGCCTGCACCTCCGTCAATAGACCGTCGCGCGCATTGGGCTGCAGGTAGGGAAGTGAAAAGTCGGCATCGCTATCCTGAGCAGGAACGCCATTGCGAGCAGGCTCCCGGGACCAGCCCGCAGCGGCGATCGCAGCGGCAGCAGATGCTGGTCCAGGGCTGACAACAGTAGGCGCGACCTGGACATGTGCCGGTGCACTGGCAGGCAACTGAGTACTGTTGTGCGCAGGAGACCTGCTGGAGCCTCCTGGCAGACTTGCATCGCGGACAGGAAGGGTCACGGGACGCGAGGAGTTTGCCGGAAGGGGTGTGACGCCAAGACCTAGTGAAGGTGTCGAGCCGTCTGCTGCCTTGGGCTTGCTGCTGGGCGGAGGCGCATCTTGACCAGTCATCCGTGACTCGTTGGCCTTGACCATTACATCCAACCAAGAATCGTCTTTGCTTTCGCGGCGCGGATCACGCCGGAGAGCATTTCTCACACGCCCCCCACTCGGTGGCCCATCGCTAAAATTCAAGGCAGCCATATCCGGGTCATGCACACTGCGCGTCTCAAAGTCCGCCGATGACCACGAGGATTTTCGGACGAGGCCGTTTGACACATCCGATGCCCTCGCCTGGTTTTCAACTGGTCGCATAGCGGCAGGCAAGGTTGCACCGTGCTTTGGCGGAACGGCAGGTGCCACGCCTTCTTCATCTCCGTAGGAATTCTCATGGCCTGACCTGCCTCGCCTAGTACGCGAACGCAGGTGGTTGAGAAGACGACCTGCGGCGGGCTCCTCATTGCTTGGCGTGACCGCCCCTGAGGGCAAAGGCGAAGACCGATCGTAGCTAGCATTCGGCACTACGCCAGCATCCGCGCGACGTTGGTCGCGTGTTCTGACCGTCGTGTAGGTGGTTGATCGTTCTATATCGAATGCTCTGGATGTTGCGGCAGGATCAGGCAGTCGAAGTTGTTTCGTCATGCCCCCGACACCCGGGCGGAATGGATCATTCGGATTGTACGGCAAAGACTCTTCCGATCTGTCTTTCCACATGCGCTTGAAGACGTTGAACTTCCGAACGTAAGCTTTGCTCCGTCGCTTGAGACGACCAGCAGCGTCCAGGTCGCTGCGGTATTGAGATGGCACAATTTCCTGCACGACAAACCAAGCAGCATCCGTGCGGTCGTCGGCTTGGATCGCCTCGCCAAACTCGTTGTGATCGCGAACGCTGACACTTGTCGGCAGGGAGGCCGACGCTGACGACGCACCCTTGCCTACTGTCCATGGCGCTGGACGGCTCTTGTACTGTACCACCACGAAATTGGCGTTCCGGTGTGTCAGCTCGTCCCTGTTGCTCCAGCCACTACCCAAGCAGTAGTCGGCCCAGCATTCAGCAAAGAGATCGTCCATCCGAGAAATCGGATACTCTTGCCACTGTCCAGAGTGCTCCGACCCATCGCGCGAAGGGCTCGCCACACAGACTGGTGTCGTGTCGTAAGGAAAGGGCGGCAGCTTTTTGACCTGGTTTCGCAATTGCTCCATCAGTTCAGCGCGCTGCGAGGGCCACTTTCGCATGTCCTCTTTCAGCCCGTCGTCAAAGCTAAGGACTTCGCGGAGGCCATCGTCCGTAGCGACAAAGCCTTGCTCTTCGAACTTGTCCCAGGCCATCGATTGCCGCTTGTGTCGGGCTTTGCGCTCGCTCTCGCGAAGATCAAAGGCCAGCTTCGATTGATCAGGTGCAGCAAAGCCATCGAGCATGAAGTCACCCCAGTCTTTTGCAGACACGGATTCGTAAGCCTCAAATTCCAAGTCTCCTGCTCGCAAAATTTGAGACGCGCTCCTACCAATCGTGTTGACCTCCCCTTTTCGCCCTTGACCCGTGCCTCCTCGAAGGTTGACGAGTTTGCGGAAGCGATCCGAGAGTTGCGGATGCTGGCCATGGTAGTCGCTGTCGCTACAGCACGCAGCCCATTCCTCCGAGTCGTTTGTCAGGTCAATCTCACCGGCGGTCTGGACGAGGTCAGCACTGTAGAGCCGTACCTGACGCTCCACCTGCGTAATAGGTACGCCTTGTACGTGTCTAGCCGGGTGATTAAGCTCAGTAGAGAGCATCTTGGGGTATCCTTTGATGTGGTCTGCTAGCCTCACGGGCAATGCCTCCATCGTGCTGATGTCCCGGATGTATGCGTGCAGAAGATGCTCCGTGGCGTTGCCCGCCCGCACATATGAATCGTATGTGCGCTCAAACGTATCGTCCTCAGGCAAGCCGAAGATTAGCGCACCAAAGATGCGCGAGATCTTGGACGGTGTCATGCCGTTCTTGTGGCTGTATGAGGAGGTTGAAGAGAGCAAAGAAAATAGCGTGGTGAGAAGCAGAGAGGCTGATGAATCGGTCAGAAGGTCGATGAAAGCGGAAAAGGCAGTCGGAGGATAGTTGCGATCTAAATGGGGTCCGTGTGCATGGGTCATCAGAAGGTTGCAAGTGATCTGACATGTGCGGTACTCACTCCTCTCTTCCTCGCGCCAAGCCATGTAGTGCTCTAGCTCGAGGAAGCCGCGCTGCTGCACGACGATTGTTTCCTCCTCCAGCTCGCCTTTCCTCCCAGGCCCTCCCTTCGCAGGAGTGGGTACAGGCACAGCGAAGATGCGACCCATTCGTGCCATCGCCCATTTGATGACAGTAGCGAGGTCGTGGGGGTTAGCAAACCGTATTTCGTCCAAGAATCCCGAGGGCAGCGATTCTGGCTGCGCAGTGCCGTCCGGGCGACCAGTGATGGTGGTCTGCGACGCATTACGATCTGAGTCATTCAGACCCGCCAGATAGCTTTTGATCAGAGAACCCGTATTGCTCGGCGACACGTCTAGCGCCATGGATGAGAAGATGAGGGGCGAATCGATACCTGCAAGAAGCGAGACCAAAGTGAAAGCGCTTCTGTTGAGAATATGATCCACGCTACGTCAATGCTCATAGTCAGGCCAATCGCTCACCTCTGCGACGAATCTGGTCGCCACATGCAGTTATCAGGTCTGCAACTTGGGCAGCATCGAGCTGAGTGTCCCAACCTTCGTGAGCATATCCATATGTGTAGGGCTCTACCTGCTCCTGCACAGCATACACGGATCCCGGACCCTTCGTTGGACTAGCGACTCCAAGAGTGACTGGAGTGGTGGCTGTCAAAGGCACTAAAGGCAGCGTGCCAGAGCGATTGGGCTTGCGAGCAGGTGCCTGAAGGCTAGAAGACCCGAAGCGATCCTCTGACCGCTTCCCAAATGAGGCAGTCATATAGGGGCTTTTGGAGACCTGAGACCGTGCAGCTCCGAATTCGGTCATCGAAGGACCGGAGGCGGGAGTACGGTAGTCTGGTTGATACGTTGCGGGAAGGTCATCATGACCAGGCACATCAGGCAGTGGGCGGGCGTCTTGATCGCTTGGTGAAGCAGCTCGAGCAAGCAAGTCGCTGGAAGAGATCCCGTTGCCGAAACGAAGTGCGCCTAGCTCGCTGCCAGCAGGCCGCTGTCGGCGTGAGAATAGCGTTGGCATGTTTGACAGCAAGAGTGTAGGCTCAGCAATTGGAGACTTGAGAATTTGGGGCAATGTGAAGGAAGGCCAAAAGGCTCGGATCGAATCCTTGAGCGTCGTCCTTGAATGGTGACCACGAAGCCAAAGATCGCGCTGTCCTGCGCCGCTCGCCGCAGACGTTGCAGCTTGGGTTTCGAGCGCCAATAGCACGACCGCTGCGATGCTGCAGTCTCCGATTCCACGCTGGTGATATTCGCAGGCAGCGTGTCGGCAAGACGAGTGCGACTAAGTATCAGGTCAGGCACCTAGTCCGAAAGCGGCGGCGCAGTCAAGATGTCGATCGGCGCGAGGATGGATGGTCGTCGTGCCGCGTACCTTGTAGCAACTGCTCCGCCGCGTCTTTCAGCCTCTAATCGCCCCGCCAGCGCAGGACTCGGCGCTACGCACGTACGACGTATGTACGTGTCGCTCTCCGCCGTCAGCCTGAATCTGTCTTGAGAAGCAAAAGAAAGCGCGGTCTGAGCCTGAGTAGGATGCGGGCAAGAGAGAGACGTGAGGAGTGGACGACTAAAGATCTGCAATGGTCTGCCACCTCTTCATCTGGGTAGTTCATTGAGACGAAAAGGGGACGGACGGGAGGCTCGTACACGAAGGAGCGCGTGTGCGCGATCAGTGTGCACGCTTTAGCTCCATATTCACAGATTCAGTCACGACCGAGAGTGCCACAACTTCGTGCACAGGCACGGTGTGTGTCAAACGCGAGAGCAACGCACGGTTGACGCGCGGGCGCAGTCGCGCTGCCACGCCATGCATGCACGCACGCATCAGCAGCGTATATGCTATGTTGCTGCCGCGCGGGATGCAATGCGATGCGCTGCGTGGCTTAAAGTTCTGGCGTTCTGCTATTCTTTGATGAGCGGGCTACTTGCTGCATGGGTGCGGGGTTTCGATGTGTGAATCCCTTAATTGAGCGCACTGCGAACGCGCTGCATGGCATATATGCAGCATCAGCTGAAGCGAATAGCGGCAATAAGAATGACAGTCAAGACTCTGGAAGTGATTCAGCTTCATGAGTCATGATCGAGTGTTCATGATTTCAAGGATGACAAAACGCCTTCAGCAGGCCCTGCCTGTCTGCGCGAGGACCCACGCAGCGGGATCGGGAGCTGCGGGCGTCGTAGGCGTCTGAGTTCAAAGTCAGCTCGCGCGTACAAATCACGAAGTATAAGAAAGAGTCTCCAGTCAGAGTCACAGTCTGATTGAGTGTGCGGGCAAACACGTACGGTGCACCTGCTGCGCTGCACTTATCTATGTAAATGACGAATCCAATGTATTCACAGGTCTTTAATTCACGCTCCGGCACCTATAGATATATGCAGCAGCAGCGGCTGCTTGCCACGAAGATCCATAAAACCTTGAACCGCGCGCAGATGAGGGGTATAGCTTTCCTGCGGAGGCCTACGCTGATCGAAACGTTGCGTGCATACAGCAGTAGTACCCGTATACATAGTAGTAGCATCCGCAGGCATTCAAGCTTCTTGATTTGGTGATTGAGTGACTTCAATTCAATTGTGGACTCCAACACTCTAGATTCTTGACTTTGAATCGAGGTCCCCAACTCTGAGCTCCGATATCTAGTTAATCGAGGTTGCTGCACTTTGATCCGGATTCGTGTACCGGTACACGAGCGCAAGCGAGACTCGCGTCTGCGCCCATCTTGAGGTGGGTGGCATTTTGACGTGCTGGTGGTGCAGGGGAGACGTGTCCACGAATCAAGAATTGAATGCAAATCAAGAAATGCGGTACATCAGGTGCTGCATGAATCGATCAATCGTGAATCTGAATGTGAATGCTGGATCTTTGAAATTTTGGTCTTGGATGGCACGAAAATTTACGGCCTCAAGATCCCACCGTCAATGCCGAGTACGCCACCGTCCATGCGTATGATTAGCGCGATAAAGTCTCGAGTAAAACCATGCTATACACGCAAGATTCATGATAGTGATAATTCGTGATCATCTCCACCCCTGTTGCCTGGCAGTCAAGAGTCCAATTCAAAATTCGAATCGCGAATCCACGAGGAAGCTCTGTATAGCAAGAGACAGGAGCGAACAAAATGCTTCATTCTAAGGCAAATCAAGAGTCTCAGGCTTGATGCACTGAACTACATAACAGGGGTGCTTACCGTACAATAAGCACTAGATGCACACATCCGCCGCATCTGCACATAGGAGAGCACAGGAGGCCAGGTGCACCCGATCGGACCCACGCACACTCATTATCGCGAGCAGGCGAAGAGAAGCCTGACAGCCAGTCAACCTCGAGTGAAAGGTACGAGGATACCCAAATTCAGAGGGAAGCTGGCTCTAGGATACGAAACGCACACATCACACAGCAGCCTCCGCGGCCCAATTGCAAAGCTTTTCTATGAAAAAGTTGGTATGTGTGCTAAGAGAGATCAATATGCGGGAAAAAAAAAAAAACAGCTTTGCGCGTCTCAAATGAAGACCGAGTCCACTTCTGGCAAGACGGCAGAAAAGGGTTCGTCCACTGCCTTGACCTGCAGATCAAACGGTCTGCCTGACCTGTCCGCGCCATTCAATACGCTAATGAGGGTCCACCAAGCTTGCCACGACACAGCAGGGACTATGATGTTGCCCGGTTGTAATCCAGAAAGCCAAGCGCGCCACTGGTTCGGATCCCAAGCTCCACTCTCCGAAGGGTAAGGGCAGCTCTTTGCCCGCTCTCGCTCCTCGTCGCTCGTCGGAGCAAAGGACAGTTGGGCGGGTATGACCGATGTGCCCGGCGGTCCAAAGCGTTCGGCTACAAGGGGCGCATGAAAAACACAAGCTTCTAGATAGTCTAGCTCCCACGCGGACCTGTGCGTCCAATCCGCAGCGTTGACCTGAGAGAGCATGTGCACCAGCGAAGCGGTGCCGAGCGCTGCAGGCGGACCGTCGCAACAGTGCGCGTTAGCAACCTCAAGTGTCGAGGGAACCAGCTTGTGCCATCGAACTCACTGATTGCTGAAGCGAAATGCTTTGACTTGAGGCGACTGCTGGCCCATCGGTAATGCATGTGCTCCTCACCGCTCTCCGCGTTTGTCAAAGCGGGAGGCACACCAGCTCTGCGTCTGAAGGTGGACTTGGGGTCAAGCGCATCCTCACTGATGCATTCCGGCAAGTTCATGCTTTCAGCCGGAGCCTGACCGAAAGCTGAATGACCGTTCGACGCTGGCTCGTGGAAGCCAGAATCGGCTGTCGCCTGGAAGACGGGTGCGGTGCCGGCCGATCTTTGCACAGCGACTGGCTCCCGGGCCAAGCCAGAGTGGACTCGATCAGTCTCGTAGTCTTCCACCCAGGCAGCAATGCTTCGAGCGAGGCCAAGCCAGTCCTCCCAAGTGCGACCTCGCCCATATCCATCGAGCTGCAGGCGCCGCAGATCATGTGCAGGTCCGATCAGATCTTTGCTTCCTTGAACGGGTCCACCTGGTGTCGAAGCGCTGCGCGTCGGGAGTCGTTTTCGAAGTCGCTCCAAAAGCGTATCGCCTTTGCCCTTTTCCTCCCCGCGTCCAGTTCGCACCGCTTTGGCGGATGCGCTTTCAGACGGGGCAATGTCGGACGCATCATCTGCTGCATCAGACCGAGCGTCGGGCGCTGCAAGCTCAGCTTCTGTAGCAGTCGCTCCAGCGATCGTCGTGGCGACAACCTCGGAGCGCTTCAAAGCCGATTCGACAAGACTATCAATGCCTTGCTGCTCTTGCTCTGTAGGACTCGCACCTGTGCTCGCAACATCTCTGGCCCAGTTCTGCACCTTGGACTTTTCGTTTTGTTGTGCTGTGTCCAGCTGGGCCGCTAATCCGAGCGGTCTGAAGTCTTGGTCACGAGCTGCTTGCGAGCCTTCGCCGTAGCATAGTTGCATGATGCCCTCCCAGCCGAGCGCATCCGCAAAAGCGCAGGGGAGTGTGATGCTGAGAGGGTCTGTATGACCACACAGCCACCATGAGTCTGTATCAAGTGGCTTTGGTGGTGGGCCTACAGGAGTCTGGGCACCAGATGAAAAAGGTGTAGGACTGCTAGGGCTGGAATCGCCTTCCTTGCGTTTACCCTTCCCGGCGACTTTCGGGACAGAAGGTGATCCAGCACAGGGCTTCACGTTCAGCACCTGTTCGCACGCACCTCGCAGCAAGCTCAAGAAGTCCTCCCCAGCTTTCCACTTGCGCGTGCTGGACCCCTCTTCAATATGGCTACTCGAAGAGGCACGCGTCTGGCTCCATGCCGTTCCTTCCGCGAGGGGTTGCAGGTCGGGAGCCATGGCCAAACCGCTCGCGCCCGAGGGGTTGTTGCTGAGCACAGAGCCTGCAGAGGCGCGCCTGCGCTGCCATCGAGCAGCGGCGCTGCTTCCCATGGAACCAAGGTCATCGTCCGCAGTGTCGACCGCTTCTTCCTCGCTTTCGTTACTCGCCAACGTAGCTGTACGACGACGGCTTCCTCGTCCGAGAGAAGCGGAGGGAACTGTCAAAGAAGCTGAGCTCTCGGCTCTCGTCTTGGCTGATACCTCCGGAACGCCAGTAGGCGGCCCACCTTCGTCTCCGGGTACTATTCCGGTGGTACCAAAGCTTGCATCAGCCCCTTGATGAGTCGACGCTGCTTCGCTACCGCTCGACTTCTTCGCACTCTTGCCAAAACTAAACATGCGGGAGATCATCGAGGGTTTGCGTGCGCTGTTGGAGCGTGTGCTGCCAGCCATCGACCCGTTCGGGCTTTTGGACCGCTCGACATCGTAGCCTGGGCTGGTCGAGAGGGCTGTAATTTCGCCGTCGTGGGCGCTTTCGAAAGTAGCGGTGCTGTGAGCGCCCTCTTGCGACATCAATCTGCCCAGACTATCCATGCGGCTGTTTTGAGATGCTGTAGACGCCTCGCGGCCGCCATGCCCGCCTGACTTTGTGGGCTTGCGACCAAAGATGCTTCGATCGGCTCTCGGTGATGAAGGTGACTGGCCAGAGCTCACGCTCCGTGCCAGGCTGCTGCGGGATCGCACACTTTCTGGACTGACGACGCGGTGTAAACCTCGATCTGGTGAAGAGGCAGAGCTACCAGCTCTGGCGCGCGCGAACACATCATCTTTGGAGGTGCCAGCCCACGGATGCGACTTCGGCGATATCATCTCCTCCAAGTGGTCTTCCACTGAGCGCCCTGAGTGGACTGGAGAGGCGAGGATCTGCGTGTTGAGGATCGGAGCTTGATGAGAACGTTTCGAAAACGCTCTGGGCACAGGAGGCGGCGGAGCGAGAGCGACCGAGTGGAGGTCCAGGCGCACTCGAAACCGGACGCTGCGGGCTGTATGCTCCTCGCCAGCTCGGGTCTTAGAAGTGCGAGGCGGGCACTTCAGCTCGGGAGCCCTCAGATCGCTCGTGGCGCTGCCTTCGTCGCCCGAGTCCAGCGCGTCATCCCTAGAGAGCGCACGCCCCAGTAGGCCGAAGCGACTTCTGCCTCGACCGCTTAGTGCTGCAGAGGCAGATGAGCTTGCTGTGCGCGATCGTTGCATACTTCTGCCCACCGACGATGGCGCCACGAATGATGGTCTTCGAGGATTCTCGCTCTTGACCGCCGAGCTTCTTCGCCTAGACTGCGCTTTCCTTGGAGACTTTGGGACATCCTCGATCAGGTGACCTTCGTGGTCGAAGCGGGCATCGAAGAATGCGCGCAAGTTTGAAAAGGCCGGATCATCGTCTGCGTCGGCGAGCAGGGCAAGCAGCTTGGACCACGAGCAGACGGCCTGCAATGCATTGGTGTTGGCAATGAGGTAAGAAACGACGTGGAGCTGGTGAGGTGGGACTGTCTCGAGACAGCCTTTGAGCTTGAGAGCACCAGAGTCGCGAGAAGCGTCCGAGCGATCCGATGCGGAGGAGTCTGCGTCCGATGTCGAGTTGTCTTGCCCACCTGCCGCTGATTGCTTGGCTGTGAAGTAGAGGTGGGGAAGTGGCTGAAGCCGCAGTGCGAATGGTAGGGTGAAGAGCGACTGCAGTGGCGGGGCTTCTGGTCTTGCGTCTTGAGTTCCGGATTCGTTCGTGAGGGCAGTCAGTGACTCTGCAGGTGCATCCGCAGCCAACATGCTTATGTTGTGATGGCGCTCAGCGGAGTCCTTGGTGCCGGGTCGACCTCGCAGTGAACTGATGCGGGAGGAGCTACAATCGTGCGTCGCACAACCGCTTGCCTCTGATGTATGTCAGAAGGCTCAAATGCGAATGAAGTGGACGTGATGTGTCATGTGGAGTGACGAAGTGACCTTCCGCAGTAGCGCGTGGTGGTGTTGGAAAACATCGAACGCTCGGCTGCGCAAGACTTTGGGTGAATGGTCAGACCGATGATGGGTGAGAATCACGATCCAATCTTCAAACAGTGAAAGTTACGATCGAAAGCGGACTTAAGCCTAATGACTTGTCTGCGCACAATTCGGATCGCGTGAGGTTGCAGGTCTGTTTCATGGGCGCGGTGTCGTGGCAATAGTGAATGTGAATTAAAGACGCAGTGCCAGTGCTGGAGTCAGAGGCGACTGGACAGCAGGCAAGGATCGACTGTGCGCGGTGGATGAACCTTGCAGCCAATAACTCGCTTCCGAATAACGGCTCAGGTAAATGCGACAATCATGAATGCGGCAATCGTGAATCGTGAATGCGTACTGGTGTCGTACTCTGGCTCCACTTGGAACTTCAGTGACAAATCTTGATGAGTATGTAGAAAGATTCGAGCGAGACGCATTACCGTCCTACGTATGGGCGGCGAGCGGCTTTCTTGGGGTGCGTCCGGATCCAAGACGTTGTTGCGCAGCACGTCGTTCTGCTAGCTGCGTTGGTGCTGCTGGTGTGTGGAGATGCAGATGCATGGCATGGCATGCGTGCACAGCGCTTTGGGCTTCCTCTTCGCGGGGATATTTGGCAGGCAGCACGGCGAACGCATCAGCTTGCGCTTGTTCACGGTTCTCTGCTGCTGGATCGATCTCGACTTAATTCGTCATGAACATGCAGGGACCGAAAAAGGTGCATGTAAAGTACCACCGATTCACCGATCACAGCGGGGCGTGCGGCGGCGCGTGCAAATTGTGGGCTTTCTGTGACGACTGCTCAACTGCCCGGGCAATGAAAGCGCTAACTTTGGCTTCGTATCGCACTCAACTCATCCATGCACCCGAATTTAGCATGAACACGACCAAGCGCGCATAGACGCCGGCATGAGCAGCAGCTGCTGCTACAGTACAGACACACCTGTACGATACTCTACTGACTACTGTAGGTACAGCTCATGGTGGGTCTCCTGCATACGCGTATACGTACCTTTGCAAACGACCCTGAAAATCTTCAATCGTGGATCGTGAATTTTTCAGTCGAGTGTAAATCAAGAATCCGTGAATAGGGTTTAGGGAGCACTCGCACTCGCAGCTCTCACTTGATACTCTGCATGAGTTTCGGAACCGACTCGCTCCATTCTTCTCGTCCTGGGCAGTTCACAGCGCCTCAAGCTTCACGGTGCAGTCGTGGGGCAAGTAATCACTTATGCAGCGTTCGCTTCCAGTCATCTCCTTACGGAGGAGCCGGAAGCAAAATATGATGCAGGGACGGGGCGCGAAACACTGTTCGGACGCTGAAAACGCTTCGCAAGTTGCGGAGGCAAATACATTTTAGCGTGCAAACGCGGTGCAGTAATCGGCGGGTGAGGCTGCACGGTCGCCCTTTCGCTTCACATTCCCGCCGGTTTCGAGGTAGAGATCGCGTCTGTGGATCGCAATAGCCCCTGCGCCAGAGACGCCCCTGCGCCAGAGACGGATCACGATTTGGTGAGTGCAGCTGGAAGTACATTCGACGCGATTAAAGTGGATATCACATGTCTCAGCTCTGTGCTCCGAGCTCACATTCAAGACTCTTGAGTGGACCATGGTGCGCTGAAGACTCTATCAAGTCTACGATGGTCAAGCTGTACCAGCAATGCGTACTTTCGTAAAAGCAAGTGTTGCTCGAACGCACTCACTGGCTTAAGAGGAACGGCACACAACATTGGCAAAGGTTTCGAAGTGTTCCGGTACTTGCGAGCAAGCTCAGATGTGCATTGCTCACTTCCATCCCTTCGACAATGCACTGAGCCGCTCTGCTCCTTCTCTCCAAGCCCTTTCAGCGGGCGACGTCTGCCTCAAATCCAATACCCTCACTTCCGCGTCCCCCCTCGCCATTCTGGTTCCTGACGAGTACGGCCTCAAGAAAGAGTCGATCCTTCCATTGTCTTGTGACGCGGTATGACCTGGGTCAGGAAGGACGAGAAAGACGAGCAAGCTGGTCGATTTGCGTAATCTGGATATCGCATCGTGATACGCGTCCATATCGGTTTTGGTGCATTCCTCGTGGCGGCTTGAATCCATGAGCACCTCGACGTGGGCATCGCACTTGATAGCTCTGGCTAGTGTCAACTTGCCCGACTCTGTCTCGTGAAGCATCGTCCGCCGCTCATCGTAGCCGTCGATATCTTTGAGCTTCGAGCTGAGCGCCTGTATGCACGAAAGTATCTCGGCATCCGACTTGCTTTCATGATCAGCTGGCAGCAAAAGGTGCACCGAGAAGACCTGTGCAATGACCGGCAGTAGCAGCTCTCTGATGCGTAAGAGGTACTCAGAGGTTGGCTCGTCCGTCTGAGGCATCGCGAGGGACAGTGTAGGCCTGGAGCTTGGCTGCACCCCATTGGCAGAATTCAGAAAGACGGTGAGTAGGGGAATCATGCCAATTCACGTGTTTGAAAAAGCAGCACTCACAATGCCTTTTGCGCCATGTCCGTCTCGTGTCCGACTGCCAGAGGCACCTCCAACAGTGCGACCATCTCCACCCGCCTGATCGCCAGGAGAGGCGCGACTATTTGACCAGCTCCAAGCTACCCAAGCTAAAGTTGCTAGACCTATCACTGCGCCTCCCACACCTGCTGCGCTTGCCAACGCTCGCGGATCTGACCATGCTCGCACGGAGCGCGAGCGTTGTGGTGGCCCTCTCGACATGCTCCCGTGTGTGCCTGGACGAGGTCGTGATCAAGGCAAACAGAACGCTGAGAGACTGTCGCGATAAGTGCGAGCAAACTTGCGGATGAGATTGACGTTGGGTCTTGGGCGAGATTGACGCGAAGCCGTGCGCTGATGGAAGCTGACGAGCCAGTCGCTAGTCACAGTCAAGAGCAAGAGACAGTCATGAATCTCCAATCCCGACCATTTTGACGACACTCACGACTCCGAAGTTGACTCTTGACTCGAACTCAATGACTCTTCTAGCTCCGACTCCACATCTCAATCAGCTTCGCGGCTTCGCCACGACCGGCTTCTGCAGTTTAGGCGGACCGGGCCTGCATGTGCTCAAGACTGTACGTCATGTCGGTGCGCGGGTCTGCCTGGCTGCGCAGCCTGACGACATCACACGTGATTTGGCGCGCGCCGCGTGCGAAATCGAAGAGCAACACGCGTTCAAGCTTTGGCGCGCGTTTGTCTCGTACCGCGCGTGTGAGTCCATACGTACCGCGCCCCACGCATGTGCATGGGCAGCAGCAGCTATAAGCGTGTGTTGGTGTAGCAGCGGCTGCTGGTGATTCATGCTGTTGGCCGAAAGGAGCGGTCGATTGAATGCGCGCGTTTTGCGTGCGTGGTGTTGAAGAAGACCAGTCTGGATTGCGAACACGATTGCTCGGCGTCAAGGCGCCGTCGTTGCTCAATTGACCTACCCTTCTTCACCCTCTCACACGCTTATCATTCCTCGTACGACAAATCCCAAAGTTTCCAAAGCCACACGTAGCGTCCGACTACTCAGGCCGAGGTCGATCTCATCGCTGACGCGTGCCTTGCGATCGCGTCGCTACGCACCACTCCAGCGCTTTGGCTCGCGATCGCCATCATGGCGCGCAATGAGCGAGGTCGAGGAGTGACAGAAGTAGACGAGTCGATGGAAGACTACACGTACGGCACATTGGACTTTGGCCACTCGCAGTCCACGCGCGGGCTAGGGGTCGGTCAAGGTCCGGCAATCACATCCACCTTGCCGAGGTCCAAGGCGGGGCAGCAGCAGCAGCAGCAGCAGCAGCAGCAGCAGCAGCAGCATCATCATCATCATCATCAAGCAGCGGGAGCGGCGCAATGGGCAGCTCCCTCTATTCCCTTGAACGACGAGTCTCTTGGAGGCTTGGACGCACATTATCCCAACTTGCCGTCCCCTGGCTTCCTCCACGGAGCTCACTTGAGACGTCAAGTGCACCTGCGCCAAGCAGGCGATGAGACGCTTAGTACAGAGCAGGGCACCGAGATGGGCGCAGCAGGTCATCACAGCCGACCTACGCAGCACACTGCGTCAGGCCGAGCGCCAGACAGTTGGATCGACCACGACTCTTGGGCCCCTGGCGTAGCGCGCGGTGTGCCGGAGAGCTCGACACGCCCAGACCATCGCCGGAACGTCAACAACAGACAAGCGCCGGCGTTCCCTCCAGAGAGCATACATCCGAGTCCAGCCGTTGCAGAGCGCTACGCCCGCGGTGCTCGAGGTGCATACGCTTCTGGAACAGCACAACAGCACGCTTCTTATGCCGCTTCATCTTCGTCCCTCGACACGGCTAGCGAAGATGAAGATGATGAAGACGACATTTCAGAGACGCGAACCCCAGAGACCAGAAGTACAGGCAATCACGTGGATCTGAGAGCTACGCCGGTGGGTCAATCCCGTACTGTCAAGCAGTTCGACAGACCCACGCTCGGAGAGGAAAAGATGGCCAGGCTCAAGGCGGCCGAGCAACGGAATTTCAGGCACGGTCAGAATCGCACAGAGACTCGACGCGACGCGCTGACACAGCAAGATGGAGAAGGACTTGTGAGTCAGCAGAGGTGGTCTTGTTATATTGTGGAATGTTTGTAGTGCTGAGACGTGCCCGCGATCATCGGACACTCACTCGCGACCCAGGCTGCTCGCGCGCAGCGCATCAATCGAGCAACATCCACGTCACGACCAGATTTGCCATCATCGCCCTCGCCTGCTCCCTCATTGACCAGGAAAAGGGTGCATCGCAGCAAACAAGCCTCGATCGACGACGTGCGTGCAGAGCAAGCCGACGACATTTTCAGTCAAGCCGCCCCGCGCCCCCAAGCGGGTGATGACCACGAGCAGGCACACAAAGACGACAGCGGTGGGTCTGGCTATGCAGCGGGCGCTCCTTCGGGTCAGGAAGGCGAAAGCTCAGGAGAGACGTTGCTCGGATCTGGTAACGTGTGGAAAGGCGATGCTTATCATGGTATGCAAGGTTTGGATACGCCATGGATGCGCCTGCCTTCTGGCCAAAGAGTGGGACAGGGAGCATACGAGGCGCGACTGCCTGACTTGACTGGCATCACGTCTGCAATGGCCAGTCCTGCACAAGCCAGAGATACGCATGTCCCACTCGCAAAGCTTCGCCCTCCGCCACAAGAGCTCGACGAGCTCGCAGAGAGGCTGGATGCGGTCAAAGCAACAATGCAGGCGGAGGAGATTGACTTGCGAGGTCAGAGAACCCACCGTGGTCGCGCTTCTCGCCCGGCCCAAGTACACGGCAGCGAGCCGAAGCTTCCATCGAACGGGCTGGGCCCCCTGCCTGCATGGCGCTCTGCGGCAGAAGCTGAGTCTGCACCGCGAGATCTTGGCTTCGACGTCGATCGCGCACAAGCCGAAGCCATTCGAGCGATGCGAGAGAATGTGGACCGCGTGGATGCAAATTTGGACTCTTATAGGGCCTATCTCAGCTATCAGTACGGCAACGCCGCGCTCCCCATGGACATTCAGCGTCGAAGCGCGCCTTCTGAGGCGATCCAACGCCCTGTCCGGGACGATCTGGATAGGGATGCCTTGCGCACCCAATTGTCCCGAGTCGAGTTGGAGCTTCGCATCTTGAGAAAAGTGGCTGACAGTGAAGGTGCACATGTTGCATCTTCGCCTGGTCCGACTCGACGCAGGACAGAATTACGAGAAGAGCAGCCCAGAAGCAAAGCTGGACAACCTCGGCGCTCGCATTCACTCGACCGCACCGAGCAGGTCGTGAACCTCGCGGACGAATCGGCAGTCGAAGGAGACTTGGGCGCAAAGGGCTTCGATGCTCTGCACCATGACGCGCCCAGTCGTCATGTCAGGTATGAGCGCGTCGAGGTGCCCCGCTCTTCAACACCTCCGGCCAATGCGAAACCAGCCACTCCAGCTCAGGCGGCGCACTCGCAGATGCAGCCCCAGCCGCACCGCCAAGCAGCACTCAAGGAGCAATTCAAACGGTCTCAGAAGTATGCCACGGCTCCTGCCGATGATCCCGACGAAACAATTCGTGCGTCCCGAGAAAAGGGCAAAAGCAGCACGAAGCCGTCTGAGACGGAGGACGCCGCTGTGCAGCCGATTCTTCCTGTAGAGCTTGACGAAGCGGACGTCACGGCCGCACACGAGAGGGCAGAAAGGGTTTTCGAGACCATCTCCGTTGATATGGGTCAGCAAACAGCTCACACCGCTCCGAATGCGGACACCACGGTCTCAGCTGCTCAGCCTGGCATGCATCATAATGCCATCACCTGTACTGTGTGTGGCAGCATGTACAAGAAGGAGCGCAAGAGAGTCGCACGGAAGGAGAAGGCCCGACGGGTTGCTGACGCGGGAGCTTTGGCAGATGAAGAGACGGTGTCGGCGCTGCTGGAAGCTGGAGAGGAGTCGGGAGGCGCAAGGACGAAATTGGGCGCCAAGCAGATCAAAGTCCTCAAAAGGCTCATCAAGGAACACATGGACGAATTCATCCACTCCAGAATGCTCTATGCGGAGTTAGCAGACGAGCTGAAGCTCGTCGAGCCCAGCATGAGCTCCAAAAATCGACAGATCTTGGCCGAGCACGTGCTCGAAGCGGTCGAGACGCTAGAGTTCCGCGCTCAGCGCATCAATCATCTACAGGCTCTTTTACCAGGGACAGACGAGAACCAGAACGAGGTTCTAGCGCAGGTAGAGAACCGCATGGACTCGCGCGAGAACCGCAACGAAGGCGTTGCGAAGGGTCAAGAAGGCTCCAAAAAGTCGCGCACACAGACGGACAGCAGACCTAGGGTCAACTCTCCTCCTACCATCGACGGTGCACCGCATCCGGTCTCCAAGACGCGCCCCGTCCGCTCCTGAGCGATTTTGACTTTTACGCTCGCCTCGACGTACCTTATATCTTTGTTTTCCTGCTACGTGTATGCTTTGTCATGCCCACATCTCCGAGTTGCACACCACCGTGGCTCAGCTTAGCTGAAATCTGCCTTTCGCCCAGCAGTAGAGGCGTGGCATCAGGCAATGGCCGCCCGCGCACCTCCAACTTCATTCACCTATCACTCGCTGTCGTGACGCTCGATCTCACCAGCAGAGGCCTTTGACCCGAATGTCATAGCTGTACAAGATTCCATATGAGATTGAGTGAATATGGTACAATGCAGACCGTCGAAAATTGCAAAGTGCAGTGGAGAGACTGAGAGTACGAAGAGGTTCGCGAGGAATGCAGAGACGGTCTCGAGCTAAATTACGAGCGACCTGAGGTCTTCGTCAATATCCGGCAGAGCAGAATCAGCAGGCGCATCGATCCGCGTCGCGCTGCCGCTCCGATCAGCAAGACTAGCTCTATCCTTCTGATCTATCAAGGCCTTGAGCGTTCTGGCTGATACTTCCGCCTGTCTGAGGGTCCTCTCCACGTCGATAGACTGAGAGAGACCCTGAAAGTAGAGCAGTATCTCGTCAAAGTTGTACAGATAGGTGAGCAGCGGATCTCGATGCTGTTGCAGGATGGCAAGGACGACGAAAAGGTGCAGGTCGTTGGAAAGACTTGGCGATGCTGGCTGTTCGTCGATGGTGTCCTTGTCACTAGGCGATGCATCGTCCAGCTCCGCTGCCCAAAGGGCCTCCCACAACTTCAGAATGTCGCCAAAGTCGAATTCGCGCTAGGCAGGAGGCCGAGCCAGGTGTTAGTGCAGCAAGCGTCAGATTCGGGTGGGTTCGGCTTCATTCACCTTGAACAAGACCAACAGCCATCTGAAACAGAAGAAGAGATGCAGAGAGTCGGTGCGCTCCAGATGGGCGTACACGGCTGGATCCATGACCTGGATAAGCTTTTGCAATAGTCCTAGCTGCCTTCTCATTCCGCTTTGGTCAGAATAGAAATTAGAACGCTGTCGTCGCACCATCGGTAAGGAAAGAGGTAGATTCGCAGTTCAGCCAATGCCGCTCGCTTGCGATACCTCCATTGGATCGGGACTCGCCATACGCTGCATCAACCCCACAAAGCACCAAAAGGTCTGCGCTTCGTCACCTTTGCAGACGACGTACAGAGGCGCACAGAGGTCGCTCATCCCCTGCACATAGCTCTCTAGAGGGGTATCCTTTGTGCCTTCTCGACTCTTTTGGCGATGGGAAGCGAGCCCCTTTGCGATGGTGGCAGCTGCTTCAGCAGGCGAGGCATTTTCCGGCAGCACATGCTCATGAGCACCACCACTGCTCTTGGCTTCGCTCTTGTCCCAGATCACATAGGTAAGCAGAATATCGGCGAGCGCTTGCATGTGCGAGTTCGGCTGCGCTGTCGAGTCATCGCCCGTGGACTTCGAGGCGACTATCTGAGGTGCTGCAGGGTCTCGACCTCCTATCTCCTCGCTACCATGTCCATCCGCGGCTCCCGCAGCCTTTACTTTGACATCAGAGAAAAGAGGCATCTTTCGGTCTGTTCGGACGCAATCGACACGTATCCTGTGCAGCTGTTCCTTCATCCAAGGCGTTTCTCTATCTTCTCTGCAAGCCTTCTCCTGAGCAGCCAACTCTTGCTCGCTGATCGACGCGTACAGCGGGTCCTTGCCAGTCGAGGAGACGAAAGGATCTAGACCTTCGAGAGGCTTGGAGCGTGGTCCAGCCCAAGCTCGTTTCAGAGTCCAATACTGGCTCGCCTTAGCTCGTCGCTTGGCACTCCTCTGCTCGCACGCCTCTCCGATGACCCACTCTTCGGCACCCAGGAGCAAGGGCCATACCTGAGCGCGCAGACCCACGCGCAGCTCGGATGCTGGTTGCCCAGGTCGACCGCTTGGCGCTGGACCAAGTCCCTTGTGAAAGACGAGTTCTCTGACCTTTGAGAATGGAACGCTTGGCGCGCCTGTGCCAGCAGTGTCGAACAGGGCATCCCACTCTTCCTGGGAGACGGGCGTTGAAGCATTCCTCCTTGCTCTGGGCTTTTCGACCGAAGGCTGAAGGTCCAAGATCTCGAAGGCGCCCAGCACACTCTGTTCGAAATTCGCATCCCCATCCGCGCCATTGCGATTCCTTCTTGCTTGTTCCTCCTGCTCGGCCAGTCTGCTTCTCTCTGCCTGCTCAGCCACTTGCTTAGCAAACCTCGCCAAAAAGACTCTAGCCGAGTCGAACTCTCCTCCAATCGCCTTGACCGCTTCCGAATGGCGCCACTCTGGATCACTTGGTCCCAAAGGGCCCACGGGTCCGTGCTGAGCCAAGGAGGTGATGGTGTTGGCCAAGCCCGCACTCCGAGGTCCACCATGCTGAGAGTCTGCCGCAATGCGTGTGGCCAGAGGGTGCGAAAGCAGCGCATGAGCTCCGTTCCGCGCCGCGCTGGTCACTTGTGAAAAGTGGGAGAAGACTGCAAACCGCGTATTCTTAGCCCACGTAGCCAGATGGTCATCGTCAGCTGCGTTCGATCCAGACTTGATGGGACGGGTGGATGCATGGCTGGAAGTGGAGCTTTTCGTCGCCGCTGTGGTGTTGGAGCGACGAGAGGATGAAGAGCTGCCAAAGATGTCGTCGGGGTAGTCCGATCCGTCATCATCGGTGGTGGAGGCGGAAGAGGATGCTTTTGGGAACGACATGACGACGCGCTTGGTGCCTTGCCTGCCGGACGAAGCACCAAAGCTGTGAGCGCAGCGAAGCGGTCGGCCTGACGATTGAAGCTGCTGCGCTATCGATTGCGGCAAGGCTTGTCGAAGATGATCTGCTTGCAGACGAGGGTGGGCCTTTGTGAGCCACACAACCAGGACTCGGCGGTGCGGTCTGGATTTGAAAAAAGCAACGCTTGTTCGCTGCGATAAGGTCTCGTTGCACGCTTGAGGCTCGAGATCCTTGTGAGTGCGCGTGCTTGCAGTCAATGTGAATGGTCATCGACTTGAAGCCGACAGCCTCTGAGATCGCGACGAACGAGGATGCTCCGTGTGATTCTGATTCGTTTGTGATTCTCCTCCCATCAACGCCCAGACTGAGCGCTCAGCAGCGGGCTTTAGAGTGCGTCCACCGCGATAGTTGTGAGTGCGTGTGTAGGCGTGTGTGCGCGTCGCGATATCCCGCATGCACCGATCATGCATGCATTTCCGAATAGCCAGTGTGGATCACGTGAGACAACGCGAGAGATCTTCTTGAAGCTGCTGGCAGATCGACGCTTCGTGGTGCATGGATCCAGCTCTCGCATTACTTCGCCGGTTGCGATTGGACCACTTTGGTTCAAATCACGGATCAAGATTCAGTCACAGGGTGGTCTCATTGCCGCAAGTGCGATCAGTCCCGAATTCGAATGATCAAAGCGCCGAAAGCTAGAGCGGTCGGTTCCATAACGTCCCCAGCTTCCCGTTTCTCGTGGTGTCTTGCTTTATATGGACAGGACACAGTCAGGGTGGGAATACCTGCCGCAACGTCCTCTTGCGGAACAGTACCACCGGGCGCTTCTTGGGTGAGAGCTGCATAACAAATGCGGGCGGACGTGGCACCTTCAGAGCAGCTGTCATTTTCAACCAGTCTGAGTGATAGTCTGCGAAGCACATAGCTCGATCAAGTAAAGACTTGGCTACATCCGATCGCGCAAAGGTGCACACGGACCTCGCACGCGTCTTGCAAACGAGCGCTGGGTATGAGTGGACCCCTTTCCCTAATGAAGGGCCTCGAGTCCATCACGAACACGAGCAGATCCGTTCGTTCTGATGCTAAATGATCAGAAGAGTCGGGCGCACCCACCTTCATTCTATTGCGGTCGACTCGGGATTACAAGGGTAAAGGGAATCTCGAGGGGGACCTCCTGATCATGGCGCCCTTGCGTCCGGATAGAAATTTGAACCATCTTTATGACGTCATCAGTAAGACAGAAGCAATTTGAATCACGAATGCGCACTCGAGAGTTGGTCGAGATTCGGAACAACTTGCCGCCTTGAAAAGCGGCCCGAGCTACTCTCACACTACCACTCCTCTGACTCGCTCAGACTTGATGCTCTGGGCCCCCTCGCAGCTCGGCCCCTTCTTCTTGCAAGCCGGGGAACCCCTCGATCTGTAGGACCTCGGTCGAGCCACATCAAGCGATCGAGCGGATGCGCCGCGAAGCGTCACTCAAGCCGAGACGAAGTGACGAACGTTGAGTCCCGCTCAGTATTCTTAGCGTGGATGATTTACGCAGTAATGACACTGGCGCATGGGTGGGATGAGAAATGGCCCTGACACCACACCGATATAGAATCACATCATGAACTCAAGTCAAGTCAGCTCGGCGGATCTTTGAGAGGCCGGTGCTGTCGAGATTGTACTCACGACTCGGTCAACTTGGCAAGCACGCCAAGGGCCTGTGCGCATGACCGAGACCTTCCCCGTCGTGCAGACAGATCTCTGGAACCGAAGCAGGCTTGCCGAAGCAACCAATTAAGCGAAGACGGATTCCATGCACATTTACTATTCGTGCATGGGAGGTTCCTTCCTCGTGATGTACCGTATGCACGCTGCATCTTTTCTCTGACTCTTTGCGTGCACTCGCGCAAGCGAGGTGATGGGCTCGAGCTCAAAGCCGAGCCGAAGGGCTGGGTCGATGATGTAGGGTGTGTAGCGGGACTACTCTGTCCCAACAGGACTGCAACGCAGCGCTTTGACCCCTTTGCGTGAGTGTGATTGTGAGTGTGAGTGTCGCATGGACTGCATGCTGGCTCGGAGCTGCACGCACGGTGCGCCACAGGGAGGGGGATCGACGCTGCAGCACCTCTTTAGCGCCCTTTGGCTGCAGAGCAAAGCGCAAGAAATGATGGCTGACGCTTGCATGCTCCGCGCTTGCCGGTCGGTGACGACGCACATCGCAATGACTGCGAACAGTCAAGGGTCAGATGAAGCAGACCCTGCTTCGATGCGGACGTTTCCATCAGACCATCCAAAGGAGGCCTGTGCATCTTGACTGTAGTCTACAGGGAGCTTTCTGCGATGAATAGCGAAAGGGACCGCTGATTTGAGTAGAACCATGCTCCTCTGACTTCCGCGCAGCGGAAAGGGCCGCGCCCCTCTCACCACGCACGCTGATGTTGCTCTGTGTATCGATTCGTCAGCAGAGAAGAAGCGCGAAGTGGCCTGGCGGACTCAAAGACCAGATGGTCGACAGAGAGGAGAGGCATGCGCGTCTATGAAGCTTGAACTGGCCCATGATTTGAATTGGAATTTGTCCGTTCTTGTCGACATTCCGCATGAGGGTCCCAAATCCCAAAGAGATCAGATTGATGATTGTACCGAAGCTCCTTCTCATGCCTCAGAGCGCACAAGGCGCGAAAGTTCATCGAAGCCAAGCGCATCACGATCGGTCATTGGGGAACGTGCAAGTTGTGGCTCGAAGGCAAAGGGTCACTTTCGGCGGATGCGAATACAAGCATGATGACGAAGAAGCCATTCTTTTGGGAACGGCGACTGTCTGTCCTCTGCCTGGAATCACCACGAATTTGAATGCAAGTGCTACGCGAAACATGCCGCTTTAGGGGTCACTCGCATCCTTTCGCATGCAGGGTTCTTTTGATTTTTCCGGTGCGGCTCTCCAGAAAGCCAAGGACGCCACCAACCTCGCTCCAAAGGCTCGGGCAGTGTACCTTGTTCCGTAACTCTTTCTTGGTAAGACCAAGGGGCAGAGGTCAAAGTCGAGGCTGAGATGATTGAATGCTTGTGGTGCCAGTTTAGAATGTACGGGACGGAGTGAGTCCCTCTCGATTACACAGCTCCCAGTGGCGGATTCGGTCGTTGGCGGTCCAGGGAACCGCGTGGAGCACGCTAGGTCCTCTCGTCATGGCAGCAGCGTCGAGAAGGGTTCGAAGGATCGATCTGTGTCTTGTGCGCGATGATAGGCAACAGGATTGCGATTGCGGAAGGCCGGCCGACGGGAAAGCTTGCGAGAGCTAGCTGGGCAACGTGACCCGCTGCAGCACACACACGCTTGCACCCTTGTGCTTTGTGGCGGTAGGGGGCACTCGTCTCTCGATCGTCACTCAGACTGGTGGCGTCCCGAGCTGTCATTCATTCATGAACAGCAGTCATGTGCGTGCGTGCGCTTGTTGCCGCGGCTGACAACCTTGCGCGCGCGACTCACGACTGATGCAGCAGCAGCAAGCATATTCGTGATTGCAGCTGCAACGTGCCGCGGAATAGCGCGCCCATCCATCATACTACTGCTGTACAACTGGTATAGCGACGTCACAGCATCAGGCATCGAACGTTCCACTTTGAGTGCGGTATCATTACGGCGCATTGCGCTCCGCGTCGCCTCATTTCCCGTCAATCTGGCCTGTGGTACGGTACAGTCGTGAGTATAGCCGACTTTGCACACGATCCGACCCTTGGCAATCACTCAAGAAGCAGTCAAGAGTACTCGGACTGTATGTCGACCTTCGTGCAACATCTCGTCCGTCCATCTTTCGCGGGCCGCCAAGGCTCAACGCGGCATGAGAAACCCGATGATCGGTCATTCCGAGACCCTGCCATGTTCGTTCCGCTTGCCCCAGGGTTCCTTCAGACAGAAGGGAGACAGGAACAGAGAGACAGTTGGCAGTCTTGCACTCGCCAAGCGAAGCCACTTGCCCATCTACACGCCCAGTCGGCTTTTGGTAGTCACAAGTCCTCTTGATGTTGAAGGTCGACTGTGGGTCTCGCTCCATGCGATCCCCAATCATTGATGTGCTCACTCGGCTCAAACACGTACTTTTGACACAAGCGAGACTCGTTCACCTTCAGCAATCCGTTGTGGACGAGCGTGCAAGGCATGCGGGACAAACCTGGCGAGCGTTTGCCCATAGTCGCCCGCCGCCTGGTATCTCTTGGCGTGTATGCAGTCTGTCGGGGCTTCAAAGCTTCAGCTTAAATTGCCTCTACGTTGCGATTTTTAAAGCTTTTGAGGACGGGCGGCCGCTCCCAAGGTGCTCTGACTGAGGCTGCTAGCAAGCAGACTTTGGAGCCGATTTGCCGCTCGCTCTTGTCTGGACAAGTCGCTAACGTCATCCAACGCGCGTGCTGCAGCGCGTTATCGGTTGTGTGAGTTGTGACTCCGAATGGCAAGACCAGGTTTGTGAGTGTCAATCTCATCACTCATCAGTCGTCAATCGCGGCCATGGCGGTCGACGACCCTCTCTCGCCTTCGTGAACAGACATGCTATGCTCCGGAAGCCTTGGCCATCGCTACATCGAGCCGATGGCGGATTATGGCTATGTGTGGGGACGCGGGACGCGGTATTTTGCTTCCGGAGTCCGCTGTGCAGGCTACGAGTCTAAAGGAGTGGTCGCGCTAAGGATAGAGACCATGTGCAGCAAGCGGCAGTCGTACAAGGCGGAAGCAATCTCGGTAATGTGCACGCAGAAGAGTCACGAATACATTACCCGTCGCAGAGCGGATCCTGGCGGAGTGTGTCAGTCATGCTCTGCAAAACCGCGAGGGGGTCCTTCCAAGTGGTTGCTGCTGATGAGTCTCGGGTGAGCACAGCAGCCCTGCATCACGGCGGTCGTTTACGTTCATAATGCAGAATTGGGATGTAGCTCAGCAAGTCTTAGCCAATCTTGAAAATCACGAGTGTAGCTTTGACGTACACACGATGGGAGGAAGCGCGACGATGTGAGTGGTGAATGTAAATGCATTGCAGAAGTCAAGGGGTAGCGCTTGTGTATGTCTCATCGGGCATGAGACGCACGAGCGTCGCGGCGTCCACGTAAACCGTACCGATTATTATCGAGATATGCGAAATGATGACCACCGTCATGATGGTAGCGTCAGTGCGCATCATCTCGGCCCTCTGCGAGCAGTCTTCGAGTGTCACGAATCACAAGGCAGGTCTGCAGACGTGTCTCACACATCGTGTACCCCGGCCGACCTATCAATCTGCCTACGTGCCACGATGGCGTCGATTGACGATGATGACAAGAAATAGGTTGACGAGACACGGGCGATGGGAGGGACGTTACTCCCCACACGAATAGCTGCGCGGACAGTGCATTAGCGAACAAGATGCGGAATACAACTTGTTACGATAGCGTTCACTATAAAGCGTGTGTGTGCATATGCACGGTAGTGAGCGCTAGGAGCGCAGCCAGAGGCTCGCGATACTAGTCAAGACTATACCGGCACTGTAGTACGTCGCATAGAGCGGCGGAGTCGAGAAGGGCCAGGGCGGTCGACCGAGGGGTTCGGCACGGCTCCTACACTTCGCGCGCAATCTTGAATGACCTTCATTTCAAACCCTGCATTCAACGAGCACCGTCAAAGTCGGCCTCGCTCGATCGCGACGCTCGACGATCGATGCCCGACCATGCATGCGTGCATGTGTGCATGCCACCATGCACGCAGGCCCCGTCACCGTGAGGTCCTGACCGCTCGCCATTGTCGAGTGTCAGTTGTGAGTCGCGAGTGGTCCTGCGCCCGGCTCAAGCTAATCTGGCTTTAGCGCGTCTCTCTCCCTGCAAGCAAACAAGGTCAAACGAAAGCTAGGAGCGAGTCTCGGGAGGCGCCATTCAATGGCGCCATTCGTGAGCCTAGCCTGTGTCGACCCTGGCGATACACTCTCATCAGACTCACACTCCCAATAGCACCATTTCTGTCCATCCGAGGTACCTTTGATCCCATCATTCTACTCGAGTCAGACATTGTCCAGCGGGTCCGTCTAGCTGCTCGTCACTCCAGCAAAACACTCCTCCTTTGCCTCCGTCTGCTGGATCGCGCGCACTCGGAGCCCGCCTGCACGCGTCCGGCCTTTCCCCTCATGGCGTGCCGACCTACGCATCCACCCGCGCCTCAGACTCCTCGTAATCAGTGAGCGAATTGAGCGAATTTGACCCCATCGTCGCAGTCTGTCGAGGACCGTCGCTCGGAAGCTGGCCTCTGCGACAAGCAGCGTCGCATCCCTGCGAGAACAAGAGAACTTGCACGCCTTGGCGGCAGGAGCAGGCATCAGCCTGCAAGCTCTATCGTCATGGCCGCTGCTGCTGCTGCAATGATGCAGCCTCTCCAGCTGGATTCATACACTCCAGCGAAGGGAGCGTGCGCTCCACCGTCAATGACAGACTCTCAGTCGCCCGACGTTGCGCTCAAATCAGGTCGGACCTCCCGTGTCTCCACACCCAACACACCTCTCGCGGCCAGAAGGTCGTCGCTGTCACGCACGCGAACAGAGGAGCAAATGGCAGGGCCTTCAGACTATGGTCGATCGCCCCGTCGACAGTCGACGAGGCTTGCTGAGACTCGGAAGGTTCAAAAGACGACGGCGAGCAAGCCCAACACTCATTCCGCCGATTCTAGCCTGGACTCGCACGAGCAATGGCGACGGGTTGCGGACAATTCCATCACGCCGGTGCGACCCTCACGTAGCCATTTACGCCCTTCGTCTCCTACGCAGCATCCTTCGCACGTCGACTCTGCCTCACAGCCTTACTCGAACTTGCTTGCGGCGTCCTTGAGCACACCGGAGCTTCACCTGTCCTCAGATCCACTTCTAGATGAAGGACTTCGCGTCATTCAGACGCCCTCCGACGCGTTCCAGGGCTTCGCGTGGCCTGCAGCCACCACAGGCGCCAAACGTCCGCTCGATGCACTCGACGGTGTTCCACCGCAAACGGCTGCCAGAATGCTGAATGGCCCTTTGCCCAGCATTGGCTCAGTAGTTGACAGTCAATTGAGCCCTCGTGAGCGCAAACACAGCACTGCTACGGTGCGGAAGGAGCCACATGCCGGTACGCAGAGCTCGTTGCATGGTAGTTGTAGCTCCTCGGCCACGGTGCAAGCCTCGCCCCACCCGGATGAGTTTGGTTCCAGAAGCAACACGGCGGCGAACTCTCCTCAAACCACTCCATCGCGTCGTGAGGAGAAGCGACGCTCTAGCGCAGGCCTTCAAGAGCCATCTTTCCGACACCCACGGACCTGGTTCAACCGGCCACGGAGGTGGAGCACAGCGTCGAAGACATCGACGGACATCAACAGTCCCACTACGTCACCTGCGCCCTCGCCAGTGATTGCGTCGACCAGCTCGGAAGGGTTTCCGATCCTTGGAAAGTATTCGCCATCATCTCATCTCTCTACAGATGCCGAATCAAGCTCGATGCTCTCGACGCGACGAAGCAGTACTGTGGAAGCTCTGGAGTTGGTGCGGGGTGCAAGAGCTTTCCTCGTTGGTGAGCTAGGCCGGCTCTCGACTGATGCTATGGGTGAAGACCGCGAAAGAATAGCAAGCCTTGCATGGTACGCTAGGCAGCAAGAGGCGGAAGCCGACGGAGTCGCGATCGACTCGACTCAAGAGATGCGCGAGTTTTGCGTCAGCATTTCGGATGGAGTTGTTCTTTGTCTGGTTGCAAATATGCTGCGGCCGGGCGCTGTCGACTTCATCGACCGAAGGCCTCTGGAGTGGGTCAAGTCGGACAATATTTCACGATTTCTACGCGCAGCACGAGATGTGTTCGGCCTTCGCTCGAAGGATCTGTTTCACCCATTGGACCTCACGGACGGAACGATCGAAGGCTTGCAACGCGCTGCCGAGACCATCCTCGAAGTGCAGCGCAGATGCCAGGCAACGTCCAATCGCGTTGATGAGCCTGGCGCGTCTGCGGCCATGCGTGCGTCAAGCTCGTCCGGTCGGACGGCCGATGTTGTAACCCCACCCTTGACACCAGACGGCTCTGTGGATGACAGGGAGTCTGTCAGCATCGGCAGGAATTCGGCAGTGCCATTTCCCCATGCGATCGATGGCTCGCCTCATGGCTCGCCTTCGAAGCGCAGCTCAGGCATCCGGAACGGCGCGTATCTCGGTACTCCACTGTCCGTACAGCAGCAGCGGGAAGAGGCTGAGCGCATTCTTGTGTCTGCATCTGCGACCAAAGTCCCGTTGACGAAGGAGTTGCAGGCGCAAGGCCGACGCCGACGTTCCAGCGACAGATCTCAATCACTTCTCTCGGCATCGCGTCCTGCAAAGGGGCCTTCGATCACATTTGCTGAGTCAGTCAGTATGCGCGGGCCTGACGAAGACTCACGCATGCCATACAGGGACCGCAAGCTCAGCGAGTCAGCGATCAGTCTGACGGGTGTGATGGAGGAAGAATCGGAAGAGGTCCTTTGCACGCCAGTGGTGCAGCAAGGCCCTGTCATGGGCTCGACTGCTGCCTCGACCATCAATCACCTGGAAGAGCCTAGCGACTACTCTCGCGAGGGTCCGTCGAGTCCCAGAATCGGCGCCACGAGTATCGCGTCGTATGGCTCTTCGCCCCTAGCACGGGCCGAATCCCAGCGCCGAATCAGTCAAGAATTGTCCTTTGGTGGTAACGGTAGTCCCGGCCGACCACTGAGATCATCTTCTGAATTCGATGAATTCAAATTTCCCACCACAGGCAGTCCACTTCGCCAGACGCCAGTCCGCCGCCACAGCGCCCGTGCATTTGCAGGACCATCGTCGCTAAATCCGTCTCGAGACTCGCCGAATTTTGAGCTGGCGGATGGCGCAGGAGCGCCGAGCTCTGCTACAAACGGCACCGGCGTGCCAAGCAGAGTGCCATTCCCTCGAGCGCATTCGGCCAACGAGTCGCCGAGCGTGAAGAGAGTTGGCAGGCATCTCTCGCTGAATACCGGCATCGCCGGATACGACTCTTCTGCGGCTTCTCAGAGCGGATATGCTCCAACATCGCCAAAGCTTGGTGCAAGGCCAAATTATCGGCACATGCGGTACTCTTCCGACCTGCAAGTTCCGAGAAGTGCTGTCCCTCTCGGTCAGCAGGATCTCATCAGCGATCGAAGTCCCACGCTTACAGCGGCGCCGCTATCTGCGCAGCCATCCCGGAGCCGTTACGACTCCGAAATGGGCTCCATGTACAGCAACACGGTGGCCAGCTACAGCACAGAAGATGCCTTATCGATGCCAGGAATTGGATCGCGACTGAGCCGTGAGGCGTCCGTCGCGCCTGCTGCGAAGCACAAGCTCGTAGTCACCGAAGCTGGCAAGCCTAATGTGTCTTATGTGAGCAAAAAACCTATGCATTTCATGCGGTTCTTTGACAGCTGACTGATCATATACTTTGACTTGCAGCAACTTGGCAACTGCATAGGCAGGGGTCAATTTGGATCTGTCTATCGCGCTCTCAACCTCAACTCTGGTCAAATGATGGCTGTGAAGCGTATCAAGCTCGCCGGCAAGACCGAAGACGAGGTGATGCAGCTCATGAACGAGGTGGACCTGCTCAAGAGCTTGGCGCATCCTTCCGTCGTCAAGTACGAAGGCCTCGTGCGCGGAGACGATGTCGTTTCCATCATCTTGGAGTATGTTGAGAACGGGTCGCTGCTGCACACGCTCAAGGCTTTTGGCAACTTTCCGGAAAAGCTGGTTGCAAGCTACGTCGTCAAGATACTCGAAGGCCTCAACTATCTGCACGAGATGAAGGTCGTGCATTGCGACTTGAAAGCTGCCAACATCTTGACCACCAAAAATGGCAACGTCAAGCTATCCGACTTTGGCGTCTCCTTGAATCTCAAAGCCGTGGAAGCGATCAAGAACGTCAAGAACGACGCCATTGGCACGCCAAATTGGATGGCACCTGAAGTGATCGAATTGAAAGGCGCTTCGACGTCCGCTGACATTTGGTCACTCGGGTGCACGATCATAGAGCTACTGACTGGCAAACCCCCTTACGGGGATATGCTAGCCATGTCTGCCATGTGGCGCATCGTCGAGGATGACTGCCCTCCGCTTCCAGCAGACATTTCACCGCCGCTGCGCGATTTCTTGCTGCTCTGCTTCAACAAGGATCCATCCAAACGACCAAGCGCAGAGATGCTTTTCGACCATACTTGGTTACAGCAGACCTGGAATGGACACAAGGAGCTCAGGCCGCAGGACAGCGTACCTTTCTTGCGTCGCATTTCTGCTGATTTCCGCAAAGTCGACATCAAAAGTCTGCATGCCGCTATCAGCGCCGTCTCGGAAGCTAACGAGCCTGCTGCGCCTGCACCTACAGCCTCGTTGTGCGCAACGCCGCTGCTGACAGAAGTTGGCAGGTCCACGTCATCACCGCCTCCTGCTACTCAGTCAAGGCCTGACCTGCTCGCGACTCGCGCATACTCGGTGCCGGATGGCTGGTCTGCATCCAACCCTGGCGTCGTCTCCCCAGTCGCGCAGCCTGCTACCTCGGTCGAGTTTCCGATCCTCGCAGACTTGGAAGCAGCCATTCGCAGAGGCAGCCAAGGATCCGTCGACATGTTGCGCTCACCTAGCATTGCTGCAGCGAGCCCTCTGGGAGTACCTCGCTTGCCAGGAGCTGCAGATCCATCGGTGCTCGATCTCAATGCGTATCAAGACTGGCCAGCGAGCGAGCCCGCCAAGCCGCACGCATTTGTTAAGAGCACGTTCAGCAAAGCTGTACAATGCCGCATCTGTCGAGATCCTGTCAAGAAGCACGCAGTCCTGTGCGAAGAGTGTGGTCTCATTTGCCACGCCAGCTGTGCTCGTCATGCACCCCACGCTTGCAACCTTCGAGCACAGCTGCTCATGTTTGCTGGACGCGATTCGCAAGATTTGGCCCGAGGCATCTCGCCCGCACCTTCGTTTGGTGCTCCGCGAACACTCTCGCCCGCACCTTCCACTGCAACTGGCGGTCAGTCGCCAGCCTTTGGCCCCGCATTCCGCGTGCCTTTTGCAAACAAAATGAAGCGCAACAGCAAGGGCGCAACAGAAGCGCTGGCATCGCCTGCGATGAATTCCTCCGCGACCGGGTGCGGCGATGCTAGTCCCGCCTCGAACAACGCAGCATCGCCACCAGCAGCAGAAGCGCGAAAGAGGCGCATCTCACTGCTCCCCAGCATGGGACTGGGAAAGGCACGTTCGCCCTCGCCTGCCTCTAAAGCTTTCCCTGCTGTTGTGCAGGGTGACGCAGCATCTGTTCCTCGGTCCTTTTCGAGTGCAACGAGCGGCAATGCGAAAGGTCGATCTGCTTCGGTCGTCAACTTTGGCAGCATGAGCGGAGCTAGCAGCATATCGAGCGGATCGCAAGCCATGGTACAAACGCCCTCTGCGGGCTCCAACGCTGCCAATGGGCCTTCCGTCCAGCGTTACTCTTCTCACCAAGGCGCTCCTTCTGCGGGACATCGCGCCTCGCGAGGTCATCGCGTGACTCACTCTGCAGCGGTCAGCACTCCTCACCTCAACAGCTTGGTATCGTCGAACTCTCGGCAGGGCGAGGGCGACGCCGATGTAAGACTTCGTCAGCGGGTGGGCTCCTTTACCGGCGGGAATCGCCTTGCTTCCTTTGGCTCCAAGATGAGCGGCCACAGCGGCGAAGGCACCATCATCGACCACGAAGCACCGAGTGCCGATGGACGTCGTCCGCGGCGTATCAGCATGAAGCCGACCGACGACAAATGTGTCGTGGCGTAGCGTAGATCGCTGGCCAAATGTTGGTGTCGCATCTCGCATCTCTTTCCTTATTTTTCACCTGGCCCCCCTACTGCCATCCTCTTTGATCCATCCATCCCTCGCCGCATCACTAGCCACCTTTTTATACCTTGCAATGCTTCGTCTCTGCTACTCTCCTCCTGTCCGCACCCATTTCGGCGATTTCGGCAACGCATCGATACACGTGATATTACGACTGCAATGAATGGCTTTCCAACGTCCTGACGTGTGCGGAATACTTCTAGATGGCGCCAGTGCGAGCGAGCCCTTGAGTGGTCCTCTCGGCGCTACCGGTAGGTACAGCTATAGCTGCCTGGTCCGCCTTTCGCGTTTGCGTTTCACGTTTACTTTTCGTGCGGCTCCGGTGCGCAATGTCAAGGTCGAGACGTCGTCAGGATCTGCGAGCGTGAGCGAATTGCGGGGGTCGAGAAGAACAGAAGTCAAAGACCACGCACGGCTCACGTCCGCATCAGGAGGAGCTATCTATCATGTAGCTGCATGTAGCTGCAAGCAAGCAGCAAGCGTTCGCGCAGAGATGGTCATGAGGGAGCATCGAGCAGATAACGCTCCGCGCGCACGCCAGAACGCTGTCAACGGCGGCGGTATAGTTAGTTACACTTCTGCGCCATCACGCGGGCGGCTACTCGACGCGCGCAAGCTTTCTTTCGATCACTTCTGCACTTTCTTCCATCCATTCCGCAACCTTTCTCTCGATCACTTCTGAACTTTCTTCCATCCATTCCACAACCTTTTCTTCCACCAACTCTGAACAATCTTGCTTATATTCCCATCCATTCAGGATCTCTGAACAGTCTTGCTTATATTCCCATCCATTCAGGATCCATTCAGGACCTCCAAAGGAGCATCAAAACATCAAAAAAGTTGACCACTGCAGGGGTCGAACCTGCGACCTCCTGATGACGACTTTCTGTCTCATGCTCGTACAAGCCCAAGAACCAAATCGTAGTCAGACGCGCTACCATTGCGCCAAGCGGCCTCGGATTATGTAGTTCTATCATTTCATTGCCGTGTATGAACCCTTCCCTGCAAAATGTTTTCGAACGAATCCTTCTTTTTCGGATTGCCAGCGCGCGTGGACAAAGGATGATGATGGATTCAGTCGCGCGTGGGTGCCGCCTGCGCGATTCACGTGATGGGCTGCGTACGCGCAACGCACGCGCGTCGTGGTTCATTCACATTTTGACGAGAGATGCTAATCAAATTCACGATTGTTGGCGCCGTTCGTTCGTGCGCGGGCGCGTGCACGACAAGATTCGGCTCATCACTTGAACAATCACATTTGTTGCTTCGATCCCAACAGCTGGATCACAAATCTCGATCGAGCCTCGATCGCACCACGAATGCGAATGAGCACCGCGGTCAACGCGCGACATGATGGACGAAAGCGAGGCTGCTGCTGCGCGCGCGCGTCTCGCACCTTTTGGCTCTGCTCGATTGTGAATACCACCCATCCGACTTGATGGATGCTATGCGAGCATCCACTGCCCGGAGTTCACGATCTAATTCGCATCCACTGCGCGACATTCACGATTTCACTCGCATCCACTGCCCGACATTCACGATTTCACTCGCATCCACTGCGCGAGATTCACGATTCACTCGCATCCACTGCGCGAGATTCACGATTCACTCGCATCCACTGCGCGAGATTCACGATTCCTACTCTACGATGCTGGTAGCTCCTTAGCTGTCACGCATGCCGTTACTGACACTCGCGCAGAGTGACACCTTCACCGAGTAGCGCGCAGAGTGACACCTCATCGAGTAGCGCGCAGGGTGACACCTTCACCCAGTAGCGCGCACCTTCCCACAGCCGTCACCAGTCCCCGCGACCGTACTCGTGCCTGCATCGTTCCGCCCCCGCCCTTCACGTCGCCATGATGCGAGTCTCGGATCACTACGCTGTCATCGTCGTGGATGGCAAACCTGTCAAGGAATCCAACGTGAGGATCAACTTCCAACCCGCCACCAACACGTTCGTCGCTACTTGCGAAATACCTTACACGCACGGTGCCAACTTTGCCATCCACTACTACTACAAGCACACGGATCGCTGCTACACGGCCACTGCAATGGTCGATGGTCAATTCGCCGCGTCGATGATTCGCGACCCTGCGCTGATGCCCAAGGACAAACCTTTGAAGCACGAGGGCTTCATCACTACTCGAGGTGTACGCCTCTTTCGCTGGGCTCGCATGGCGCGCAGAGAGGGTACGTAAGGCGGTGATTCCTCGGACCCCCACCCTTTACTGACACCCAGCACTACGGCTCGCTTCTCAGACGGCGACGAAACCAGCCAAGCAAAAGAGCTACCGCCAGATGCTAGCACCATCGCTCTCATCCTGAGCCCGATCACAGGCTACACCTCTAGCAAACGGCGCCCTCGCGTCAATGCAGAACCCCTTTCCGCCAGCGGCATGAAACCTGCAGAGAAATCCATCAAGCCAGCGCTCGTGTCTGCTGACCAAATCGTTCCACACAAGGCTCAACAGAATTTTGTGGACATCAAGCCGGACTCTTCGCGCCCAAAAGTCATGATGAAGTGGCAATACCTGCTCGAAGACCTCATCATAGAAAGACGAGGCCAGGACGGCTTGACTGCTGACACCGGCGATGAGCGCACTGAAAACGGAAGCGAGACTGAGCCTCGTACGCAGGTGAGTACCACGATGAGTGCGCAGCGTGATCTCGGACAGCATCTGAGCGCACGCGTGTTGGTGTCGCAGCAAAAGTCTCGCCAGGAGCAGATCGAAGAGGTGAGTAGGTGCAAAGATGTGCGCGGTTTTCGCGACGGGTGCAAAGATTTGCTTGCACGCTTTTCGCGACACTGACCTCGATATTCTGCTCCCACAGGAAAAGCAAAACCTGCAAGCACAGCTTGCCGCTCTCAAACAAGAAAGCCAGGGCTTGGGAGGATCGCGCGAACATGTCAAGCGCGAAAGTGCTGGAGCGTCCACCAGCGACCCCACTAAGCGTCCTAGAAAGGAGTACGTCGATCTCACCAAGGACGACGACTAAGAAGATCGTCCAAGCTCTCGCAAAGTGATGATCCCTCAGCAAACCGCAATTCAGTCTCCACGCTACGACGAATCACACATCCACCAAGAGTACGCTGAATCAGCGGCAATCATGTCGTACAACTCCAAGATACTCGCGCCGGTCATCCCAATGTCCACTTTGAAAGCCATACACGAGCGTTTGAGCATGCCAGCAGTGATTCGTATGTGCTAGGTCCACCCGGACCTGACGAGCGAGTCGGCGCCAGCCAAGAAGCGCGCATCCGCGCGCTTGGAGCCATCTACGCACCGCTCTACCTAAGTTTCTCGCTCTTCTCTACTCTAGCATCTCTCCCGTAGACAAAGCGCCCAGCTGCGCACAAGATAAGCGGCACAATGAATGCTATTCCGATCTAGTTACGCTTGACAAGTACAGTCTCTCCCTCCTCCGCATCGTCTTCTTGTGCTGCGTGCGATTGTTCGTGCCCGCGCTGATCCGCTCTCGCGGTCTGCTCTGCCGCTTGTGTGCTCGCAGCAGCCAAAGCATGCTGCAGGTCCTTTTCATCCAACAAGCTCTCTGGATCCGTTCTGACCTCTGCATCTCCCGCCTCTGCGTTCTCGTCCTCTCGAGGTTCAGCGCTTTCAGCCAGGGGGTGTCGGATACCGGAAAAAGCGGATGTCGAAGCACCTTCGCCATTGGATGGCAAGTCGAGCAGATGGCCCATCCTCTCCACCTTTGTCCGCAAGTACCTTTCCAACTCTGGACCTCGAGTGATGCTCGCTCCCAACATCGTAGCTCCGCTCCTCCTGAGCACGTGGTCCACGTACTCTTCCTCCAGTCCATCGTCGCTTTCTTCATCCCACTCGCTCTCCCTGCTCGAATCCGAATGAGAAAAGTCCGCATTCACACGCGGAGAGCCCTTGCTGCTCTCCATCGGTGCTTGTGAAAGCACGCTCGAATCCATCGGCACAGCACTAGCCTTCTTCTTCAAGGTCTTGCTTCTCGTCGAATGTTCTCTGCGCCTAGCTGCTCTTCTACGCCGATGCTTGGCTCCGATCTCTTGTCTCCAAGCACGAGGTACCATGGCCACCCTTTCAGACACCCGAACACCCTCTCTTTCCAGAGCTTCCATCTTATCTGGATTATTCGTCAGCAGCCGGCAATCTTCAACACCCAGGTCGCGCAGAATGGCAGCTGCAATGTCGTACTTCCTCGCATCGGGCAAGTGCCCTAACAGCACATTGGCGGATACAGTATCGTGGCCCATATCTTGCAAATTGTACGCCATAAGCTTGTCAAGGAGACCTATACCTCTGCCTTCTTGGCGCAGATACACGATCACCCCTCGAGCTGGTCTATTTGCCGTACCTGTAGCATGGATGAGTCGAATCGCTTCGTCGAGTTGCTCTCCGCAATCGCAACGTTGAGAGCCAATCGTCTCGCCCGTGTAGCATTCGCTGTGTATGCGCACGAGTGGAGCCGTCTCATCTTCGGTGCGGGCAGCTACCGCGTCCGCACGTCTTCCTAGCCTAGCGTCCCGACCCACACTAGCCTGCTGAAAAGAAGGACCCAGTCTACCAACATAGGCTCCTCTCACAATCCTTTCCATCTCCGTCTCTTCGGAGCTCCACATCTCGTCGAGCGTAGCGCTGCGAAGGTGTCGAGATGAAGCAGCCGCATCTTCTCCCGTCGGCCCATCAGCAATGTGAGCCATCGTCTCTTCCGAATTCTGAGCGGGATCAATCACGAGCGCGAGGTGCTCCTTGCCATCGTGATTGTTGCGGTAGAGATGGCAAAAAGCTTCGCCGTGCGGGGTTGGGATCCGGGTGCGAGCATAGCATCGCACGTGCAGAGGAGGGGGTCTGACGATGGAAGACAAGCCCGCCAGCGACATCGGGGTGGACTGGCCGACCGGCATGCCTAGCTGCGGACCTGCGGACGGCAGGCTGCCCAAATGGAGAGGTGTGGACGGAGCGGACGAGATGAGCTGTTGGCGAGAGTGCAGAGCCTCTGATAGCTGCGCCGCTGCTTTGCTTGGCTGGGAAGTGCTCGCCATTGGAGCAGCTGGCGATGGCCGAACATCCGGATCATCAGTGAGAGCTTTTGAGCTCTGGGCATGAAGGGACTGAGCCTCTGCTAAAGCTGGAGGCCGATCGCCACGCGCCGGCTGCAATGAGGGTGAATTGGCAGTGGCGCTCTGCTTTGCAGCTTTTGCAGAGGCATCCGCTTCTAATCGTAATCGTTGGCTTCGAGGTGCTTGCCTCGATGCGTAGTAGGCCTGCTCTTCATCCGTCACAGCCGGCACGAGCGAGGTGCTACTGACCAGCTCTGCGATCTCGCTCTCAGCTCGCAATGCATCCGCTTCCAAATTCTCGAGCGCTTCGTCGTTCAGGTCGCAGTTCGCATAGCTCCCGCTGACCGAAGCTGTTCGTTGCTTGCTTCGACCTGTCGAGGAGTCGGATGTTGATGCCAATTCGGAGGATGGCGCATTTTGCAATCTTTCTTTGCGCTGCGAGACTGACATCTGTTTACTCTGTCTAGGCGCTCCATAAGAATGGTGGAAATGGTGCCTGGTGACGTGAGGTCCGCTGCTCAGAGAAGCAGCGAGAATGATAGGATCTATTGGCGGACGTCTCAGAGCTGCCAGAGTGGCCAGTGGACGTTTGTCATTCGCCAAGGGAGCATTTTGAAAAGATGGCGATCCAAAGGCGGGCTGATGGCGAGACACGGGAGCTTGACCGGGGGCGGGAAGCGTGGAGAGCATATCGAGCAGAGCGCGATCGCTTGAAGTAGCAGGGGAAGAGGAGTGGAAGGAGGCGGGGTTTGAGCTTGGCCTCGAGCTGGAAAGGTGCTGAGGTTGCGCAGTGTAGAAAGTCATGGCGATGATCCTATCCTTTATACTCAGCGCTCAAATATAGCACAGACGATTTCCAGGACAGCGCGGCGCTGAATGGGACCTCAGCTTCGCCCTATCGCCCGCGGAGACTTGTATGAAATGTAGTACAGACCTGGAGAGTGGTGGGTAAGGACAGGATGCGCGGACACGCAGCATGGTCCAGAACGGAGATGACGATGGACCCCGCTACCGCGCTCATGTCGGACTTGGCGATGTATAGTTCGCGCGGTGATCGCATCTTCTGCACCGTAATCGTCCACTGTGCATCGTGCCGGCTCCTAAAAGCCGAGTTCGTTTAGCACGCGCTTCCTAAGCGGGTTCGAGCTACAACAAGGCCAAACAAACGCTATCAGCGCAGGAGCGGGGCTCTCGCGCGCATGCATGGGCCGATCAGCCGGTTCGGTGAAAGCGTCACCACCGTCAGTCAGACGCGAAAGGCCACGTGGTTTAGGTGGCGCGGGCGCGGCTTTGCGCCGTTGCCTGGTTCACGACGCTCATGGATTCAGACAGCCCTGATGACAGACTCCTCCGTGTGATGTGAGTTGTGATGCGATACCCTTGAAGAGATTTCGGGTTGTGAGCACCTCTACGATCCTAAGGACGGCATGCGCAAACAAAGCACGAATCAGAATTTTGTATCAGCATCTTCAATGTGAGGCCTCGTCAGGCACGTGACCATCTTTTACGCCGCACCATCACCATATTCCAAGACTCGTCGCGGTGTACGCGCACCCGCGGATGAGCGTGGGTGTGCGAGAAGCGCACGCAACATGCATCAGCGAGCATGCAGCAGCAGCAGCAGCAGCAGCAGCAGCAGCAGCAGCTCTTTATAGCTGACATGTTTGTCGCCGCGACGCAAAAGACACACACACACACGCACACGCGCGCGCGCGCGCCCAACAAAGCTCGCCGCGACGGCGCACATGAGCAGCAGCATCATCAACGGCAAAAATCGGTGCACGACGGCGGCGCGCGGTGGGTGTGCTCGTCGTCATCCTGGCGCGTATGTTACGTGCTGTACGCACCACGGCAATCACAAGTTAGAGCCGTGAGCAGGTTCGACCTTTGAAAGTCAGGTCTTTAGTTCTCCACCACTATCACCACCATCATCCACCACGCCCGCATCTGCAGGTATAGGATCGATACGGCGCAATCTCCACCCCTCCCTGCTGCGCACCACATTCAGCGTCCCCCCTGAGCACTCTGCCATCATGTCAGGGCTCAGAGATATGACTCGCCGCCAAGAGGCGTTCAAAAACAAGTCGCAATTCAAGACCGATGAGCTCCGTCGCCGTCGCGAGGAGGCTCAAGTCGAGATTCGCAAGCAAAAGAGGGACGAGTCCATGGCTAAGCGCCGAAATCTCAATCTCGCTTCTGCACTTTCTGGAGGAGAGACCGATGAGGAAGATGTGGTCGGCGCTGCTACGGATGCACAGGTGAGTGGGCTGCGCCGTACCAACTGCACGGATTTATGCGCTTGCAAGCGCTTGGAGAAGTTGTGCCAGACGATTGTGATATCAAGGTCGCCCTAACCCGAGCGCTGGCTAGTGTTAGCAAGCGCAAAGGCTTCGATTCACGAGTCTCTAACGCCAAATTGTTTTCCCCTCGTCTTTTCCAACTTCGTCAGCTGGAGGAGCAACTGCCTGAGATGATTGCGGGGGTCATGTCCGAAGACCTGGACAGGCAGCTGGACTCGACGACGAAGTTCAGAAAGCTCCTGTCAAAAGAGAAGAACCCGCCCATCGAACGTGTGATCGCATGCGGCGTCGTGCCGCGCTTCGTCGAGTTCCTCCGCTCACCTCACAGTCTGGTTTCGGTCAGTCTGCTCTCATCATGCTCGTATTGCCAGAGCGCCATGCTAAGCAACTCACCTCACTACCACAGTTCGAAGCGGCGTGGGCATTGACAAACATCGCATCGGGCACCTCTCAACACACGCAAGTCGTCATCGACTACGGAGCTGTTCCCGTCTTTATCGAGTTGTTGGCGTCGACCGTCTTGGACGTGCGCGAGCAAGCTGTCTGGGCCCTTGGTAACATCGCAGGCGACTCGCCTCGCTGCAGAGACTACGTCTTGCAGCAGGGTGCCATGGCTCCCTTGCTCAGCTTGCTGCAAGAGAACCACAAGATGAGCATGCTTCGCAATGCGACCTGGACCTTGAGCAACTTCTGCCGTGGCAAGAGCCCTCAGCCCGACTGGCAACTCGTGAGTAGATGGTGCGAGGCCTCGTGTGTCCGCAAGGCATTCACTTCACCTCTCACCTTTTCGGACACCTACAGGTCTCTCCTGCCCTGACCATCCTCACGAAGCTCATCTACTCTCAAGACGACGAAGTCTTGATAGATGCATGCTGGGCCATCTCATACCTCTCGGACGGCGCGAATGAGAAGATTCAGGCTGTCATCGAGTCCGGTCTGTGTCGCAGACTAGTGGATCTGTTGACCCACTCTTCCACCGCTGTGCAGACACCCGCCCTACGATCCGTTGGCAACATCGTCACCGGTGACGACATGCAGACACAGGTCATCATTGCTAGCGGCGCTTTGCCTCCTCTGCTGTCTCTCTTGAGCAGTGCAAAGGACGGCATCAAGAAGGAAGCTTGCTGGACCATCTCCAACATCACCGCTGGCTCGAGCCAACAGATCCAGGCCGTCATCGATGCGAACATTATTCCTCCTCTCATCCAGATCCTTGTCCATGCTGACTTCAAGACCAAGAAGGAGGCGTGCTGGGCGATCTCGAACGCTACCTCTGGTGGCTTGCAAGAGCCTGCCCAGATTCGGTACTTGGTCTCCCAAGGGTGCATCAGGCCGCTTTGCGACCTGCTGAAGAGTCTCGACAACAAGATCATTCAAGTTGCCTTGGATGGCTTGGAGAACATTTTGAAGGTCGGAGAGCAGGACAAGACTGCGAACGGAGCCGGCGCGGTCAACCAGTATGCACTCTACATTGAAGAGTGCGGTGGCATGGTGACCATTCACAATCTTCAACACCACGAGAATTTGGAGATTTACAAAAAGTGCTGTGAGTATCTTCTACGGCGCGTGTCCTTCATGACTGCTAGCTCACGCGGCTCTCTACATGACTTGCAGTCTTTATCATGGACAAGTACTTCCCAGATGAGGACGAGAATGAGGATGGAGGCTTGGCACCTGCACAAGTGGATGAGACAGGAAGCTTTGCCTTCCAGTCCAATGTCGCTGCTGCTCCTACCGGCGGCTTCTCCTTTGCGGCCCCTGCACCCAACGGCGATACCTCAATGCAGTAAACGCACGCGCATCCCTTCGCTTTGAGTGCAATCGCGAGCGACTGTTGCAGCAAAGCTCACGCGACCTTTGCCTTGGCCTTTCTGCCTTTTGCTGTCGCGATCCAGCTTCTCCTTGTTCAATGTCACCAGCCCCTCTGTCCAAGCCTTACACACCATCCCCTTTTGCGCCTTCCCAAGTCTAGATCCACCCATGCATGTTATCCGCTTCGCGCTTCGCTCGCGAAAACCTCAATCACCCTCTGCTCCCGCTCCGTTCCAAAACGTCTAGTACCACACGTCGCTAGTAGTACACACCCCACATCATCGATGCGTGAGAGGAAGCACAAATGTGCCAAGCGCAAGATCGTGTGCTCTGCTGACGCGTGCGAAGAGCGGCTGACGGGATGTGCAAGCACGCGGCCTGGAGCTCGCTCTGATCTTCCTAACGACGAGTTGACGCTCGTTTGCCCTTTGAAGCAGGAACAGCATCGTCTTCGCTGTCATTGATGAAAGCTGCATCTTTGTCCTCCTCGTCGTCATCGTCATCGTAGCGTCCTCTTGTAGCAGTGCTCGCGCGAGCTGGGGTCCTCTTGGCTGTCGAGGGTCCGGCTTGACTGAATGTCAGCTGACTTTGTCGGGGAGGGGCTTTCGAGCCCGTCTTGGACGACGTTGTACTTTTCTTTGACGCTGCAGGCGTCTTCCTAGCAGGTGCCTTCTTTGTTCCCGCTCTGCTCGACAAGATGGCACGACGACGTTAGCGTGGCTGTCATGACATCGCTTCGCCTTGCAGCCCATTCACTCACGCGGCAAGAGCAGCAGCTCGTGAGCTGGGAGCGGGAGCCGACCTGTCCTCATCGATGATCAAGTCATCATCGTCTTCATCCTCATCATCACCCCCTCTAAACACAGCCTTCTTTGTGCGCGATCGAACTGCTGGCGACGCGCGCACGGTAGTCCTGGTCGGCGCTCTAGAAGTCGTAGTTTTCTTGGCTGCTGGAGCTCGCATTGCAGGGCTTGAGCTGCGTGAAAGGACTTCCGATGGGCCTGCACTTAGCATTGAGTCATCGCTGTCGATGTGCGCAGCTCTACCTCCCCGCTGTGAGCCAAAGCAGATACTTGAGCCGATGCGCACCCTCGTTTCCTGTTTCTGGTGCGCCACACTCACTACGACAGTCTGTTCTGCTTCGTCGTCGTCATCCTCTTCCTGGACACCGCCTGTGCCAGCATTGCGGCGGCCCTCTGCATGGTCTTGCCCTGCACGGAGATTCTCCTCGCGAAGTCGTCCCAGCTAGAAGCGCTATATACGTGTAAGTCCCACGCTCAAATTCACGCGATCCGCAACTCTGGACTAACTTCGACGTCTAGCTGCTGCTCATCCGGATTCATCGAGACGAGGTCCTTGTTTGAGCTCTTGAGCATATTTGCAACGAAGCTGTGCGAGAATGCGTTTGCGTAAGCATACTGACCCTTTCTCGTGCAACGAATGAACCTCACCTTTTGATAGCGTCCTTGCTACCTCGTCAAGTACGCACAGCGGCCACAGCAGCGTGAGTAAATCTCTGCGTGGCCAGACGAACCACATTGCCGCGCTACTCACTTGTCTTTCTCAATGAAACTGGTGACCGCTCTTTCCAGACCAACGGGATTCAAAATGTTGAGTTCTTGCGCCTCGAGGTACTCCCTCACGAGATCGCCAACGTGAACTTTCTCGAGCTTTTCGGACGCGACCATCCCTTCTGCCTGAGGGTCAATGTACTCCGTTACATTCTCATCTCGTTCTGCCGCAGGAGCAGTGGCGAAACGATGAGCACCTGATGATTAGGACAGTGGTAGATTACTCACTCTTCCTGGCACCTGAGGCCTTTTTCTTGGTAAATTGAAGCACGTCCTTGGGGTTCGCTAACTTGTCGACGAACTCCTGTCCGAAACGGACCAAGTTGCCCATCTCGTGCTTGGTGTACGTGACCCGAAGACGAACGAGAGGCAGCGGCATGCGCTCAGCAGGGTGGCTTGGATCTTCCAAGCGTTGCTGCTTGGCAGTCCATTCCTCATGCGCGCGTTGTATCAGTCCATAGACCTGCAGGTAAGCCAAGTTATCAGCGAAGGGTAAATGTTGTCAACACGGGCGCAGCTACCTCACGTGTTGCTTTAGCAGCTTGGTCACTGCAGGCTTGTCGTCCGCTGCGATATTGGCATCTTGGATCTCATCGTCGAGATCAATGTCTTCCATCACAAATGGACGCACGGTCCTCAGCGGTATCTCCTCCAGGTAGTAATCCCTTTCTTCCACGTGTATAATCGCCACCTTTCTGTGACAGTGAGGCACAGCAAGGTATTAGCAGGCGGTCAAGCTACTCGACCGTGACGTGTGATGACCTACTTCTCGGCCGCTTCGCCTGGCATCAGACTGGTGGCTACACTGCTGCCAGGCTGCGTGACACAGTATCTTTTCTCAGCTACAGGCTGAGGTGTGATGAGCTGTTCGTGCTCATGACCCCAAACGACAAGATGAACGCTGTTATCGAACATCCCCTCGGGTACGAAAGCCTTCGGATCATGGCCCACGCTGGGTTGGGCAGACGATGAATGAGCAGCTGTGAACCTCAAGTGAGGCTTTCTTCCGGCCCCTGTCTCTCACCGATTTTGGTGCACGGCCAAGATATTGAACCAGCTCAGAGGTTCCTCGGCAGGTCGATACATGCGCACTCTATTCGCTCGCAGCTCGTATCCCATCCTATCATCCTTTACGTTGCCCATGCCGTACAGTGCAATCCTTGTGCCGCCTTTCTGCAAAAGTACTGGTCGAATACGGATTCCGTCCTCCATAAGGGGGTCGTTTGCTTGTGCAGCGCTTCGCCCGGCCGTTCCATCAGTGCTGGGCAACTCCACCTTGCCAAAGTAATTGATCAAGCCGGCCACTGAAAGAACGTCCAATGCGGATAAAGCACCCTCCTGCGAGCGATTGGCCAGCGTCAGTACTCCCAGCGTGAGTGGTATTGGGCTGCTCCGCCACTACGCACCACACCAACGCCTTGCGGGTCGTCGTGGTTGCCGTGTATGGAGAAGACGGGGATTGCCACGTTCAAGTTAGAGTCTTCGTAATTGACCGCTGGAAAGCTGAAGACAGCAAGCTTGGCACAGTCAATCGTCTTCTCAAGGCGCCAACAGGCTCACGTCGCCGCTTCCACATACCTATACCCATCTGCCTTGCCGTCGAAGGGATCACTGAGCAACTCTATGCTCACTGGCTTGTCCCCTAGAGTGTACTCTCGTAGAGAGGCCATGACACCATGTAGCGTCGCTCTGGAGGGCTTATTCTCGTGGAACAAGTCACCACCCAGCAGTATGAAGTCGACCTGAGCATGTGCAGTGCGCGCGATATGAGTCATGGACAGCTAGATGCGCATGCCGCGTCCTTCTGAACCCACATCGTGCTGCTGAGCCAGCTGAAGAATCTCGCGGAAGGTGTTGAGCGAGTCTTGACCGCGAATCGGATCTTTTTCCAGGTACCCAACACTGCAGCGATAGCGGAAAGGGTGATGAGAACGCACAATGATCATCCACTAGCATACACGTACTCACTGATTGTCCGTTGCGAGCATGATCTTGACGTGGCTCGATTCGTCTGAGGATGACGACGACAGGTTAGCTTGCGACAGACCAGACACGAGAAGCTACGCAAGGCTCACCTCGGGCACTGAAAGTTCCGCTTGGCATGAGTTGAGGGCTATGATTCGCATCGGAACCTCGCTGAGCAAGCTCTTGTCGCGACGCCGCATCGCTGTGCTACATGACTCACCGGTTCTGTGTCCAGCTTCCGCTCGCCATCGGCTCTTCCCTGCCTTCCGTGGTAGAGCTCGCGGTTCTAACGCTGTCCAAGCGATGCCCGGGACTGAGACCGGCTCCGAAGTCATCTTGTCCCTCCATGTAAGATGCGTTGTTTGTATCTCGTGGCGCTGAAGCACTATGTTCTCGGCGTCTCGGAGAGTTGCTGGATTCGCCAGCCCCTCCGTGTTCGGACGGAGGTACGTCCTGAGCGTCGCCTTGCGCAGTGCCTATCGATGCTCTCGAGTTCCTCTCGGGACTTTGTGGAGCATTGGACCTATTGGAATCTACAGTCGAATGTCTGGTCCTTCTGTTCGACCTGGTACTGCGCTCACTAGGAGCAACAGAAGCCTGACGCACGTCTACATCCTCCTCTTCTCCTGGGCTCACTTGGCTTCTGCTGCGATCGTTGTCCGTCGCTGCAGCTTTCGCTGCTCGAGTCTTGCGCGTAGGTCGCTGCGACATTGAGCCCAGACAGATTCGAGAATCGGGGGTGAGAGGTCTTTTGGGGCAGCGTGGTCCACGATGATGGCGTGACAGGTTGGAGGGCTTCACTCGTGCATGCTCTCGTTGCACTCAGTGACTCATCAAAATCACAGATGTCGCGGGGCGAAGAAGTGCATGCATGCGCGGCGGTGTGGCAGTGCGCGCGGAGGGCACTTGCTCGCCCCCGCGCGCATCGTCCAGCAGCTGGGAGAAGTCACGAGCTTGATGAGTATCATGCGTGTCACTCGACGACCATTCGCGATTCACCATTCTTCACTGTGACTCCAGACAGCAATCAGAGCCCATCTCGAGTCATGAGTGTTGAGTCAATGTTGGCATCCGTGCCATTTGATCATGTCCTGCACATCGTCATTGAAATTACTGAAAGGTGCAAGACGGCTCGCTCAAACATGTGGCGTGACAAATCGTATCCATTCAAGCATCACCCTCGAGCGCTACCTCACACGGAAGGGCACATGGTCCGCAAAGACACACACCCGGAGACTCCATGCCTACTTGTCCTCCTCTTCTTGCTGCTCATCCGAGCTCTCCTGCTCAGTGTATCCATACGCAACAACGGCGGCAATTCCACACAGCGCAGTGATGATGCAACCAGTGAGCGCTCCCACAGCTTTCGGAGTCCAGCCGGTGACGAGGTAAGTAGGTTCGGCTTGCAGTCCTTCAAAGTCCGTAGTGGAGTTGAAACCCGCCGCATTGCCGGTGGGCGAGATGCCTTGCGATTGACATTGCTGTCCGAACACCGCCGGGGTGGAGAGCGTCTGTTGCGCCTGAAGAGGCGCTTCCAGAAGTAGTGTGGATAGACCTTGATTCATGTGCCACTCGATGTGGCCTACGGAAAGGCATCGCGAGGTTCGTTGGCGTCAGCCATAGCAGCTTCAAATCGGCCGAGGAAACCCGCTACGTCCAACTTACAGTGCAAGAACCAGGCCCCAGGGTTGTCCGCACGGAACCGAATTGTAGCACTTCCCGTGCTGTGAATAGTGATGGTATCGCGGCGCATTGGGTTTACCTGAGTCTCATTGAAAGGTGGGTTGAGGGCGGGGTCATCGCTGGTAACATCGATCGCCTTGTGGACGACTTGGAAGTTGTGTCCGTGGAGATGGAAAGGATGTGTACCTGCATCCCAATTGTAAATGGTCACCTGCACCATGTCCATATGATTGAAGATCGTCGCTCCCGTGTTGGGTCCGTAGACTGCCGCATCTGCGGACAACGAACCCATCGATGTCAATGTGGACAGAGAGGGAGTGTTGGGGTTGATGAAGCTGATGTTGTTGAAGCTCGCGTACGGCTTGCCGTCGCTGTACGTGTTGAAGCTGACGTGCAGGTCGTGCGATGCATCCGCTTTAGACATGCCTTCGACGGCGGAGGGAACCAGGACGGTATCGTCGAAGTACTTGTACTCGTCCAAGGTGGGCCGTTCAGAGCCCAGCTCTTGCCCCGATGCATACGACAGTGTCGCCGTGACATCTGCAGTGGTGTCGCACACCAGCGTGCGTCAGCATTGCGATTATCGCGAGATTGGCAAGTGTGCAAGCAACGCGCGCTGACTCACTGAGCTGTAGGTCGTCTGGCACAACATCGTACATGTCTGGATCGAGATTGGCATGGATCGGCCAATTCTTTGAGGTGTCAGATCGAGCTGTGATCAGAATCGAGTATCGCTGTGCGACGCTGATGGTGATGACGTCCACAGGCGACTCCTCTGTGTCGACGCCATCGGCTTCGATGATGCGCATATCGTGGCCCTCGATCCAAAAGTGATACATGGACAGAGCTGACATGTTGATCAGTCGCAAGCGATACGTCTTGCCAGGCACGAAAGGCAACGTGGCGTTCTCGTTGAATCCAGCCAAGTAGCTTGCGCTGGTCGCGTTGCTCGTGTGGGCAAAGTACACTTGCGCGGCTTTCGGGACTGGCTCGGCACCGGTGGGGTTCTTGACGTTGATGAACTCATTTTTGAGCAGGTAGTCGTGCTCGTCGTGATACCAGTCCGCTAGGATAATTGTGTAGTCGTCATCGTATGCGTGCACCTCGTTGGCGTTGTGAATGATGGCTGGTGTGCGCAAACCGTCAACGTACTGCCCGGCGTAATGGCCGTGACTGCATCACAAGACGGTTGTCAGCGGGGGTGCAAAGAGCTTGAGTGCGTCTCCGGTGCGCTTCTCGACTCACGTCCAAAAGGTTCCCCACTGCTCTTTGCGGCCCGCACTACCGCTTGGTGAATTGAGCGGCTCGTACGTGATGCTTTGGCCTGCAGGAATGGGACACTGCGTAATGCCTACAGCGCCATCCCAATAGCCCGTCTGAGAGGGGAGCAGAGGTCGGACAGATCAATGAGCATTTGACTGGCCTGAGCTTGCATGCGAGCACTCACATTGTTGAAGAACATTCCGTGACTCTAGCCCGTCAAAACGAGACGCTTCGCGTGAGCACTTTGGCCTACGTCGAGGTGGCACAGCTTGCACTCACGTGTAAGGCCGTTCCGGTCCCATCGTCAAAAGCGTTGTTGACAGTGACACGCAGCACATCCGTCGAATTGACATTCTGTCAGGTGCCAACGCTCCAGGGTCAGATGACCCGCCTAGCAAATGACAGCTTCGCACTCACGATGATAGGAGGAGGCCAAGTGCCGTTGACGCCGATGGCCCTTCTCGGCTGCAGGCCATCTGGATTCACATCGTTGACCCATCCGACGTTCCACACGTGGTCGACGTTCGCTGCGAGTGTGGAGCTGGAAGCTGCGACGAGCGCAGCTGCGCCCGCAACGATTGCAGAGGAACTCGCTCGCATTGCTGATGTTGCTGTGCTTGGCAAGACAAGAAGGGGTGGTGAAGGGAGGATGGGAAAAGAGGCGGGTACGTGGGAAGCATGAACAAGCGTGTCTGTGCAATTTAGATCTTCCTGCGTGCTTGTAGCGCTGGCTCTGAGCGATTTACGCTCGTCGTTACAGCGGAGAGGGTTGATGTCCAGACCGGCTGATATAGAAGGGCGAAGCTTGAGTGTGCTGCAAGCCACCGGATGAAGCGTCAGGAACGCTTCTGCTGCGTGAAGGCTCTCCAAGTGTCACGCTTGCAGGCGGCAGGCATCGACTCGAGAGAGGAGTGAATGGGGAGTCTAGCTTCTGCTCAATAAGGCTAAAGTTGCTGCGGTGAGGTTTGATCTGATCAATGATTGATCAGCGCGGTTTGGATCGCAAATTAGGCGGACAGAAAGCCATTCGAGGGACCGCGGTGAGGCAACCAAAAGACAAAGTCGCGCACCGACACGCAGTGTGAATCATGAATCAAGAATGGTGGTGGACCTATTCGAATGCCTACAAATTTGGGGCTCCTTGTCGCGTGAGAAGAGCAAGCATGGTGCAACGATGACCCGCAGCGGAGATGCCAAAGGATATCCTTCGATAGCAGTCAGGAGTTCTGTTGTACTCTCACTGCTCCATACTGCCGTAGGGCGCCTCCCTGCCGTCACTGTACTGTAACGACTTGGCCTAGAGTTACGATTGCGGCGGCAGCGAACGAGAGCAGCACACAAATTCGGAAGCCAACTCAAGTAAGAAGCCGCCCGCATGGCCTCCGGTTTCCACTTGTCGCGGACCGGCGGGCCCATGCAGGAACCTCGGCTTCGTTGCTGCTGCTGCAAGCGAAATCTCGCAAGTCTAGAAATTCGAGCAAGTCCATGCATGAAGCCTCATCAGGTGATGTGAGAGCATATCGAGCGAGTCGGTCCGGCTTGTGAACAGTCTCGATTTAGGACGATGATTTAGCGCCGGGAGGAGGGAAGCAATCAAATCATGGACAAGAGCAGAGCGACACACACGCTCGCCGCTGCTGCGTTGTGGCTTATCCGCGCGCGTAATCTGATCCGACGCGTCTGGAATTTTTTTTGGCGTCGCGGAGCAGGATCCAACAGACAGCCCGCTGATGGTTCAGTGGTCGGGATCGGTCACGTGTCGCCTGGGAAGTCACGTGCTGTGACGAGCTCGGGAAATCGGCGCTCCACTCGTGACTCACGACGCGCGCGACTCATCTTGACCCATGCAGCGTGAACATTCTTGATTCACATCAGGGGTCGTACGTAGAATCAGAATGGCCATCGAGGTGGGAAACAACACTCGATCCGTGTCGCTTCCCTTCAATTGACCACGACTGGTGGTTGACAGACGTCTGGGAGACTTCAGGATGTCTCCAAGCAATACGCGAAGGGTGCAGGCTGCCGCTGCTCGGAGGGCCGCACGAGATGAAGCCAGAGCACATCGCCAGCAAGCAGGGCAGAACGCAAGAGGCGGTCAACACAATGGCAGCAGGATGGTGCCGGACGATGTAACGCCGAGGGCTTTACTGGGTGGCATCGCAGTAGGGTCCTTGCTAGCATTCACCAACCTCTACTTTGGCCTGCAGTCATCATGGATCACCATGGCCTCTCTTCAAGCCGCGTTGGTGGGCTACGGTCTCGTCAAACTATTCCCTGCACCTCCCACTTGGCTCGCTTCTCGAATAGGCTCGTCAGGCTCCCCACTGCATAGCGGTCCCTTCTCACCGCAGGAGAACGCTGTGCTTCAGGCTACAGCTGTGAGCGCGGGAGCTATGCCTCTCGCTGCTGGCCTCATCGGCATTGTGCCCGCGTTCACCCTGCTGGACCCTGCGCGAGACGGCGGAGCTTCGCCATTCAAGTTCTCCTTGGCAGAGCTCATGCTTTGGAGCGGCAGCTTGGCATTGTGAGTAAGCTCGGCACGTCCAGCAAACGCATTCACTCAGTCGATCTCCACTCCATCCTTCCTCCTCCCTCTCCCAGCTTCGGCGTCTTCTTTGCAGCCCCTCTGCGCGTTACCTTTGTTCTGAAGGAAAAGCTCAGATTCCCTTCAGGAACAGCAACTGCACAGCTCATCGGTGTCATTCACAATGTCAAACTACGCCAAGATGAGGAAGTTGCGTCGCAAGAAGGTGGGGACCCCAGCGCGCGGGCCGACGAATCGGGCGAGCACAGGCCGCTGCTCTGGCAGGTGCACGCGCCGGTCAATTCTCACGAGGAGCCCGAGGACTTGGGCACCAGCGATACGCCGAACCCTGCACCTGTGCCGGGAGTAGATGCGTCTCCTTCTACTCAGGCCGAAGAGCCTCAAACTTCTCAAGAAATCGAGGAGAGCTGGAGACCAATGTGGTACTCATTCTTGTTGTCTGCTGGGGTAACTGTGAGTGCGCCGAGTCGAGCAAATGCCGCAGCTCTCGAATTGAGCCAAGCTGCGCTCTCGTACTGTCACTGCAGCTGCTAGCCTATTTTATTCCCGTGGTGTATGCTGTACCTGCCTTTGACATTCTATCGCCAGCGCACGATCTAGCAAAAGTCTGGGGTTGGTGGTTCACACCATCCCTCTCTTATGTCGGTCAGGGAGTCATCATGGGTTTCCCAACGTCAGCGGCCATGTTCGCCGGAGCTATCGTGGGCTGGGGCATCCTCAGTCCTTTGGCGCATCACTATGGATGGGCAAAAGGGGAGCCATTGGACGCTGACACCGGATCACGAGGTACGTACCCAGCTCTGGTGCACGTCGCAGGTCCGGCGTTGACACGACTTTCTTCCTCTGCCAGCATGGCTGCTTTGGATAGCATTGGCGATCATGACCTCCGAAAGCTTCGTGGGGATCTTAGTCTTGCTCTTTACTTGGCGCGGCAGCGAACCTCAGAGAGTGCGGGCTCAGGCTCGCGGGGCTCGAGGCGTCAACGGCATCGGCAGCTCGGCGCACTTGACGCAGAGCCGTAAATCTGATGACGAGGACGAGCCGGCAGCAAGGCTTATCCCAGCTTCTTGGCTACTAGTGGGCCTCGTGCTGTCCGCCGGCTCTGCAGTAACCATCTTGATCTACCTTTTTGGTAGCCAAGGAGTGGATTTCCTGCATGTGGCCTTGGGAATTCTGGTGGCTGCCGTGCTTGCTGTTTTGGCAGTGCGCTCCCTGGGCACTGTAGATTTGAACCCCGTCGGCGCGCTAGGCAAGGTGAGCATCAAATTTTGGCTTGTCCGCTCGACTGTTGAACTCCCACGCATCCAAGTACGGCTGACGCCACGCTAAATCTGCAGCTCAGCCAGCTGGTGTTTGCCTTCGTCGCGCCAAACCATGTGCTAGCCAACCTAGTCGGCGGAGCGCTGGCCGAAGGTAGTGCAATGCATGCTGGCGAGCTGATGCAAGACTTCAAGACTGGGCATTTGGTTCGTGCGAGTCCTCGAGGGCAGTTCGTCGGACAATTGGTGGGCGGATCAGTGGGTCTAGTCGTGTCTTCGATAGGATACAAAGCGTACGAATCCTCGTACGCGATTCCAGGACCCGAAATGCCAGCTCCAGCTGCTAGGTTGTGGCTCAACTTTGCAAGGCTCATCAATGATGGTGAACAACTACCTGCGCGAAGCAAGGAATTCATGATTGCGACTGCTGCTGTCTTTGCCACCTCTGGTGCCCTCAAGACGGTCGTGAGTGCAAGGCAAAACGCGCGCGAACATAGACGAGCACTGCAGGGGCGCCCACGCTCCCCGCTTCGGCCTCGCTGGGAGACCATCGTCGCTTGGCTTCCCAACGGGATAGCCTTCGCGGTCGGTCTGGGTCTGAACACAGTGAGTGGCGCAAGCTCTGCCCGTTGATGCAATGACTGACCATGTTGCACACTTGATCCGACAGCCAAATTACACCCTAGCGCGACTTCTGGGTGGTCTGCTATCCATTTGGTATCAACGTCGACAAGCGCAGAAAAGGGGTGGCAAAGCGCCTTCTCCTTTCGATCTTCCACCCGTCTTCTTGCTCGTCCTGAGCGCCGGCTTTGTGCTGGGCGAAGGAGCAGCTAGCATTGTTACGCTTCTGCTTAGACAGGTCGGTGCTCAACCTTGGTCCTGCTGGGGCTGCCGAGGTGGCTGTTCCGGCATTTGCGCGGGATGACATTTCGCGTCCTCGACAACTTGCCATGAGATCATGAACACGCGCCTCGTGACTTGTTTGCAAATCGCCTTCGATCCAGCAAAGAGTACGATACCTTCAACCGCTTTAGGCAAACAAGATAGATGGATAACCTTTGTGTAGCCCTTGTTTCGCACCCGCAAACGCTTGGGTCACCAAGAATGCGTGCCCCTGCTCGCCCTGTGCAGGGCACACTCATGTTTTCAGTGCAGATACATATCAGTCCGACCTGTGATGTCTGTGCGCGTGCGTGCGTGAAACGCTTTCTACAGAGGTCGAGTGCGCGCCATGCCACCTCTTATTCAAGTTTACAATTGAAAGTTTGCCGCTCTGGAGTCCGCCGCAACCCGCTGGATCTTTATCTGATGGGGGCAACCAACTCCGACGGTCCCGCTGCACATAAGCTTTAGCATGCATCTTTGAGCCGCAGGAACCCGTCGGGGGCTACGTGCAACGCATCTATAGCAGGCAGGGACCAGCAGCGCAGCAGCAGCAGCGATCTTGCCCGGCGGCTTGCCTGAACGGGCCAAAAGGCATGCCGCACCGTGTACATCGGTGTGCATGCAGCAGCGGATTCTCATCTGGTCGTGTTCTGCGCTAAGCAGAGCGCAGCTTTCTCTCACTCCTTTGCCTACCGCGGTCCAGACCTTCACAACGGCGAAGGAGGGAAAAGAAGCGCTTCGATCCGCCGCCAATCTCCACTGGTCACTGACAAATCCTCGTATCAGCCACAAAAGCAGGAGACGAGATGGGCTGCTCACGACTGCTCACGACTGCTCACGACTACTACTGCTGATCTGCACGATTAGGCCTCTGCATTCTATACCGCGCGCCGAGACTGAACAGCATTCAGCCTCGACCGACCGACCGACCATCTGATCTCTTGATTTCGCTGATAATCACGCGACTCGACTTTTTCTCCCACCTTTTCGGCTCATCACCACTTACTTGCATGACTGCGCTCGATCGTTGGCCGCACGCCAATCAAGAAGCCCGAGCCTCGCGCGTCTTTGGATTTGTTGCTCGCAAACCCGCCCAAATCTGACGAGCGAAATTTGCGCTCTTGCAGCGGACCTGTGCCCTGGACGCTTCTAACTTCATCGGCGCTTCTTCAAGTCCCGGCGCGCTGCACTCTCTTGCCAGCAGCATCTTAATGTTCAAAGAGTCGCGACAAACTTCCTCCATTTAACTCGCTCGTCATCCATCGACATCTCCGCTCGTGTGTTAGGCCAACAACACTCCAACTTTCCGTCGTCTGCAGAGGCAACATGTCGTCCCCAACCGGCAACAAGGTCTTCGCACCTGCCATCTTCTTCATCGCTTTTAGAGAATCGCTCGAAGCGGCGCTGGTCATCGGCATACTGAGCGGTCTGTTGGAGACGCTGGTCAACACTGGTCGCGTACAGTCCAAGGTCAAGGCGAATGACAAGAGCTCGGATGGAGAAGAGAGCGATGCGGCAAATGCTACGGGCAGGTCGCAAGACGAGAGCAAATCGCTCGTGACGAAGCTCAGATGGATCGTGAGTCGTGCTCACCGCCCACACCTCTCCTGCGACCGACTAGCTGACTTGATGCTCGGGTTGCATTCACCGCATTTCCTTCCCTGCTGCAGGTCATCCTCGGCGCCCTCTCCGGTCTGTTCATCGCTTTCTGCATCGGAGCCGCCTTCCTTGCCGTCTTCTACACTCAAGCCAACGATCTGTATGGCAAAGCCGAAGAGCTGTGGGAAGGCATATTCAACCTCATCGCCGTACTTCTCATCACTCCCATGAGTCTAGCCATCCTGAGGGCAGACCGTTCCAGAGCAAAGTGGAGACGCAAGCTGAGAAACGCGTTTGCCGATGTGAGAGCGGACAAGCACGGTGAAGGTAGCGGTTTGAGCCCAAGAGCTGGCAGCGAGGAGGCATCGGAGGGCAAATCCCCCGCTAGTGAGGCCGAAAAGAATTTGGAGCAGCCTCAAGAGATTTCCACCTTGCCTCAAGTATCCGGACAATCCGTCGACGACTCTCAGCATCGCAGCAAGGGCTTTGCTACCAAGCTCAAGTCCGCGCTTCAACCACTTCGCCAAGGCAAGAAGGGCGCCCTGGCTCTCTTCTTCATCCCTCTAGTCACCACATTAAGAGAGGGCCTTGAAGGTGTCGTCTTCATAGGAGGCGTTTCGCTTGGTCTGCCGGCCACTAGCATCCCGCTGCCTGCTGTTGTAGGTATCGCAGCAGGTCTTCTGGTAGGCGCCATCGTATTCCGCGCTGGTTCCGTAGGCAAACAAGTCCGGTTGTGAGTCTGTCAGCCCACGGATCAATCTTTATTGCTCTATCGCACCACGCTAACCCTTTTCCCCGCACACAGCTTCTTGATCCTCTCCACCGTCGCCCTCCTCATCATCGCAGCAGGTATGGCATCCCGAGCAGTGTACTACCTCCAATTCTACCGCTACGTCAAGCTGGTAGGTGACGCAGCAGCCGAATCAGGTAGCGGTCCAGGTTCATACTACTACAAGGACTACGTCTGGCATCTGGACTGCTGCAACCCTGAAGACACGACTTCTTCTGGTGGGTGGGGTATCCTCAACAGTCTGGTCGGCTGGAACAACACTGCAACGATCGGCTCGGTACTGGCTTATGTGTTCTATTGGCTCGCCATCACTGCTTACCTTGGCTATGCCGCTTGGAAGGAGGGAAGGCTGGCAAAGGTGGTTCGGAAAGTCAGAGGCGTCAAACCAAGCAGCAACGCCAACGCATCCGTATCTGCCTGAGTACATGTCCGCGCGTCACCTGCTCTCGCCGAATCGCCGCCTCAAGTACGGTACTCTCGGCGTCCCGAATGTCCCCTTCTAAGTGTCACGAGCTGTACCCGGCAGATCACGTTACGAAAATGAGAATCTGGACTCGAAAGCGAATCAAGTTGCCGGCGCACTGGCACGACTCTGGTTGACAAAAGGTGACTGATGATGGGAAGCGAAAATGTGAATTGTGGCTGGGCCGAAATGGGGTCTTGAGTTGGTGATTGATGACAGATGACTGGGCGATGTTTGATGACATTACAGGAATTGCTGGGAGGTGATTCTTGATGACGACGGCGAAATTTGCTTCAGACCATGACGCAAAGGCTTGAGTCGTGTCGAACTTCAAAATGCAAGTGGTCTGATGGCAGGACGAGAATGCAGCCGTTAGCATGAAAGCTGCTTCTGCTAGCGTCGTAAGAAGAGCTCACTGATTGACTGTAAGCCGAGTAGACCTCTGAATGCTTCGGGTGCTCTCACTCGTCATCGTCATCAAGCTCGGTAAGATCGATGGAGATGCTTTGGCCAGTGCGCTCTCTGACTGGTGGCGGAACGCTCTGCACGCTGGCGTTGCTACCTGCTCTGGATCGCACGCGGTGTTCGGCCTCTGGCTTCACATTAGCAGTAGTCTCGCGCAGCTGCAAACGCTCTTGCTTGATGGCTGCCCAGCGGCTTTGAAGCTGTTCAGCTTCCTGAAGAAAGGATAGCATTCAAGAGAGACGTGAGTAGGGTTCGAAAACTCCCTTTTCCTAATCTTGCTGCCATGCTCACCTCATCCAGCTCGCGTTTGCGCTTGACCGGAGACTGATACAATGCCAGCATGCGAGACGGGCGAGGTCAACCGAAAGACGACGGAGCTACACGACGGCTCGGGAACTTGACGTGTGACGCACCTGAGCATTGCTTGCTGCCGAGTGATTGGAGGCGGACGAGCTCGAGGGAGCGCCCAATGTTGCGGATCGACTACCTTGTGATCGATCGACGATAAGATCACGCAACATGTATTTCCAGATCATGACAACAACAGGGCGAGATGGGTCGTAGTCGCTCGCGAAGGAGCGTAACGGAGTTTTCTGCGCGACTTCTGCATCGGCTCCGACCAGCGCCGGTTTGATCATGCCCTTGGAAGGTTGCAGGCCAGTCGCATCCAGTGGGCCGTCGGAAGCGGGTATTATCGCCGGTCGCTCGCTGAGATTCTTTCGCGGCTCGATATGGAGCTTGATGGTCCCTGCTTGAAGAGGAAGTGACGATGTCGAGGTTTCGTCCTCAAAATCTGAGACACAACGAGAAACCTCGTAAAGAGTCAGCCGATCACTCAGCGATGCACCAAACAGCTGCCCTCGTCGGTACTGCTCACCCGCTCGGTGTGCCAGGCGAGACCACCTGAACGGCTTGTAACCATGACTGGCGGTACGAAACCCCTTAATATAGCCCTCCCTCTGACCTGCGTCCTGGGTGCAAATGTGACTGTGCGCACACTGGCCATCAACATACAAGAAGTATGTGACAGTCTGATCCTTGCTTTCCTTAGAATAGGTATGATGTGTGATAAAGTTCGCGTTGTGAGTGTAAGCGATCTCCGCAGTGCACGTGTGCGTATTTGTGTTCTTGTCGTAGGTATGCTCCACATTGAACTCTTCAAGCGCCTTCCCATCCACCATCACACTCGCTTGATGCTCTCCGTACTTCATGATGCCGACGGAGGATGGGGTATGCACTGCGTGCGCGAGTCAGAGTTTCCTTCACTCGAGCTTCCTTGACTCAGAGCCTTTCAAGGCCCGGGAGGGCTGGGTTCATCCAGCAATTCCGAGTGCCAGATCTTGTGTACAAGCTGTTCAAATGAGGAAACAGAAGAGGGCGGATGGATGCACTTGGCTGATGGATGGATTTCGGTGCGTGGATGGATCTCTGTGGGGATGGATGTATGTGTGTGGATGTGAGGGTCATGATGTATAATTAACATGCACGAGTCTTGAGCTTATCAGTCACGAGTACGCCCACGTCCCGGCGCGTCGTGTTCATGCGCGCGCGCTTAATTCACGATTCTGATTTCTTTAAGCTGCTTGCATGAGTCGTGAGTGCGGGGAGGCGCGCCTACACCAAAAAAAGCGCCTGCGAAACGATCACGTGGTCACATTTTGCTTCTTTGTATGGAACAGCATGCAGCTTCGGTCTTGAATCAAGAGTACCATCGATTGAAGGCGCATACACATTCTTGATCCAACGACTTTCTCTACTTGAGCTCACCACGCAGCAGCAGAATCAAGCTTAGAAGGTGGAGAGGACACAGGTGCACAGTAGCGAAATCACCAAGAGCACACTTTGATCAAGGAAGATGCTTAAGATTCAAGCGCGTGGATGGCTCGGAACGTGCTGCGTTGCACCGATGTGCTGAAGTCCCATGTCCTGGGCAGGACTGTGATGGATTAGGATTTGACTAAAGGGACCTACTTGCTGTGCGGGTCGGCGACATCTGAGCCGCTTTTGGCGCGACGAAGGCCGCTTCGGAGCTAGTGGAAGTTTTGGGCGCCGAGACACATGGCGAAAAGGCAAGGTTTGATTCGAGGTTACCGGACATCGTTGAGCACTCTGCGTTGCGGTGGCAGAGTATCGTTACTGGCAGCTCGCAAGTTCTGCTTCCTCCCTATTCCTAGTCACGGGAATTTTTTGGGGCTACTTCGTCTTGCGACCCAGTGCTTCATGTGTTGATCCCGACAATCCAGCAGTCCCCCGACTTCAAAGACCGGTTTCAATCTTCTTCGTCGCCTCCAGTCAGATCGATTGACATTAGCTCGCCGGTACGCTCTGGGGGTGGGACACTTCGGATGCTCGAGGTGCTGGCTCGAGAGAGGCTCCTAGTATTCTTCTCTTGCTTGACGCGGGACACCGAAGGCTCGAGCTCTTCGAGCTCTTGCTTAAGTTGTAGAAGTCTGGCTTGCAGGCGCTCGGTTTCCTACGGGGCGAAGAGGGTAGTGTAAGTGATTTGCAAGATAGCCTACCGAATGTCGATACTGGACCGCACACTTACGTCATTGATGTCCCGCTTGCGTTTCTGCTAGGCCGCTCGGCAATAAGCAGGCGCATGGTCAAATGTGGGTGTCAGCACTTGAGAGCACTCTGGATCGGCTCGCAATGCTTAAGCCACCTACTCCCGCGGCGGTCGGCGCTTTCCCCTCGCGTCCAGCGGATTCTTGCACGCCCTGTCGGCGCTTCTCCACAATCAAATCCCTCAACATGTATGTCCATCGCATCACCACACGAGGCCGTGTGCGATCAGGCCGGCTATCGATTGTGATGAAACGCGAGGCTATAGGGTCATCGCAAGTCACAATAGCAAATTTGATGGCTGTTGAGGAGGGACTGCGTGCAGCAGGGTTGAATGGCTTGTCCGAATACGCGGTGAAGGGGTTGCCTGTGTAGACGCAATTGCGCCGAGGTTTTAGCAGCATTGACAGCGTGCCTACATCCGACGGAGGCTCTGAATCTGAAGAGACTGGGGCGTCTAAGTTTGGGTAGGGGCAGACAATCGGTATTGAGCTGAGTGTGAATCGTGTTACTCTAACGGAATGCAGTGCCACATCCTCACTCTGTCTTAGCCCGAGACGAGTCCAACGGAAAGGTCGCACGGAGCCAGGCTGCTCAAATCCTTCGATGCACTCTGTGGTGACCTCATCGAGCTTCCCTATAACGATCAGGTCACACGCCGCCTGACCGTCGACATACGCGTCGTACTTCACGCCATGGCCTTGCTTTTGAGCAGTATAAAGCATCTGGAACTGAAAGTTCTTATCGTGTGTGTACGCAATTTCGCCAGTGTACGTCCAAGTATTGGTGACAGTATCGAACTTTTCGTCCACGTTGAACTCTTCTAAGGGCGTCCCATCGACCACCACCTGGACTTCGTGCTCATTGTGCTTCATGATCGCGATCGGGACCGAATCATGAATGTCAGCAAATGATCGCTGTGCCAAGCCGACGTTTAGCGGTGCTGAGTGCACGGCCGGCCTGCTTAATTGGTCCGTTGGGATTGGGAGGCAAGGGTCGAGCCGCAACCTCACTGATTTCAGAGGCAGCCGTAGTGCTCAACCGCGTGTGGACGTCCTACTGAGGTGGGTGAAGACGAACAGCTGAATTACTCAATCTGGCGCACCAGTCGACTGGAGCCGGCAAAGCTCTCCGGATTTGGATGGGGAGCGTACGTGCAATCGTCAATGCTGAAAAGAAATGCCGCCAACAGCATCAAAAGTTATGCCACTCCGGACCTTGACTGTGACTGTTGCATTCGCCGTGTGATCTGCTGTGCAAGCCACCGTCGTGCGTGGTGGTCTGTAGGACTTGTTGTCTTTGGCCGTGGACCTCTCCTGGTTGTGCTTCATATAAGATGCGTGTACCCAAGTATATATATAGATATGTGTCGTAAAAGACGGCAGCCGCTGCTCGCGGGTCCCCTGCGCTGGCGACAGATTGACCTCTGCTAGGCGCGCGTCGTCATCAGCAGGCAGAGCATAGCAGCAGCAACAGCATGGAGTCATCTATACAGTCTTGAGTGAGTCTCGAGTGTGCCCAAATTTGTCTTTTGGCGACAAATCAACCTCTTCCAGGCAGAGCACGCAGCAGCAGCATGTATTATAGTCAGTCTCGAGTCTTAATTGAGTGCGTGCAGCATGATTGGTCATAGTCACTGACCTATACCACTCTTTAAATTTGCAGACAAATCAAATGGCGGTCGAGACGCGCGGTGGTCGTTGCATGGTCCTTGATTCATTCGTTTCGTGAAAGACACCCTTCACCAACGCGCAGAATTGTGACATTGCATGGCTGCCGCCATGGCAATTGCCATCCAGCAGCATGCGTGATCGATTGAGGGCGCATTCGATGCAAACTCGGCCAGGGTGAGACACGACTCACATGGCTTTGAGAGAAGTGATACACATGGCAGCGCATGCCGAGCGCAGCTGCTCTTGCAGATTGACCTCTGTGTATAAGTCCCGGCCGCGGCGACTCTCGAGGAGCTTCTGATAGATATGTTGGCGGCCTAGCATGGCACCTCTATAGACGTCGAGTCGCATTTCAAGATCGAGATAGATGCAGCATCGACCTCCGTGCTGGCCACATGCAGCTGCTGTGCATGGCGAGACCTGGTTTCACGCTTCATGTCAGACACTGAAGGCTAGAGCGGGCAAGTCATTCTTGAACCCGACATGTGATTTCACTCTTGTTAATTGTGCGACTAGTCTTCCGCTCATGAATCCTCCTCCTCTTGAGCTTCTGCCGGATCAGCAGGCGCCCATCCGCCAAGTTGTGCGCGCGTGGTGTTTTCGAAAAGTCTGCCGCAAGCCATACCATCCAGTAAGCCCGAATAGTTATGCATCGCGCAAGTGTCACCGCATACTCACGAAATGTTGAGCGCTGCCAAGAAGCACGGCACGCTGTTATACTGCCCCTCCAGCCAATACCTCCTCAAGCTATCCACATCGGCCATGCCTCTCAGCGCTTCGCCCGTCACCTTCATCTCGCCAACATTATTGGCCTCCGATCTAAAGATCAAAGTCGTTCCGTGCTTAGACCTTGCAAAGCTGGAAGTCAACTTGACCCGGCCGTCCATCTCCCATTTGCACTTGTACCCGAAGAGCGCTTCGAAAACTTGTCGATACTCTCGCGCTTTGGCACTGAAGGTCTGCGAGTGCGCGCACAAGGTGATTGTCAGTCTTTGAGCGCTTCACGAAGCTGCGATAGCATGCTGGTTGTGATACAGACCTGGCGCAATCGAAGTAGAGCCTTATCCTTGGCCTCGATAGATGACTTGAGCTCCTTGACGATCGTCATCGTCTCAGCTGCCGTAACAGAAGCAGCATCGCCCTGCTGCGCACCGTTTCCTTCAAGCCGCTCTAGCTCCGCCACGCGGCCCAGCAGCTTCTCATTCTCGCTCTGCAGCGCTTCGATCCGTTTGCGACTCAAGTCCATCTTCTGAGCAGCTGGATTAGCTGGCATCTCGAGCACTCGAAGCGTCTTGGCATGTTCTCCTCCCATGTAACGTCTCCAAATATCATCGTTCTCCTTGCCCAGGCGTTCGCACTCCTTCTCAAGCTGACTGTGTGCCACTTGTCCCTGCTCCAATTCTGCATTGTTCCCATGGTTGTCGTTTGTATGAGTTGACGACGCTCACCGCGCGCCGGAAAGCCGGAAAGGGACTCACCTTGGCGCAGTTGCTGCAGTTGCGCTTGAGCCAACTCGCGCTCTTTGCTGTCTTCGGGAACAGCTCGACTGGATGCGGCAAGAACCTGTGCTCTAGCCGCTTCAAGCTCAGCACTGAGCTCGCTGCATTCCGTCTGAAGTCTTTGCACAGCCGCCTCGAGCTCCGACACGAGCTCAGCGTTGCCACGGTCGTACGTAGCCGAGTGATTGGCAGCTTCCATCTCATACGTGTCCTGCAGATCGAAGTAGAGAGAGGCGATGAATTTCGTCGATGAATTACGTAGCCGGCAAAGATCATTTGCTGAGCTACACTCACAAAGATAGCCTTGTGACGCTTCACTTCCTCTTGAGCGCTCTGCTCCATCTTTTCGGCGCGCAGCTTGGCCAAGCTAAGAGCATCCTTTTCTTCCCTGAGTTTCTCAAAGTCCCCTCTCAAGCTTTCCGCCTCTTTCTGAGCTTCCAGGGAAGTGATTTGAGCCGCTTCAAATTTCGACAGGACATGAACGAGTCTCTGCTTGAAGCCTTCGCATGAGCCTCGGAGCGTCGCGATAAAGCCTGCGATGTTATCAGGTGTGAGGGATGGCGGGGCATCGATCGTGGGCAAACTCGAGCTGGGCGTCGCATCGCTCGCTAGCATGTATGCCTTCGTGTATGCTTCGACAGAACCTTCTTTGAGCTCTTTCGACCTGAAAGTTGAAGGCGACTCATCTCTGTCAGCACAATGAGCGCGTGATTGAAGGCTTTGCACTTACCAATTCTCCTTCTCATCTTCGAGCTGCATCACTCGCACTTCCGCTTCGGCGAGGCGTTTGTCGGTGTCTTGCAATCTAGCAAGACGTCCTTCCAGCGCACGCTTCTCCTCACGCAGCACCTCGATGGAAGCTTGATTGCTCCTGAACCTCTTGTTTTCATTTTCCAAGTGCAAATTAGTGGACTCCAGCTGTCTGACATGACTGACTTGTTTGTGCAGCTCATCGGCCAATTTTCGATCCTCTTCTCGATTCGTTGCTTCCGCGACCTTTCCACCGACCAACGCTTCCTTTTCCTTCTGCCACTCTTGCGTAAGCCGTTCCCTCTCCGCTCTTTCCAGTTTCCAGAGCTCTTTCGCCTCTGCATTCTCCCCATCAGCCGCGATGAGTCTCTGCTTCAGCTGGGACACCTCTGTCCTTGATTGCTGCGCAAGGCTATCGTGTCTCGTCTGCAGCAGCGCGAGGTCATTCGACGCGGCCGTCCCGCTCTTTCTCGACGCCGAGACTTCCTGCTCCAATCTCGCCTGCCAGACAGTACAAGGTGTCGGCGCGCGTATCGGAAGGGTTCATACCGAGGCAGCTCACCTTGGTCTCTTTCCAGGCACTCTCTTTGCCTTTATGCTCCTCCACCTGATCCTCCCAATTCCTGAAGATCTCCACCTTTTCCCTCTGAAGCTTTTGCACCTCCAGATCTTTCTCTACAAAGAGCGCTTCAAGCTTCTCGTAAGACTGGTCGTGCAGCAGCCTCTGCCTTTCCAGCTCCGTTTTGACCATTTCTGACTCGAGAATCTTGGCAGGGGAGGGAGGTATGCTCGAGGAAGGACCAGTGGAGGCGCTCAAAGGATTGTTGGATGCGGACACTGAAGATCTGAGCACCGAGGTGCGAGCAGCCGCCGGTCTTCGACTCGGACCTATTCACAGCATCGCACGAAGGATCTGTTATGTCTCTGAAGCAGTCTCAGTGGAGGATGCCCTGATGCACTCACCAGCTGCATCTTCCAATCCAGCGCTCTCCGCGTCCCTCTTGGAAGAAAGCCCTCCCGATCTGGTCACTTTGCCCGCGCCGCTGGGTGGTAGAGTACCACCTGCACCAGAGAAACCGAAGCGAGAAGTAGCACCAGCATTGCCTGCAGCGGTGGAGCCCCTACTTGCGCTGGACGGCCGTGGCAGGGTGGAAGAAGGCGCGGCTCGACTTGCGGATCGGGTAGCTCCTCGGGCCAGACCTTCTCGACTTGGTGGGCGCAGGTCCATATCGAAGGATCACACTGAGTGATTCGAATGTCAGAGACGCCGCTTGAGATGTGGACAAAAGAAGATGCGAATGTGGTGACGAGACAGCCGTGTAAGCTTCGAAACTTGAAAGGAAAAGATGAGTGGAGCAAGCGCAGCTCGATACAAGGGCCGGCGATGCTGGATGGTGTTGCTTTGCTGAGACCGGCTGGGAGACGCGTCGAGCAGTCGAGGCGGTGCGGGCGAGGGGCGATATCATGCGCGCTTGTACATGCACGAGCCTCATCCATGTCAGTCGTGAGTCTTGAGTCACGAGTCACGAATGGATGGACGACCATTCTGTTCCAACCTTGCGTTCATCATCTTCATGACCTCATATGAACCAACACAACTAATTACCTTCGCTAATAAGCACTTTGAAAAGTGAGGTAGAGTAAGGTCGGTCGCAGACGAGCCTTGACTGGTCGATCGGAGCTCAGCGCCCGCTCATCCGGCAACTGAGGAGCACTCAAAACGCACACGACCAGCTGAATGTGAAGCCGTGCGACGACGTCACACGCTTGTGATCAGCACTTCTCACAATTTCGCTCTGCTAGGCAAAATCATGCTGATAAGTCCGCTATGACTGAAGTTGAAGCAGTAAGCGCCCACGGCGGCAAGGCACAGGTGGGGAACGTTCAGTACAGTGGCACAGAGCGGGATGCCTCCACCGGGCGAGACGCTACTCGAAGTGCTAGTCAGCCTGACCTGCCAGGCGGGATGCAGGGTCCAATGTCTCATCCTGATCTCAAGGTCGAACAGGTAAAGGCCATCTCGGAAAGAGCACCCACAATGGTGTCAGCACCAGCCTCACCCACTGAGCCCGCATCGACTCCCAAACTGCGAGAGTCTGAGCTGCCATCTGATACGGGCGCTGCTTATGCTCTCATAGGGCTTGGAATACCCACCAGTGCAAGACCGAACGAATCTCCGCCTGCGGTCAAGAGAGCTGCAACTTCTCCCGCCGTGCCTCAGAGTCGAGCAGAGCAGAACAAGAAATTGAGTGCTGGACTAGCTGCTCAGTCTCAGCACGAGACTGGCCGAATGGGAGAGCTCAAACGCTTCACCTTGTGGGAGACCAGAACTGTGAGTGAAAGTCTGTACTTTACCCCAAATTGTTGGCATGCAGAAGGCTTTGCTCACATCGACGGCCTCCCGTATGTGCCTGGGTAATGTATGGCAGCGATTCTACCTGGTCGCGTTCAATACTTCTCAGACACGCTTTCGCATACTCAAGATCGATCGGACGGCTCCCTCTTCGAAAAGTAGTGAGCGAAGCGCTGCATCTGGCGACCCTGCGTCAGCCTCCAAAGAAGGAGGCAGCGGGCTGCCAAGCAGCTCTTCTCAACCTCAGGTGCAGCAAGATCAGTCGCAGAACCCCGGTCTCTCTGCTCCTCCTCCTGATCAAAGATGGGAGCTCAACATCACGTCTGACCGAGTCGTGTACTCGCGGCAGCAAGTGACGGAATTGTTGGATATGATCAATGAGGGCAACCGCTCTTCTGGCGGTCTGAAGGAGGTGGGAAGGTTCTATGGGATTGTGGGTTTCATACGCTTCACGATGGGTTACCACATGGTGCTCATCTCGGCTCGGTCCGTGGTGGCGCTCATTGGGGGTCATTACGTCTATCATGTAGACGACTATAAGATGATTTCCGTCTGCCATGCAAGTGTTCTTGCTAATCTGCCTGGGAGGTCCAAGGCGAAGGAAGCGGAAGAAGCCCGCCTGATCCACACTTTCAAGCAAGTCGACCTCACCAAGAACTTTTACTTTTCGTACACCTACGATCTGACGAAGACTTTGCAGGATAACTTGACGGGGATCAGAGACGTCAAGGCGGAGCTGGGCGAACGCGGACTCCCTTTGACGACTGCGTGGGGTCACAATGAAAAGTTCGTCTGGAATCATCATTTGCTTTTGCCCGCTTTTGGAAGGTCCATTCACCTCCCATCTCGCAGTGCGGGACCGAGTGCGCAAATACCGCGCGCCGAGGAGGATGCTGATGCGGCAGCGGCCGAATGGGTCTTGCCGTTGGTGTATGGCTTTGTCGAACAGGCCAAGTTGGGCGTCATCAATCGTACCATACACATCACACTTCTTGCCCGCAGGTCAAGGCACTTTGCTGGAGCCAGATTCCTCAAGAGGGGTACCGACGAGCATGGACACGTTGCAAATGATGTCGAGACCGAGCAAATTGTCGCGGAAGGCCTCTCTACGCCATTCTACGCTCCCAAAGCCTCGGATGCCAATCACAGCAAGGGGACATGGGGCGCGAATCCGAGATTCACCTCGTACGTCATGCATCGAGGTAGCATTCCCATCTATTGGACGCAAGATTCGACGAACATGTCTCCTAGACCTCCAATCGAGATCTCGGTCGTTGACCCATATTTCAGCTCTGCGGCGCTGCATTTTGACGACATGCTGCGCCGGTACGGGTATCCGCTCATCGTGCTCAACCTAATCAAGTCCAAGGAGAAGCAGCCGCGAGAGATGAAGCTGCTGCAAGCTTTCAGCGAATGTGTCTCGTACCTGAACCAATTCTTGCCAGATGATAAGCAGATCAAGTACATTGCGTGGGACATGAGCCGCGCAAGCAAGAGCCAGGATCAAGATGTCATTGGAGTGCTCGAGGACATCGCGGAGGACACTGTTGAAAGCACAAGATTCTTCCACTCTGGACCGGAGCCTTATGCTTTTGAAGTTGGAGCAGGAAGAGGGCTCGACTCTGCCGGACCCAGGAGAGAAAGTCTGTTGCTGCAGCATGGAGTAGCGAGAGTGAATTGCGTCGACTGTCTCGATCGCACGAATGCAGCGCAGTTCGTCATTGGCAAAGCGGCGCTCGGTCACCAGCTCCATGCACTTGGCTTACTGGACCACCCAAGTCTACCTTTCGACAGCGATGCAGTGGACATGCTGACGGAGATGTATCACGACTTGGGTGACACAATCGCCCTTCAATATGGAGGCAGTCACCTGGTCAACACCATGGAGACGTATCGAAAACTTAATCAGTGGACTTCACACTCGCGAGATATGCTCGAGGGACTCAAACGATACTATGCCAACTCTTTTGCTGACGCGGATAAGCAAGCTGCAATCAACCTTTTCTTGGGCGTTGAACCTGAGCACGAGGAGACCAGCAGGGTTGCTAAGGCCGCTTCGTCGACACCTCAATTATTATCTCGGCGCACTCCGAGACGATCGTACCAGCAATGGTACACTCCTCAGAACCTCAGACCAAGAGCGTCACTCGCACAGTACGAAAGACGGCTTGCTGAGGTGGCCACTTCGGACCTTGGCTTCTGGGCAGAGTACTATAGACCCAGCCTTTTCACCGATCTCCTTCGGCACTACGCATTCAAGATGACTGCAGTGAATCAAAGCCTCGTATCAGGTCCAAACATCCCTTCGACGGCAGCGTACGTTCAGGCTTCCAGGTTTGCTCAGGGTGCGTCGGGACACGGACGAAAGAGCTCCACAAACTCGACGAGCAATAGGAGCGTCAGCCTTGGTTCGCTCGCGGACACTCAGTCTGCTCTTCGGTCTGCTATTCCTTTGATGGAAAACGATTCCTCTTTCACGTTGATCAGCCCGTTCACTGCTCGCATCGGTTCAGGCACCACTGTTCCTGCTTCGCCTGCGCGGACCGACCGCGCAAGTCAGCTCTCGACGTCTGGGATAGCAGCAGATTCGCAGCCGCGGGCCCTCATGGGTGGGGTGAGACGATGGATGAGTCTGAATAGAGGTGACCATGCGAGCTCCAGCACCTCTCAAAAGGCCTCGAGAATGAAAGGGCGACGATCAGGTGCTCGAGGAGCTGGTGGCACTGTGTGGGAGCACGCCTCGACGAGCGAGTTCAAGGAAGCTCTTACGATCTCGGAGAAAGATGCTTGGCCAATCTGGGGAGATCCACAATCTCAGGCCGTCCTTGGCGCCACACCATCAGCTACGGCACTTCGAACCCTCGTTTCGGCTCTGATCGCGCCCGAGGTACCGGCAGACGAGGCGAACGAGTACGCGAATTGGCTAGAGCAGTATCGCGAGCTTTGTGATCTTGCTGCCAGTCCTTCGACTCGCATCGCAGACGAAGACGCAGAAATCTATGTGGCCCAAGCGCAATTGGCCAACGGCGATACTGAAGCCGTCGCGCGCTTCTCGAGCATCAGGACGTGCAGTGAAGCAGCAAATGGGCACGCGCCCAACGCGCTCGGATATCACGCCTCCGACGAGGAGCTCTTGCAGAGCGTGGAGCCTGCTCTAGCCGCCTATGCTACTACCGCGTCCATGTTGAAAAGCGGAGCTCCATCCCTTCCTGCTAGCGAGAACAAGCTCCGCGCATACAAGCGCTGGCTTGCCGGCTTCTAGACCAGCGCTGAACCGGGCGCTCAGAAGAGTGCGCTCATTTGTAATCTCTGTTCGACCGCTCTTTCCGAACGTGTATTTGTATCCTCACATTGTACACCACAGCTGCGCAGGCATGCATTGCTAGAGGAGCAGACAACCACCCGGGATGCGAGATGCGACATTACAAGAGCTTCGCAGGGTTCTTGTCCTTCGGACCAGTAGGGTTGATTTCTAGGTGTGGTGCGGGTCAGTGAGCACATCTCTGCGGTACTTGAATTCCTTTGACGAGATGTTCAAACTCACTCTTGAATCCGAAGAAGTTGGGGAAGCCGACGAAGAGTTGTTGAACGGCCCACTTGATCTGCAAATCGTTCGCGCGAGCAGAATGGTGAGCTACAACGTCAATGCAAATTCTGAAAGCAACGCCTGCCGCGACAACTCACAGCGACGGCAAGACTGCCGCCCTTTCTGAGCACGTACAGTAGCATGAGCACCGCTTCGACGGTGTGCACGCCAGCTAGAGTCTTGAAGATCTTTTCTGCGATTTCTGGAGCGTCTGGATACTTTTGCAGGATGGGCAAAAAGGTGATCTGAGCGGCGGGAATGTCGTAGGCTTTTGATGCTAGGTAGAGCAGACCTGCGATCAGTACAGCTCCCGGTAGCAGAGGATGAGCCGAGAATCGGACTGGGTACTGTGTGCGCGTAGTCAAAGGCTTGGTCCACAATCAGCCTGCATGCACCTCGACTCAGCTTGACTAAATTCAGGGGCTTTTCCCACCGATGGTCAGCTCGCCATTCACTCACCCAGAGCCCAGATGCCTCATCACTGAGCTTGACAAAGACGTGTCTCGCTTCATCCGCCTTTTCCAAAGGCTTGGGAAAGTCCACCTTTACGACTTGACGACGAGGCTTGCTGCCGAGCGATTGATGAATGTAATACTCTGCTGTGAAACCCTTGGCATCGATGGATGTGGCCTTGACGTCGTAGGGCAAGATGACCGATCCTTCGGCTTTGGCGACGATGGCTCGCAAGGAATCCTTGTGATCCTTGTTGAGGTGGGAGAGGATCCGGCTGGACCGTGCTTGGATGTCCGACATGGTCGATCAACGTGCGCTGTTGGTGAAGGGTGAAGGGCGAAGAGAAAGGGATGGCTGTGTGCAATGCAGGCCGGTTCCGCTCAGCGATGGTATGAGGGAGATGAAGCAAGTCAAGCGCCCCTCGCCTACTCACTCATCAGCGTGACGATCCGAGCACTTCCCACCCTCCTCATCCCCTTCCAGTCACTACTACACTCTGACTCTGACTACTGAATCAGAATGTGAATACCCGCGTCTGCGCAGCCGTGCAAGCGCAACCATCGATCGATCGAATGTCCCACACGCCGGTGAGAGCGTGTCCGAGAACCGGCTGCCGCGACTCGCGACTCACACTCACGACTTCATCACTGGCCGGCCATCCTTGCCTAACCTGACCCCACGCTCGAAAGCCCGAGGCTTCCGCCATGATGACGCCAAGGTGCGGTGGACTCACGCGCGGATGCGCAACTGGTGGGACCATGGATTCCAGTCACGTGCTGATACCATCACGTGATCTGGACTGCCAGCACCCCTCGAAGTCAAGAGTCAAGAGTCTTGCGTCGAGTTTTGAGTCGAACTCTGGCGGCGTCTTGATCATCGACTCATCAGGCTCTCCGGCCCGCTAAGCCTTTCAATCTCAGTGGCCAACGAGGTGTGCTCAGACCTCGTGAGGTCGACCAAGTTGCAGTAGTGCCAACCACATTGACAATTGGGACTTATTCTTGATTGACTCTGATGTTGGCAGATAATTGCGTCATTCGTGACTGATGAGTGAGAGTATATGTGTAAAGCGCTTATTCATTATTGATTGAAGCACCTACACGCGCAAGCAATCATGAATACAGCCGCAACGCGCGGCGAGGCGGCACGCGGGCGATTGATGGTAGGTATACGTGTATACCCATGGAAAACCCAGCTGCTGCAAGACGTCGCAGGCGCGCAACATGATGGCGGGGGCACAGCCCGCGTGGCGTGCATGGATGGCACTGCTGCTGGCTCTCTGCTGCAGCTTATTATAGATGGCTGCTGACTCCAACCTGCTGAGCCATCGAGCGCGGACGTGCCGCATGATTTGCGCATATTGTTGACGCGCGCGCGTCAAGCAACGCAAGGAGAAGCGCCGTGTAGGTTGGCAGGTTGGCAGGCAAGCGGGCACCCAGCCGGGCAGCGCAGAGGCCATCCATCCAAACATCGCCCATGCAGTCACGCGCCATGGCCATGGAGTCACGGGTTTAAGTCACAGTGATGGAGCGTTCGAGATTCGGCTTGAAGCTCGATCTGCTCACAGCGTGTTCACTCGACCACCTCCATCTACTCGTAGAAGCTTCCTCGATATTCACAACAGTCCATCGAGAAGTTCCTTGCAGAGATCAAAGCGTATGCTACTGTGCTGCTTCTGCCAGCGCTCCGTCTCAGGTAGATCACCCCATCCCTCAACTACGAGACAGACCTACTCCCCATCCGCCTTCTTCAACAGCAAGGTCCATCAAGGAGCTGATACAGTATCTATTTGACGCATACAAGCTGGAAAGAGCTTCGAGCACCTGCTCACACTCCAGCACTGAGAGAGACGATTTCTCGACCTATCGATTCGACTCTGAAAAGTGCTTTTCAACATTACACGATGGAGTCAGACGAGTCCCTTTACCCCATCGCCATCTTGATAGATGAGCTAAAGAGCGATGATGTGACGTTGCGTCTCAATGCAATTCATCGGATCTCCACCATAGCCTTGGCTCTCGGTCCTCAGCGTGCTCGAGATGAGCTGGTGCCCTTCTTGCAAGACAGCCTGGATGACGAGGATGAGGTCCTGCTCGCCCTCGCGGAGGAGCTTGGGCCAAGCTTTGCCGAGCATCTGGGAGGACCACCTTACGCGCACTTGCTTCTTGGGCCCCTGGAGAACCTGGCCGCGGTGGAGGAGACCGTCGTTCGCGAGAAGGTGCGTGGGTGAAAGGATTCAGAGTCAGGAGACCTGATCTGTGGACTGACATTTGTAGTGCTGCACATCTTAGGCTTCCGAAAGCATCACGAAGCTGGCTGCCCTCCTCACACCGGCTCAAATTGACGAGCACTACCTTCCCCTTCTGAGGCGTCTGAGCGGAGGTGATTGGTTCACGAGCCGCACGAGCGCCACGAGCCTCTTTGCGGCCGTGTACCCCAAAGTGGGCGGAGATGTGGCCAGCACGCAAGAGGATTTGAGGAAAATGTTTGCAGCGCTCTGCAACGATGATACGCCCATGGTTCGCAGAGCTGCTGCGAGGGATCTCGGAGTGAGTAAGAGGCGGATGTCGTCGCTCCAGATGGCACTTGCGCCGAGCCCTGAACGCGTGCTTGCGCTGTCCTTCCCAACAGCCTTTCGCAAAATGCCTGTCAAAGGAGCAAGTTGTCACGGACATTATACCCCTCTATCGCAAGCTCTCCTCGGATGATCAAGACAGCGTCAGACTGCTCACTGTGCAAGACCTCATCGCTATTGCTGAAATCGTGTCCCACGAAGAGACAAAGAGCTACCTGCTGCCCAGCATCCGGGCAGCCGTTGGTGACAAGAGCTGGCGCGTACGCTACATGGTAGCGGATCACTTTGTCAAGGTGCGTTTGGCATTGACATCGCCCTCCAGTTGAAGCCGCTGTCTGACTTGTGCTTCGTGTCCGGCCGGCCCCCCTCTACAGCTTGCGACGGCAGTTGGACAGGATGTGGTGCGAGACGAATTGGTGCAGGCCTTTGTCGCGCTGCTCAAAGACAATGAAGCAGAGGTGCGGACAGCAGGATCGGGGCAGGTACCAGGCTTTGCCAAGCTGGTAGACACGGACATCATCCTCGCCAGATTGCTGCCCTGCGTTAGAGAGCTCTCAACAGACCAAAGCCAACACGTCAGAGCTGCGCTTGCTACGCAGATCTCTGGTCTGGCGCCTTTGCTTGGCAAGGATGCTACTATTGAGCATCTGCTGCCTCTCTTCCTGTCTCTTCTGAAAGATGATTTCCCGGATGTTCGGCTCAACATCATCTCCAAGCTGGAGCAAGTCAACGAGGGTGAGTAGCACTTCAATTGCTAGATGCAATTATAGAAGAAAGACGCTTGCTGACGCAGTCGCATTTGGTATGCCCACAGTCATTGGCATTGAGCTGCTTTCTCAATCCTTATTACCCGCCATCGTCGAGCTGGCAGAGGACAAGCAATGGCGGGTCAGACAGGCGATCATCGAGTACATTCCTCTCCTCGCAAACCAATTGGGCGTCAGCTTCTTTGACGAGCAGCTGGCCAATCTGTGCATGTCTTGGCTCGGAGACACGGTCTTCAGCATCAGAGAAGCGGCCACTGTCAACTTGAAGAAGCTCACGGACGTGTTTGGGGTCGAGTGGGCTAGACAGACGATCATTCCCAAGGTTCTGCAGATGGGTGTGCACCCAAACTACCTTTACAGGATGACGACAATCTTTGCTATCACTGTGAGTAGCAGCGGGCGAAAAACGAGTGAAATGTGCTATTGTTGATGGTCTTTACCCTTGGATTGGCAGACGATGGCACCTTCGCTCAATGCTGAAGCCATCAACGATACGATCCTGGACGCTGTGGTTCCCATGGTGGAGGATCCGATCCCCAACATCCGTTTCAACGTGGCCAAAGCCTTCGAAGTGCTGGCCAGCGTCTTGTCTCAGACGGATGGAGGGAGATCAGCAGTGTCGAGCAGGATCGTGCCTGGCTTGGAGAAGCTCAAGGAGGACTCGGATGCGGATGTGAGGTTCTTTGCTCAGAAGGGTCTGCAGGCCATTGAGAACTCAAAGACTGCTGCTTAGGACACTCTCGTGGTAGAAAGGGGATGGCTGGAGACACGGAGAGAAAGAGAAAGAGAAGGGGGAGGCGGCATTCGGATTCTGGTTTCTCCGCTTTGCAAGCTTCATTTCCCCTTGTCCATCCTTGAAAAGTCGTCAAGTCGAGACCTTCTTCTTTTCTTTCCTTAGCAGGGTGGAGCAGGGCGAGATCCAAGTATACACACATTTTCAGACACTAAAGTTGGATGCGATTATCGATACGAGCAAACTCGAGGCGATGCAACGAGAAGCAGGCTGTCCGACAGCGTGGACGAGCAGCAGACGAGATGAGACAAGCAGGGTGTGGGCGAATGATGATGTTGATGTGGCGCGTCAGCGGCTTCGAAAAGCCTACGAGCATCGTGCTTGGCCAGGGCACGAGTGGCACTTGCGCGCACGTCATGTGACGGGTGTGATGGCCACTCGCATCCAGAAAAGCGCACTCGCAAGACTGGTGGGGCTCCAAAACTTGCGCCGCCGTAGGCGCCCAGCAAACCCTGCCGTTTCGTATATTGTGCAGAAAATTGTCGGGGAGAGGGCCCTTGAAGTGTTGCAGAAGAGAATGATCGATTGGAGCCTTGCTGTGCGATTCGTACTCGTGACTGCAAGGGATGCATCTCTGCCACAGACGTGCACAGCTTTTCAACAAAGCCCTTTAATTTTCGGGAAACGTGCTCGTGCTCCGTCCGGGCATCAAGACACGCCCCCTTTGGATGATGAGCCCGGCATTGCGCCTACATGACGAGCAAAAGTCGTCTCGTCTTTTGCGAGGCGGCTTGACAGCTTTGAGCCGCGCATTGATGGTTACCTTGCAAGCGCCATCTCGCTTGCCCGAATCGCACCTTCGACTCATCGTACGCTCACTTCACTGCACGAATGCGACGACCCCCACCTCCCGCCTCCATCTCCGTCGCCTCTTCACGCCCTAGATGGCACCGAAACAAACCCC